AACAAGCGACTTTTCTAACATAGTCCCAGTCCATTGCATCACACCTTTTTGCTCGGACACGTTCATTTCACCGCCCAACCTTTATCCGCCCTGCTCGGAATCATATCGAGATAACGGCAAGGGTACGCAAATCTTTTTAAAAAGATGCAAAGAGCCTGAGTACCATCTACCGTCAAGCCATTGTAGCACGTAAATGTCTCTGGAAAACCCAAGACCGCCATTAAGTCATAGACATCGTTCTTATGAAAGCGAAATTCCGCTTGACACTCATCTTCGGACATGCTGTCGAGTTCAAAGGCCTCGTAATTCCAGTAGGGAAAGTCACGGCTTTTTGCAGTGTTGATATCGTACAGCAAGACGAATTCTTCATCGTTGATGATGCTCGAATAATAAGCATAAAGAAGGGAAATCCTGGTCTCTCTTAAGTTTAGCATAATTTGTTATTACTAATAGTTTTTTTCGGACTATGCTTGTCTGTATCGAATCGATGTTTGGTGAGCAAGTTTCCAGCCACTACATTTCACGCGGGTGCCAAGTAAATTTTCCAGCCAAAACGAGTCATCGCCGCTGCCTGAAATGAATGATCGTAACACCATTTACATACAAGTGCCCAGGCGCGACGCGGCTACCAGGACAGACGGCGTCGTCTTCTGGATTATCTGGATCGTAAACTCCCTAGTGGATAGCCAACGAGGCGCGTAGCGCCTAGTCGGCTATGATCATCTCATATCCAACAAGCGCGAGTGGAATAATTGTTTATTAAAAACGCCCACAAAATCTCATTGAATCTCCCCGACTTAATTTTGTTAGAACAAACCGGAAAAGACAAGGGCCTTTCGCTCTTCATATGTCACACGTCTATCAAAACTGTCAACGCGTCAACGCGCGGACTGGATGAATGAAAAATCAAAACATTGTAGCGAAAACTCATCGGGATTCTAGGATTTTACACAGCGGGACAGTTAAAAAAAGCTGGCTGATAATGTGAAGAAAAAGAATTTTTAAGTGACAGCCGTCTAAATTACTGCTAATTTGGATTTTCGGTGCAGTTACAAAAGTAAGAATAACGGAGAAAAACTGTTACCTCGGTCGCTTGTTATGAAGTTGTTTGAAGCCACCAGCTGGCTTTGCTGAACGAGAAAAGAAGCTATACTGACGCCTCGATTGCTGTAGTGAATGGCTGCATAGCCTGTATTTGCAGCTGGTTGCTTGTGATTTATATTCTTCATGTCGGATAAACAAGCCGCAGTTATCTATCGGCGAGAGACTCGGCGAGTGGCCTCGCGATCATGAAGAAACAACACTTGTCTTCTTTCGTAGCTGGTCAAGGTACTTTAGTTCCATGTATTTTCATGCGTTTTTCGATAAACTTTCAAACAAGCTCTTGTGGCTTTTTTGTTTGTTTGTTTTTCCCGATGAAATTGCATTTTCTAGTATTCGGGCGCCATTCTATCGTTCACGAAAAAAAATCTCAGCTAGCTTCCAATTTTAAACTAACGTGTACACCGACCATATATGTAGAGCATGGTATAATGGCTCATATACCATAAAGGCTAAGCCAATCAAAACTCTAGAATTGCATTATCAAATGATTCAGTTTTTAATAATATAGTATAGTATAGTATAGTATGGTATGGTATGGTATGGTATGGTATGGTATGGTATGGTATGGTATGGTATGGTATGGTATGGTATGGTATGCTATGGTATGGTATAGTATTGTTGGTTTTCACATGACATCACTAAAATTCAAACTACAAAACTATCGATCCTACTGAGATTTTTTTTTCATGGTGTATTAGAGCAGCTCAAAACTAATTTTCAAACAAAGTGCTTGGTTTTGTAATAGAGTACGCTTGAATTTCTAAGCTTTTGAGTGACGCAGCATTTACATGACGACTGAATTCGAAAGAGCTGTCATTTAGGATAAAAAAAGTGACTTTTTCGAGAAATTTTGTTATCTAAACAGTTCAAGTGTTAGAAAAAGTATTACTTTAATATTTATGAGTTCCTCTAGGAGTAAATTCACGCTTTTGTAGCAAAACTCGGTAACAGATGTTTCTGTTGGTTTCCGTCCGCCATGTTGGAGCTCATCCAGATGAAAACCAGCATGGCGTCTCCATACAAAGCTCTATAAATTTGGGTAAAACATTTCCGCAGATATCTCGTATACGAGTTATTCCTTCGACCCAAATCTTGGCGAGGGTCTATGTATATTTACCTCCTTTCATTTCCCAGATTCTGGACTTTATTTGTCGAATGGTTTTGGTTTTTATTTTGATCTATTTTGGATGGCGTGACACTGAAAACCAGCAATAGTATAGTATACATACTACAAGAACAAATTGTCTAAAACATGAACAGAAACCACACAATTATACGGTATACGCTATTACGATAAGAAATATACTTAGCAATTAATGAATTCGGCTTTCGTAGGATATGAAGAATTAAGCAGATCTCGGAGGGTGTTATCCACCTCGGTCTTCGGCCTCGGCGGATAACACCCTCCGAGATCTGCTTAATTCTTCATATCCCACGAAAGCCGAATTCATTAATTGCTTTATTATTCATTCAAAATATTTCCTAGTTTAAAAACATAGCTAAAACATGCTTACCTGGGTAGATGTTAAGTTCATCTTCGACAGCGTACCTTTAGGTTTGTCCAGCTCCGCAAATATTCTCTAAATAGCAGATGTCACCCTCCGAGTTGTCTTCTTGCTGTTTTTGCCATGTTTTTAGCAATTATTTCGTCGAATTGCAGCTGTAGTTCTTACTCTTGAGACGGGCGAAATGTCCGCCATTTTTTTTCACAACCAAAACAACTCAACCTCGTCCCCAGGTCTTCTCGGTTAACGGTGCCTTAACCTGTAGCGGGCTGCATTTTTGACGTCACATAATAATAATAATAATAATAATAATATAATTCATTTATATAGCGCTATTAATACTAATTATTCATAGCGCTTCCTCGTTAAACACAAAATTCTTCCAAATTTGGTCATCTTTAACTGGTTATGGTGAATTATGCGCGTGCTTTTAGCCAATCAAAATTGGGGAAATATTTTGAATGAATAATAATATCAGTTAATCAACTAATTAATTAGATCTTTTGGTTCAAGATCTGTTTTCTTTTTTGAAACATTAGATGGGCATATTTGGCTATAACTTGATAAGTATTGTCATTTTCTAATCCCTGGTTTTCATATGCCGGGAAAATCCCAGACGATAGGGGATTTTACTTTTTGCCGACCATCCCAGATTTTGCCGATATATCGGATAATCGCCAGAAGTCTGTCCCAGATTCTCGAGAGACGCCATGTTTATTTGTGATAGGGGGACTGGAGCCCAGCAATTTAGGGGATTGGTAATGAGCGAAATCCATCGCCGACGTCCCCGACGGTACAAATTTGAGTTCTCATTTTTCGGAAATGATCGCCGACCATCGCAGAAATCTGGGACGCCTCGGGAAAATAGAAACGCGCCCGATTCTCCAGATTTGTCCCTGTCCATCCCAGACGATCGGGGATATCTACGATTTCGAGTTTTCATTAGTGGGCAAAATCTGGGACAGTCGGGAAACAGTAAAATCCCCGATCATCTGGGATTTTCCCGACTGTCCCAGATTTTGCCAACAAATATAAACTCGAAAACGTAGATATCCCCAATCGTTTGGGATGGACGGGGACAACTCTGGAGAATCGGGAGCATTCTATTTTCCCGAGGCGTCCCAGATTTCTGCGTTGGTAGGCGACTATTCCCGACAAATGAAAACTCAAATTTGTACCGTCGGGGACGTCGGCGATGGGTTTCGCTCATTACCAATCCCTTAAATTGCTGGGCTCCAGTCCCCCTATCAAAAATAAACATGGCGTCTCTCGAAACACGGAAATGGTGGTCTCCCCTATACGGAAGTTGAAAGACTGGGATTTGGAATCGCCGACTTGCAAGGTATCTCAATGTCACGACTAATCGTTCAGCTGGTGATATCGGATCGCGACTTCTACATGCTTTCTTTGAATGTAAGGAGCAAATGTTCAAAGCGTTTTGGACTCATCCTGATATATCGAAAGAAGTACTCTCTGTCTGATAGGCTTAACTCGAAAAACAGTATGTGGAACTGACCATATTTCTCCCGTTTTTTTCAAATATTCTCTAATCCAAAACCTCTTCGTTCTTCGTTTGGTTGGCTTCTGTTTTTTTTTTTTCAGAATGGAAAACCTTGCATTGACTAGTGCAAGAACACAGATGTATTGAGAACGACGCAGCATAAGCTCGAGTGCATCCATGTTGCTGTAATGATGTTATATTTGTGTTCAAGTTTCAATTTTTGGCACACTTTCCATTTCCCGCCAAATTCATAATCGGGAGAATCTGGGACAGACTTCTTGGCGATTATCCGATATATCGGCAAAATCTGGGATGGACTACAAAAAGTCAAATCCCCGATCGTCTGAGATTTTCCTGACATATGAAAACAACAGTGAACTGCTGGATGTTGTTGATTAGGTTTGTCTTTAATGAAGAAACCTGTGACGAACAGTCATGCACTTGTGATTATTACAGCTATGTTAGTGATCTGTTTTCTTGTTTCTCTGTTTGCAAATTGCATGGTTGTCAATAGTGATCATGGGTACTTGTGATCCAGTGAAAGTTCTTAACCCTCGAACGCACACGCAAATCCATATTCCCACCGTGGTACAAGGGGACAGGTGGGGGGGGGGGGTGCAGGTTGATGGAACCCCTCCCCAGAGTTTTAAATATGTTGCAGTATTTCGAAACGACTTTTTGCCTTTAGTGGAAAGCCTTTGATTTTCTCTACAAGATGAGGTATATTCTATGGGTGGTAGCGCTGCTGGAGGCCTGTGACGTCACCAACAATGGTCGCCATCTTGGATTTTTCCAAGAATTAGAAATCAGGTTAAAATCGCGATAAATGGTAATTTTTGTGTGCTTGACATGTAAAATAACATATAAATAATCACTTTGTATCACTTCATCCACAAGGTTTACTTTTATTGCTGAAAAAAGGTTGAGAAAAACATACATTTCCACTAAAAAATGGCTAGACCACCTGCTACTTATGATGTCATATCTCGTAACCATAGTAACTGACCATCACTAAACTTGTCTCAAAATGCGCACCAGGGATAAACAAACAGCTACTGAAAACGTCAGGTGCTGATGTTTTATCGTCTAGGAAAAAAGAAATAAAAAATAACTCAGAGGGGGTGGCAACCACCCCCTCTTTTACGTCCGATGGTTACATTACACTTTTCTTTTACAGCTCATTCAACAAGATAAAGAGAAACTTGTAAAGGTCACAATTTCCAATTTAAGAATCAAATAATCACAACAGACCATTATACAATTTTGGGCATGGTATCCTAGCGTTTGAATGAACGTGAGACTTATCTTCACCTAGTTTTTATTCAAACCTCCTTCGTTTTCTTATGGAAATTTTGCTCCAAAAATACCAGTTAGCATAAGAAAAACGTGATTAACATAATAAAACAGAAAGGGTTGTATCAAAGCGTTTTCAACTCCAGCCACGTTTCTACCTGCAACTGTTAAATGGGCCATTCCTGTGCTCCGAAGAGTCGTAGTTCTGTCAGTTTTGAAATTTTTCATAACACTTTAGAGAATTAGAAAAAGGAGCCACAGAAACAACTGAATCAAACAGGGTGTCAATGTGTATATGTAAATATTATTATTTAGTTTTCAAATTCAGACACGAAATTTGACAGAATGGAAAACATATTTTACGATCACGAAGTGGCTGATTATGTAAGCTGTAGTTTTTGCTTGATATAAAAAGTTATACAGCACAGTTAATATTTAAACGATTTCTGTTAACGTGACTCGTTGAACCGTTGATCCAGGTTTAGGCGTTTCCACCTTCACGTTGAATTGCGTTCCAATCGGAATCAAGTATTCTTCCTGGTTCGGATAACCGGACAAGTCGGCTATTTTTGTTCCCGATTTCTTCAACTTGAATTCCATTTCAATTGGGTGCTTTTGTTCATCTGTCAGATCTAAGCCGCGGTCTTTAAACCTCTCAGTTCGTGTTGTTGTAGACTTAAAAGTGTATGTTTCATAAACTGAACCGTCTCGATATTTTTCAATAGCTTGCTCCCATCTGTAAGCTTTTATCTCTTCTTTTATAGGATTTTTCTTCAGGTAACTCTGAATTAAATCAGCCTGATCAAGAACCTCGTCTACAGAATCCCAAGTACCTTTTTCTTTAGTAAATGGATCACTTGGTCTAAACAAAGGCTGTCTTTTTATAATATGTCCTAAAAAGCTGTTGATACGGCGTGGATTTATTGTGTATCGGTAAACCGCCCATAATTCAGCTTTACCACTTTCAGAATCAGTAGCGTTAAATTTTTGCTTAACGCTAAATGGAGCGCTTGAAAATTTTGCTTCAAATGATCCGGATTCTTTTGCCATAAATCTCTGCGCACTACGCCCCACACGTTCTGATACAGCTTTCTCATCAGCAAGTGATTTGAACATATTTTCGTGGTTTTCTGTACTGTGAAGTTCGGCTTGTGCACGCCTTGTGCAACTGCTAACATGACCACGTTTACATCTTAAACGCTTCATGAGACGTTTCAGATCATCAATATTACGACCCGCTGTTTTCCATATTCCTTTTAATGTCCTCCTCGGATGGAGAAACATTTTCTTGCTTAATTTTCCTACGTTTTTCAGAAATAATGCAGGATCGGCAATTAGTTCTCTGATCACTAATTTTCCACTTTTTTTTATGCCTGTCTTTACAGCAGTCTTGAATCCTTGCTTGGCTACCTTTTTGAAAACGTTCTTAATAGATTGTTTAGTTACAACAACCGCTGCCTTCAGTCCTTGCTTCAGTCCAATCTTTACACCGACTCTGATAGCCGTTTTCGCCGCAGTTAGTGGACCTGCAGCAGTACCCCCCGTCAATGCTGTTGCTGCTGCTGTTGTAACATCCAAAGCAGCCCCTATTGCAAAAGATACGGCTCTTTCTTGTGCAACACTTGTGCATCCAGCACTAGCATAACCAATGGACGAAAATATATCCCAAACAGTTTCGACAACGGGAATATACTGAACAACATTGTATATGTCTGATTCTGTCTCATGTAAACAGTTTGATGATGACACAGTAAAGATCCATTTTTGATTGTCATTTCCGGTGTACGGAAAGCCACCAACTAATGAACGTTTACTTGTACGACCACCAAATACATCCATTCTAAGTTGGCGATATTTTGAAATAATAAATTCATCATCAATGTTCCAACGCTGATTTGGTCCAGCATTGTAAACGTGTAGAAAAATTTTCCCCCATCCTTCCCTCTCATAATCAGTCATACGTAAATCTAGGACTTTATTTGGATGTTGTTTGGATCTGATACAGTTTCCATCCCAAAACCATAACTGGTTATCCTTTCCATTATAGGGCCAAAGATGAACCTTTGTATGGGTTGCGGCGTCTAAAACGTTTCCACTTGCCTTTCCTTTTACTATGAAGTAAATCCTTTCTTTTGGATTCACGCTCCATTTCTGATTAATATTACTAGTGCTTCCGTATCCACCTACCAGCGCTCCATCGTCATAATTACTTTGTTTTATGTCTAAACGTAAGCCTTGGTAATCAGAAATGATATTATCCCCTTCAAGATTCCATCTCTGATTCGGTCCTCCATGAAAAGGATGAAGAAAAACATCACCAAAACCACTCTTTTTGTAGTTTTCCATATGCAGGTCAAGGACCTTGTTTGGGTATTTCTTTGATCTAATGCTTTTTTCGTCCATGAACCACAATTGATTATCTAATCCATGAAATGACCACATGAGCACCTTATTGTCAGAGGGTGCATCTAAGACTTTAGCATGCATTCTGCTTGACAGCGTGAAGAAATCATGTTCTCGTTGTAAACTCCACTTTTGGTATTTTCCATTCTTTGCACCTATTTGAGATCCATCTGCTTGGCTCCCATCCTTTACTTCAACACTTAGATGTTTAAATTCAGATGAAAGATAGTTATTCTCAAAGTTCCATTTTTGATTCTGTCCGCCGTTAAATGGGTGCAGAAAAATTTTCCCCCACCGATATTTGTTATAGTCTGACATATGAAGGTCAATTACTTTGTCAGCATACTTTTTGTTTCGTATTACGTCACCATCCCAGAACCATAACTGCTGATCACTGTTAGTGTAGTGCCATAGTTTAATTGATGGTGGACTTGCAGCATCCATTACTTTTCCAGACTCTTTGTTTAATATAAAAAAGTATGGCCTTGAAGATGAAAGGGTCCATCTTTGATTTACTCCTCCGTGATTTCTGTATCCTCCTACCAGCGCTCTATCAGAAGTACTGCTTTGCTTAACATCTAAGCGTAAGTTTTTGTAACTTGAAATTATCTGGTCATCTTCAGCTTTCCATCGTTGATTGTTACTCGTATTGTAAGGATGTAGGTAAACATTGCCCCAGTTGTTTGCCTCATAATTTGCCATATGGAGCTCAAGTACTTTTTCCGGAAATTGCTTGCATCTAATATTGTCATCGTCCCAAAACCATAATTGGTTATCCTTGCCATGATATGACCATAAGATAACTTTACCAGTGCTACTTTCGTCAAGACTTGCATCCAAAACTTTGCCGGAATGTCTGCTTGTTATAATGAAATAAAATCTGTCCAAACTAAGACTCCATTTTTGATTCATATTCACAGTTCCTGGGTAAACGCCAACAGGTGCTCCGTCATACGTGTGACTATATTTTACATCTAACTTCAAATTTTTGTATTGAGATGTTAACTGGTTGTTTTCGAAGTTCCATAGAAAATTGTTACCACTTCGTCTTGATGATATATAAACCTTACCCCAGCCAGATCTTTCATAGGCAGACACATGCAACTGTAAAAATGCATGACGATGTTTTTTCGAACGAATAGCTCCATTGTCCCAATACCACAGTTGGTTGTCGTCTCCAGTATACGTCTTCAAGACGACGGAATAGTCTGGTCTGACTGCCAGTACCTTTGCAGTCATCTTACTAGAAATTAAAAAGTAATCAATGGGCTTGATCTTTTCATAATAATCCCATGACGCTGTATCCACTTTTCCACAATAGAAAAATTTGCCAACATCTTTTCTATTTTCAGAATTCATATGGCAGGTCTGTGAGTTGTCTTTCATATATCCAACTGATTTACAACCTTCTTCTTCTAAGCAAAGCTGAAGGCAGTCATCTTTTGAAATCGGGTTCAACAAAACGCCTAAAGGTCGTGAAATAGCGCAATTTCTGCTTACTTTAAAATACTTGTAAATATTATTGATACCAGTTTCTCTTTTTTCTCTTCTGTGTGCTTCGTTGATTGCAAGCATTTCGTACACGAGTTTTTCTGCATTTAACATTTGAAATTTACGTTCCTTAAGGTAATTCATGATACGACCACTTTTATATCTTGAATCCTGACTGAAGGTGTTCGCGATAGTTGTTACATTGTAAGTGCTATTGATAACGTATGAAGCGTTATTCTGCTTAAAATCATATAAAAGACTTTTAAATTCTTTCTGTCCAAGGTTATCACATTTTAGGGAAAGAAATAGGGCTGGTGACAGTAATTCATATAGCGTCTTGTATCTTTGACTGAAACTAAGAGACATCTTAAGTTTTTCAGCTTTGTGTTCGTCGCATGGAGCAGTAGTGTTTTCTTGCGGGCTTTCAATAATACGTGAAAAGTTTTGTTTCCTGTCAACCAATAAACGGCTTAGAAACCCGGCAGTGTCTGGACAGCCAACGGCAATAGATGCTATCATCATTGAGATAATCTTTGTCTCAACTGGTTGGTCGACATCACTTATTAAGTACTTGATATTTGAAAGTGTGAGAGAATTGCAATGCAGTACCACGTGTTCTAGGTGTCCACCAAACCTATCAAATTCTGAAGTTGGCGTATCGAACATTACTGTACTTTTGAAGGAATACTCTCTTTTGGTCGATAAAGATGGAACTCCAAAGGAAGAAACAATACGACCAGTATCATTCTGACCAAAGGAGAGGGTTTTATTAGGCTCTTGTGGTTTTGAAGACAATATTTTTGACGTTACATATTCCACAGGTTTGACTGCAAGTTGAGAATGCGACCTGTCGATTGTTTCTTTCAACATATTTGATGCACTTCTATTTTCTGGTTTTGATAATGAGGTACCTAAAAGATAATATTAAAATCGCATTTCAATGTATTATCAAGGGAAACATTTAAATAAAATAAAGTTTATGTTCATATTATGTATCATATTTCATAGGAATTTATACCTTAAAATATATCAAAGTACAAGGGAGATTTCCTTGGCTAGCTTAATAAAATTCGGCGGTCGTACTTGAGTAATTAAGTCAATGCCTTTTTATAAACACAAATAAACAATGCTGATGGTACGGAAATAACTGGACTATAAGTGGCAACGTTGGCATTCTTGTTTGAGCGTACAGTAATTTGTTAAAAAAAAAAAAGGTATGGGGAGCAAATTGAAAAAAGAAGTTTTTACTCTTGTCAGAAACTTTGGATTATTTTCCGTTCCCAACTTTATCTTTTTTACATGATCTTCCTATTCTTGGCCTCTATCAGTACTCAGTAATAAGTTTGAAATAGAAACTAGTCTACTGGTCTAAATTAACAATTGTGTTGAATTTGTTCATTGACTTCCACTGAGTGGAAGCCACAGCTGGGGAATTGTTAATCCCCGAGGTTGCTGAGATGATATCAGGTCATACTGATCTGTGGGGTGACCGCAGGAGCTTTTTGCTTATCTGGTCACTTACGTTGCATTTCATGCTGGTATTTAGAGATGATCATTACGGATCTAGTGATGATGGTGAATTAAAGCGAATCTGCGGATTCTGGCTCCCAGACTTTAAATTTTTTGCTTGTAAACACCTTTAGCCGTTATAAAAGACGAAAAAATATTGAACAACCAAAATGGCGGTCTCAAAGTGCCGTTGTTTGAGCTTTAGCAATGTCATGTTTAGATCGCAAAATCTCATTGAATCCTAGCATCAGCTCATACTACCTTCAACCTTATTTGCCCCTGCAACACATATCCGAACGCAGAAAGCCACAAAGATACATACGCTATGTTACGAAAAATTGTATTGCGTGACTAGCGTGACTTTCTAGAAGCTTCGCGAGAGTTTATAGTTTGTTTATTTTTGGATCCTGTGTAAGCGTTTCTAAAGCGGTATATTTTGTAATCTTTCTATAATTAGACTATCTGGAGAGTTCTAGAATGTGAAAGTATATAAGTAGGCGAGTCCGAGGTAAGTTTTAACTAGTTTTCACAAGCGAAGAAAGTCCGGTGTGCGACAAACGCAGACTGCAGACTTGCAGACCGCAGACCTGCAGACTTGCAGACCTGCAGACCTGCAGACTTGCAGACTTGCAGACTTGCAGACTTGCAGACTTGCGGACTTGCAGAGACGTTCGGAACTCACGGGGGGGGGGGGATAATTGCCCCCGCAGGTTCAATCCCGAGGAGGCACTCTAGTAACTCGCGCGTATATTAAGGAAAGTACTTACAGTTGTAATATACAGTCAGTATGGCAGGAAAAAATCTCGATTTGCTTGAACAGGGGCCGCGAGGAATCGGTAGGTAATGATGACGTGATGAAGACAGAAAATTTCGAAGGGACCGGTCAGGTAGATTTTGTGACATTTATTGTGCACTCATACTTCGATACTCTTTTGCGTTACTTGTTATCAGTGACATTCTGTGGAGCAGTTGGTTCAGTGAAGGTGCGTACAACCGTGTATATAGAAACACTTGGAGATTTTACCAGACACGAGTTCACAAATCTTTGATTGGAAACCTTGCCAGACACTCTTTCTCTCTCTTTGACCGGAATAAGACTCAGCCCGAAACAAGCAAGACGAGTGAACAACGGCTAGCTTATCACTAGCAGAACGATGGACGATTACAGAAATTCGCCGACAATCAAATTCTGTGCTGACTTATTTCCTGCTCACAGATGTCCTTCCGTTTTAAAGCCGCTCGATGATCCCACCCGTCTTCTTCTTCGCTGCTCTCGCTGAAGTTTAGGTCACCGTTCTTCCGATGTTAAGTCTTCCACGGCAAGGATTTCCAGTCACCTGTCGAATCGGGCACTGTTGTGTTTGCAGCCCGTTAGCGCTGTTGTTTGCCTCAGACATACTTTGCGATTCGCCAACAGTAAACAGAGGATGAATAAAATTAGTCCAAAGCCCTGTCACAAAAAATGTAGGTCTGCAAATCTTCGAGTCTGCAAGTCTGCTAGTCTGCAAGTCTGCAGGTCTGCAGGTCTGCAGGTCTGCAAGTCTGCAGTCTGCGTTTGTCGCACACCGAAGAGAGTCTGGGGTTAGTCGTGTTTAGTCAAGTGTGACGAAAGCAGTGTTTATTCTAGTTGGCAGAGGCCGTGTAAGTTTATCAAGTTAAGTGAAGTTGGTGGAGGCCGTGTAAGTTTATCGAGTTACGTGCTGTTGTGAAGTTTTACTTCGTAGAAACTACGTTCATTTTTGGAATAAATCTTCTTGTTGCTGTTCCGACAACCCTGCGTTCAGTTTAGTTTGCAAGCCACCCGTCCTCTAAAAGATTACCCGCGTAACACGCTAAGACCACTGACATATGAGCTATTTTTTCAATAGCTCAATAAACTAACTATTTCAATACACAATGGCGACCTCACGCAAGCAAATAAATAACTGCAGTAAAAAAAATTGAATAAGCGCGAAGCAGCCAATGTGCAAAGTAATAAAACACAGATTTTTTGCTCTTGGTGTCGAAAGATAACAAATTTATGCGAAGCTCTATAATGTTTACAGACGGCTGTATATTGATTTATTTCATGAAACTGTAAATTGTTAACTTCAAAAAGGACAGTTTCGAGGTATTCATAGCTGCGAGCCTTAGCGAGCAGTAACACTATTTGTGACAGTCCGAGTGGGGCCTAGGCACTTTATATGTGGTTTCATCTCTCAATTCTTCGACGAAGATTTTATTCGAGTCGATGGAACGATGAATTTTTTTTTCGTGCCGTGTGGGGCCTGGGTACTTTTTCTCTCGATCCGTTCGCAGTGTCTTTTTCCCGAAGGCAGCCATCAAATGAAGATGTGTTTACAGCTAACGTACTGTACCTTTGCAATCTTTCCTTCAAAAGACCTATTGATGTGTTTCCTCTTCCAAACCATGACTGCAAATCTCCCTGTGTGTGTGTTGGTGTGGCGCATCCATTGAAGGAATATGCTATTGATACATCTCGCCTCGTCCATTAAACATATTCACCTGGCAGGGTCGGCAAGGTGGGGGATAGTGGTATACCAGTATACCCCCAAAAAATTCGCAAAATACCCAAAAATACCCAAAATTCATCCAAATATACCCAAAATTATACCCAGGTATACTTTATACACGAAATTCAAAGAAAGTGATATACCGAATACCCGTATTTAAGCTGCACCGATTTAAAAAGCCCCTGTATACCGTATACCCAAAATCCCTGGCCGACCCTGACCTGGATAGTCAGAAGGGCTGAATGTGATATCAGACAGCAAGAGCTTAGCGAGTTTTATAAAGAAGCAGAAAATTACTGCTGTAAAACCAAAAGTTGACCCAGTTACGTTTTATAAACGTATATAGCAACATTATTTTTTGGAACTTTCCGGTAAGATGAAAGATTGTTTAGAAATTTTTGGTCACGTTATACTGTCATGTTATATCATTTGGCAGAGTCGTATAGGGGGAGGTGGTTGCATTTGGAAATATGATTAAATTGCAGTTAAAAATGATGCCAAGTTTTTGGTTTCAAAAGCGCAATTTACTTATTCAGACATATGATAATGGTTGAAATTAGAGCCCCGACTTGAAAATGGAACCATTTTTCTTGTTGTTTCTAAAAGAGATTTATATACAATTTGATGTAGTACTACCCAGTATCTACTCGCAGCACTTAGCTTACAATTTGCAACCTACGGTATTAACACGATAATAGTGTTTATCAAACAGCCGTATTGCCAGCAGGAAGGTTCACTATTAGAGGTTGGTTAATCTTACTTAACTTCCGTTGGCCAGCCGATAGTATTGTTGCTAAAACAGGACGCGAACTTTTTTTAAATAATTTTGAACGTAATAAATTAAATTGAATCTATTAGTTAACGAAACAAAATGTACTGGCTTGTGAGCAAGGAACTGTGCGACTATTCAAAAGCCCGCTTGATTAGAAAATTTGCCTTCTAGCCCGAAGGATTACCGGGTTCTACGACAACTCGATTAAGCATCACAAAACGATTTCTTTTCAGTATTATTTTAGGGGTTGCCATATGAGATAGAAACAAAACTAAAATTTAATTTGCTTTGCGAGATTTATTAAGAATCAGAAAATTACTGTTGTAAAACAGTAGTTGACCCTAACTAAAAAAGACTCTAAAAAACAATTTTTGCAATAAACATAAAGTAGAAATGAGAAAAATTGACTGTATTTCCTTTAGGTAACTCACGTAACACTAACTTTAAAACGAAATTAACTATCTTCGTATCGAAATTTGTCCGGGGAAATCGAGCTGAAAGTCAAAATTGCAAATTTAAATTCGCCGACACAGCCGAGGCTGAAGCGATGCTTGAGCAATTTAGATGCTATTGTTTTACGACCGTTCTTTGAACTACTGTTATGAATGAACATAAACAAAATAATAAACAGAGAAGTCATTTTTGAAAAATTTAATTGAAAACAAAATTTTTCTGTACTCAAATGAAATTTTCTTTACAATTCCAGCGTAATGTGTCCGTAACTCGACTGAAATTTTTAATCGATGCGATGAAAACTACACAACAAAGCTGTCTGGAATCTGATCGTGGTTCCTAAAAAATTTGCTTGAATTTAACATCAGTTCGACTAAAAAGTCAATAACACAATGCTAATTGATAAATTTTCATTTCAAAACAGACTTTCTCTTCTATAACAACACACAAAATGTACCTTAAATCTTTGCTCACTCGGTTTTTCTTCTGCCGAACCTAACCTCGAAAAAAAAAAAACAGTGATAAATTCATCCAGGGCAAAATTTGTCGCTTGATCTTTTGACTTTTTCTTTTTCAAAACGACAACTGAGTATTTCCTTCAGCTTCCACTTTTCATTTGTACATTTCATCGGTGCACTTTACTGACAGGAGAGGAGATTTGCTGAATTTACCTCAATTTTACCGCGCTAGCTCAGTTTTTTGGCGTGCACCCACGAGCAAATGCATGGTAGATGGCTAACTGACCAATCAGAGCGCGCGCTTTACTTTTGTTAGGTTATTAAGACCTATGGAGTGAGCTAAAGCGGTAAAATATTGCCTGTGTATCCTTTGTATCCGCGAAGTGTGACAAGAGGCGTACGGAAGCAATGAGCCGCTAAGAGTTTTGGGGACATTTTGAGCATCGACGAAAGTGGCTTTGAATGAAGTTCAAGCTGAATTTGTGTCATTGATGGTGAAGGAGAAGCACTGCTTGGAAGAGAAACTGCGCTGCAACTTGGAGTGTTGAAGTTAGGTGTTCCAGTTTATAGGCACGCTGTAGTCCAAAGAAACGATCATGTCAGTGTTTGATGGTGAGAGGAAGTTAAAAGGCTATCAGGTCAAGTTACGTGTGAATCCCAATGTACCCACGGTGGCTCAGCCAGTCAGGCGCACTCCGTTCAGCCTCCGTGACAAGGTGAAGAAAAAGGTCGAGGAACTTGTAAGCAAGGATATTATTGAGCCAGTAAATTGCCCGACACCATGGGTTAGTCCGGTTGTGCTGGTATCAAAACAGAATGATGAAATTCGTCTTTTTGTGGACATGCGTAGAGCCAATGAAGCGATAATCAGAAAATGCTACCCCATACCTACCGTGGATGAGGTACTCCAAAGCCTCAACCAAAGCACAGTGTTTAGCAGGCTTGATTTAAAGCAGGGTTACCATCATCTAGAACTCCATCTACATTCCCGTAGCGTAACTAACTTCATCACTCATTGTGGATTGTTTCAATATAAGCGCCTAGCTTGATAGTGTTTGGAATAAGTTCAGCCCCAGAGGTGTATCAGCAGGTTATTCAGCAAGCGCTTTAATAGTGACTGTAAGGGAGTTGCAAATATCTCAGATGACATAATTGTGCATAGGAAAACCACTGAGGGGCATGATGAGAGGTTAAAGCGAGTTTTGGAGAAATTGAAAGAGAAAAACCTGACACTAAATGCAGAAAAGTGCAAGTTTCACATGACCAAACTAGTGTTTATGGGTTTATGTTGAGGCAAGAGACCCGCAGAATGCTTCGGAAGTAGAAGCCTCCTAGGACTAGCTAACTACAATACGCAGTTTATCCCAGTCTTTTCCAAAGTAGCTGAACCTGTGCGTAACTTAACAAAGAAAGGGGGTGTGTTTCAGGTTTGGAGATGAACAGAGAAGAGCACTCATTGAGCTGCAGAGCAGATCAGTAAGTGCAGAATCCCTTGGATATTTTGACAAAGATGCCCGAAGACGTATTATAGCAGACGCAAGCCCAGTTGGTCTCGGCGCAGTACTTATTCAAGAACAACAAGGAAGAAAGAGAGTTACTAGTCGTGCAAGCAAAAGTTTGAGTAAAGAAGAACAACGGTATTCTCAAACTGCGAAAGAAGCGTTGGCAGTTGTTTGGGCTTGCGAGCGTTTCCATGTGTACCTGTACGGCATTGAATTCGAACTGTACACAGATCACAAGCCATTAGGGACAATATGCTAAAGCAGATCAAAGCTGTGCACAAGAACTGAGCGATGGATCCTGAGGCTACAACCTTTCAGGTTCAAAGTTAAATACTTGCCAGGAGAGCAGAACATTGCAGATCCCTTATCCCGCTTACAGTTAGCAGAAAACCAAGCAGGTCCTTCGGCAGCGCAAAAAGTATCAGATGAATTTGTCAGATTTGGGGTAGAAACCGCTACTCCGCGCGATGACGACACGCGAGCTTGAAGAAGTGTCAGCAGAAGATGAAGAATTCGGTGAGCTGCGTCACCGTATAAAGAGCGGAACCTGGAGGGATGGCCAGCTCAAGCAATACATATCTGAAGCCAGTGAACTGTGTGTGATTGGCAAGCTAATCCTCCGTGGCACCAAAATTGTAATACCTAGTAAGCTGAGACCACGAGTCCTTACGCTGGCACATGAAGGGCATCCCGGTATTGTTAGTCTGATGAAGAGGTTGTGATCAAAGGTATGGTGGCCCGGGATTGACAAAGGCACAGAAAGATTTTGCATCACGTGTTTTGGATATTAGCTAGTAAGCAGTCCTGCCCACCCTGAACCAATCAAGTCAACCCCCTTACCACAAGGTTCATGGCAAGACTTGGCCCTGGATTTATTAGGTCCTTTGCCGTCAAGTGACTCCGTGTTAGTCGTGGTTGACTACTTCAGCAGATAGCTAGTACGAAATTGAGATCATGTGTTCCACAACATCTGAGAAGGTCATTGAGAGTCTGGAGAGAATCTTCATGATTCATGGTTTACCACTATTACCATTGACAATGGGCCGTAGTTCGTCTTAAGTTAGTATATATATTATTATATAATATTGTGATTGCCACATAAGTTCAGTAACATCTGTGAACCTGAAGAAGGCTGGTATGGCCAGCCGAAATATTGTTATAAAAAACAATACACGTTGTCTTAAATCAGCTTTTCAGTAGTCTCCGGACTTCTCGTTCTTGGTTCTTCAGTTATATTTTGGCTGATTAGATCTCTTTTCTAGAGATCCAACGTTTACAACTAGCAGGATCTTCGTCCACGGTTTTTGCAGCTAATTTAATCCTTTATTATGTTTTCTACTGTTAAAATTCGCAGTGCCAGTTATAAAATTTGTTGTTGTTGAATTGGTACCTCTTAGGGGTGGAAATAAATTGTGACACGCCCATAAAACAAGATTCTGGTACCTTTTAGGGGTGTTGTCGAAATTTTCCGACGAGCACCCCCGTCCCTTTTATAGGAGAGTACCCCCCCCCGGGGGTCGAAGTCTACCGTCTTAATAAGTTATTAAGGAGCTTAAGCAGCAGCGTTTATGAGCGAAGGACGTCAACAGGTAGTGGATTTTTTGAATCATTGGGCAGTGGTTTGGTTGAAACTCTCGGGTAAATCCTCTTTATAAGGGAAAAGAAACTTAGCAATACAAATTTGTTAGAGTCAAGGCATAGATATCGTGAGAAGGCCTCACTTCCGGTTGACGTGCGTCGCTCAAAAACGTCTTTGCTTGAGCTCCCTACATAGGTTTGGGAAGGCAATGTAATTAGTTTTATTATATAGATACGAGTGTTTTACTGGAAAATATACCAATCGTAAATTTCATAACAACTACATCCGGGACCCGAGTGGTTTATTTTCCATAACCTCACATGTGAGTTTATCGATGACGTAATTTCGGTAATTTCCCTCTATTATTTTATCGATGTCTTTTTGTCTATATAATAAATAGAACATTACACGGCGGCTTGAAGATATGAATTTTATTTTCTCGTGGCAAAAACAATATTTTACTTACTCACTGCGCTCATTCGTAAAATATTGTTTTGCAACTCGAAAATAAATCTAAATAAAATAAATATCTTCGGCGCCACAGTGTAATATCCACTCTATATATTTATCCAATTTTCAATAAAATTTGTTGTTGTTGTTGTTGTAAAGAAAGGTAATGTAAGGCATGGGTAAAGAGTCAATTACGTTGAGTATGGAATTGGCTAAAACTCAATGTTACGAGCTCCAATGTTTTGAGGATAATTATTCACTGACTACTAGCACGCAGGCCAGGATGTCGGATTAACACAAGAAAGTTTAATACCAAAGGAACATAATCTTTGCAGGGCTTTACAACACAGCATCCGCCAACACAAACTTAACTTGAACTTAAGTAAAACTAAACAGCCTCTGCCAGTTATAACAAACTCTCACTTGAACTTCAGAAACCTTACGGCCTAACCCAGGCTCTGTGATAGTGCTACAGTACCGTTCCAGCAAAATTACAGTGTTTGTATGGGGTAAAAATACCATCCTAAAATTTCTAGGAAATACTAAATAAAGATCAATGAAACTTACTCTGCAGTTAATTGTTGTTGTCCTTATTGCTCCAACGAAGTTTCGTAATAATTTGCAGTAATTTGTTCAAATTCACTCTATCTACAATAATAATATACAAGGTAGGAAACACGAGATGCCATTTTCGCCGACATGCTCTCATTGAACACAACGTTTTCCACGAAATTCGAACTCCAACGGAAAATAAACATGCCAGAATAGTAGAAATAGGATAGCAGCAGATATAGAAACCAATTAAGCTTTCCCAGATAGAGAAACGAATCCCAAAGACTTTGACAAACTCAAAGGAGATAATCCAAACAGACCGAGAATATGCTCGCCGAAGCAGCCGGGCCAGATCAACGCACGGTCAAGAAAATGAAGCCTGGGCACTGTACAAAAAAATCCATCCCGGGAGTCCTGAGGTGACCTTTCTGGTGACCGATACATCATTTGCCCAAAGGCACCCTACCCTGCTGAAAAAATACTTGATAGAAGGCAATTATTCTTCCTAGCCAATCACAATTCGCCAGAGCAAACCTCGCACACGCGCCTAAATTTAAATGGCTAAAAAATAATAATCGGTCGTTGATTTTGAGTGAAATAATATGTGCATCTCATTTTCAACCGAATTTAATTGCAGTGATCACAAATTCTTAGATCTTCAGGAGTTTTGGGAATTGTAAATCTTCCAGTTTTTATTTTTAAATTATGATTTCCTATCCTAAATTTGGAGGCTACACGCCTATGTTTAGGATTCCGGATATGATTGATGAATTCAGAGTAATTTGTTTCATTTTATTAAAGATGGAGTAGAATTTTAGTTCTTTATTTGTTCTTATCAAATTTAGTTGGTCGTTTTTTAGATGTTCTGAAAAATTATTTTCAGCTTTGGATAGGAACGTAGAAGGCTTTTAAAGTTAACTGATTGTTTATCAGTATCAAGATGTGTACACAAAAGATTTATTTTATTTATTAGACCTGATTTATTTTCTTGGTCCATGCGATAAGTTTAAGCAGAGTTTAGCGATGCTGTCAGGGGATTGATTTTCAAGGCGAATCCAAAACTTGAAAATGTTCATAGTTATTTGTAAATTGTGAGATAATCTGCCAAGTTTATTTCTCGATGCAACATTTGGTGTACGTTTGCATGTGTTTTCTCAACGGAGTCTTTATCCCAGCGGCCATGATCACTTTTGTCATAGATTCCCCAAACTTCGGAGCAATACGTTAAAATTGGAAAAAAATAGTGTATTGAACAGTTTGTTGATGATGTGAATTGGTAATTTCTAGAACATCTAGATAACGACGAGCGGCCAAAAAGGACCTCTTTGTTTTTGCTGTGAAGTTTTCCTTGTGATTTGTAAAATTTCCATTGGCAGAAAATTTCACTCCAAGATAGGTATAATTATTGACGATTTCAACGTGTTCCTTGCTAACCATAAAATAAAATCTTTAGCATTGTTGTTTAGAATGAAGGGTAATTCGTTTAGATAAAGGTCAAAAGAAGCGGGGACAGAATACAGCCTTGTCGAACACCTTTATCATAATTGAAAAATTCTGATCAAGTATAATTGTCTTTCACACAACATGTTGAATGGGAATACTTGTTGGAAATTACTCAATGAGGTGCCACCTATGTTATATTTCAACAGTTTGTATAGTAAACCTTGATGCCAAATTGAGTCAAATGCCTTCTTAAAATCAACAAAACAAGTATAAAGTTTTCCTTTTGGGGAGTGGGTAACATGTTGGTCTATTTACGTTTTTAAACTAAAGATATGCTCAGACGTACGCTGTCCGGGCAAAAAGCCAATTTGGGAGCGATGAAGTATTTTATGTTTGTTTGAAAAGTTTAATAATCTGGTATTTAAAATAGAACAAAAGACTTTGCCGAGACAACTACTAATGTAAATACCTCTGTAATTTGAAGGGTCATCTTTGTTTTCAGATTTATGCAAGGCAGTGATTATTCCGGCCATTACTCCATGATGTAGGAAATATTCCAGATTGTAGAATCAGATTAAAAAGTTTCTCAAGTGAATATTTTATAAATCTTGAGCTTGTTTTAATCATTTTAATTACGGTCAGTATAAAACATGGACTGCGGACCGCGGACCACTGACTGCGGACTGGGTATAAAACACGGACTTGGTGTAAAATTCTGACTACGGACTGAGTATGAAACACGGATTAGGTATAAAACGCGGAATACGGACTAGTATATAAAAACGGCTTTACAAAGGTAAAACTGAGAGAAACGGAAAGCGGACTAGCATAAAACAGTAGTCGTAGCTCCTTGCCTCACACACAAACATTCCTTTAGCCGGTCACGCAGTCTATTCTCCCCAACGTCAGTGTCATGTGAGAAAAGCATACTCCACGGGCAAGAAAGGTTATGCCGCTTCTCAAGGCAACTGAAATTAAACTCTGAATTTTATAAAAAGAAGGATTTAGAAGAGAATTCAATTTATAGTTTTAAACCAATAAGAAGCACCGAATAAAAAAATATTGGTGTTAGTTAGAGTAAAATTCTTATAGAAGCCAGTTACGTTTCAAATAAAGCCTTAGCTTGGGAGTACGAGGAAATGAAGAACTCAGACTAGAAGGTCAATATAGGGACATTCACAGATGTAAAAAAGCAGTATTTAGGGGAAGAGATTACTCACCTATACGTGAATAATAACCGAAATGAATCATCCAACGTTATATTCTATGCGATGATTATGATGACATGATTTACAACCTGCTCCTGGCCTGGGGTTTTCCGGGGAATTCTTGGTAGGGGTGTGCCGCCCGGTTCTCCAAATCCTGACCCGATTTCAGAAAAAAAATGTCATTTTCCACACCCGTTTTCAGTCCGATCTCTAAAATCCATAGCAATTTTCAGTCCTGGTCTATTTTAGCCTGTTCCAGGCTCTCATATAGTGGGGGAGGCTGCCCAGTTTCCTCCCGTTTGATTTTCGTGTTCGCGCTTTCTCAATTCAGTGGACCCAACTATCTCGGAGCCTGGAACAGGCTAGGCCTAATTAGGCAAAAATTATGTCATCATTACCAGATTAGAGCGCAAACAAAAACATTCGTCAAATGCATTTCTAATTCGCGTATTTCTATTTCTTTCTTATTCATTTGGAATTGAAAAGATAAATTGGTTTATACATGTACGCTCTCGTAGTTCCCTCGAATCCTAGCCTCCCACGCAGACGTTCGTCACGCGTTCCTGCCCCACGAACGTCTGCTGAACCTAAAGATAAATTCCTTTCTCATTGTTCGCAAATATCAGCTGGAGATCACATGCAGATTATCGGAGATCCAATCGGCGCTGTTGATGTCAAACTGTTGACAAGCCAAACACTTACATACAAGCTCTGTAGAAGTGTGATACGTGAAAGATTTTTGCTCCGGACGAGAATCTAGGAGATAAGCGTTGGCTTTTTGTATATTTCTCTCTGTAAAGGCTAGATTAGATGTCGTTTGCTCATAAAGTTGTTCTTTGGATGATGCAACGGTGGGGTTACCCTGTAAGACTGAACAAAAGGCAGAGTTTTTTTCACACGTACTGTTTCAGTTGTAGTAAAGCCGACTTCCATTCAGCAAATTTAACCTCTGAGGACATATCATATTTTTCAATGAGATTGTGAGGGTAGCCTCTAGTACGAACGCTTGTGAGTTAACTGAGTAGTTTGTTCTAAAACTGTAAGGTCCTCACCTTTCATAGACCTTTCTGATCTTTTCAGGAGCTACAAAGTCAAGCGCGAAATTTCTCAAGGTCCAAAAGTGCACTTCCCAGATCTGGAAGTCTGCTGTAATTGGTCTACGTTTTTTTTCGCTCAAGTCAGCAGACGTTCGTGGGGCAGGAACGCGTGACGAACCCCTAAGAACGTCTGCGTGGGAGGCTACTCGAATCCAGACCAAAATGAGCAAAGTGTTTTCAGACCAAAAATGCCCAAAAACCCTACCTTTTGGGGCTATATGGCTTATATAAGGGAGCCCCCCCGGTCCTGGGGCCCGTTTCTCGAAAGTCCCGCTAATTAACGGGCCCGGTAAGCTGTCTCCGTTTACATTAAAGATCGAGGTTTCAATAGCTTTTTATCTGACACGATAAAACTGTCAGTTAATGAAACAAAATGGAGTAGTTTGCTAGCCAGGAACCGCGCTCTTATTCTTTATATTTCGATTTGAATATTTGATTTCGGGCCCGTAAAGTTACCGGGACTTTCGAGAAACGGGCCCCTGACCACTTTCATGGTTGTTAGAGACCGAGACCAGGTCTAAAAATGGGTGTAGAGAATAGTACTTTGGTCAGGCTCATGATTCAGAGAACCGGGCGGTGTATTTATGACTTAAACTCACAAGTCTTTCTATTTAGCAATCTTTTGATCTTATTTTTCCTTACTTAGAACCAATTAGAACCCGTTTTACCCACGTAGTGCGTAGTCCGTATTTTCCACCCAGTCCGCAGTCGTCGTTTTGTACCTAGTCCGTGTTTTATACCCAGTCGGTATTTTCCAGCCCGCGTTTTATACCTAGTCCGTGTTTTACACCCAGTCCGCAGTCTCAAGTCCATGTTTTATACTGACCGTATAGTGTTCCCAAAAAGGAAGGGATGTAGTCTACTTTCAGTATAGCTTACATGTTAATCTGATTGTACAAAGGTTCCTGGGATTGATTATTAAAAGGATGGCGGTTCAGATCTGCACTATTCTTTGTGTAGACTTTAATAATGCATTGGAATCGGTTTTAACACGCGATTAAGACACAAGAGCCGTGAAAAATAGACCTCGAAATGTTAAAACGACGTTACTGAAGCCATTAATAGACAATTTGTTGTATCCAACAAAAGCAAAGGGCACGAAAAACAATCATGACAACCGGCTTCTCACGTTAACCAACCTTTTTGTAACAAAAACTTAAACGTATTACATTACAACTGTCAAAACAATTTTCTTTATTTATCAATTTTCTTTCAACATTTTCTTTATTTATCTTCCGGAAGTCTTGAAACTGAAAATCAGGGAAAAATGAGAAATAATATCACGAATATCGATTGTTAATTCGAGTTTTTCTCGGTGCACGGACAACCATTTGGTCACGGAACACAAAGAATAATTCAATTGAATTCACGATTCATGAAAAATAAAAACAGGTAATCACGTATAACGAAAAAACCCCTGTAGGACCCTCTTCAAAGACGGAAAAACATGCTTTACAGATTACACATCGCCCTCTGGGTTAAATACCCGGATTAGAGTTCATTTTTGGACAACCAAAATACCCGGGAAATACTCCCTTACATTATCATTTAGCCTGCGTAGCAAGCGTTTCTGTGCGGTTTAGGAGCAAAGAACGAGGAACAAGAATCATTTTTTGGCTCTCGTTTTATTTCTCGCGCGGCAAAACGGAAAATCCCGTTCCTCGGTCGTTTTTTGCTCCGAAACTAAACGGAAACGCTTGCTACGACAGGCTAATTAGCATTAGAGGTATTGGTCTCAAAAAGGGTCAGATATCAGAGAACCAGACGGCACACCCCACCACGAAACCCCAGGAATACCCCCCCCCAACCCCCTTCCGGAAATAAAAAATCTACCCATTTTATAAACTAAGCCCAGCCTCCTGCCTAGCCCAGTTAATATTATTTTTCCGGAATTTCCACGAAATGAAAAAGAGTTTAGAAATTAGTCACGTTCTTGTCAAGCTATATGTTTTTCAGTCAGAGGTGATTGGTAGTCTGGCCTTCCCAGCCGTTTTTAGGGGTCGTTACTTTACGCTCCTCTCTCAATGCATCTTTATTTTGTGCAAACGTGTAACCTGCTTATTTCGACATTTCAATAATGACATTATAATGATCGAAATTACAGCCCTGACATAAGAATTAAATTCTTTCTTGTTGCTTCTATAACGGATTATTACAACATGACGTAGTAATGCCCCGAGTATCTACTTGCAGCACTTCACTTACATACCATATCTTACATACAAGATATCTTACATACAAGCATCTTAAACACAGACGTCTCAGCTTGGAAGTCTATCATCATCTATAAATAGAAAACTCTAAATAGCCTTTTGGTAGATGTTCTCAAGAAGCTATGCTCTGCAATTCGTAAAACACGGCGATCTACTGAGTAGACAAAATTAAGGTAGGCTTTCCCTTAACATTCACCAAATGTTTCAAGAAAGCGGTCAAAACCAAAAAGGTTAAATGGTGAAAACTCAACACTGAGCAAGATCATTAACAAAGTCTGCGTTTTAACAATGCCTGGAGAAATGAACTCAAAAAGCCAAAACTCTTGCTTTTAAACTTGAGCTTATGTCGTTTATAGGTCGAGGGAAATTAAGAAATCGACAACGAAATAGACTGGAGTTCTTAGAAAGAAAATCCAGATCTTCACAAGATATTTAATAACAACAACATCTAGACGAATTTAGCAAATTGCATACATGGAATGTGTCTAGCAAGGCATCAAAACTCTGGCGCATTGAAATATACACAGAACAACTCCCACTCGGCTCCCATTTAAAGAATGCATAAACAAAAGATTACCTGAAACAGATGTTGTCACTTCAAACAGGAAAATCATAAAAAGAACGGCTGTTTTGGAGGTAAACATCTTCTTCCTTTATACGTTTCGCCTTTCTGCTTTGCCTGGAACGCGGGCCTGGAACAGGCTACTTCCTACTCCGCCGGTGGTCTAGATCATGTGCTCATCATACACTTCGACCTATAGACTATATTGATGAGTGTCGGTAGGGCCAAAACAAACAAAAAAGATTTTTAAAAGTTCTTTTACAACCAAAGGGACAAACCCCGACCGTCTTTATATTCGCAGGAAGCTAAAGATTGTTTGGGGCTGTATCAGTTTGGTATTTCTGCGTCATAAATAACTGTCAAAATTGTTACAAAGCTGACTCTGCTTAATAAAGAGGTGTCAGTCCGCACATCCACGTTCGTGTTATGTTTTCCCCGGTATATAGTGTTCCCAAAAAGGAAGAGATGTAGTTTACTTTCAGTATAGCTTACACGATAATCTGATTGTATAAAGGTTCCCGGGATTGATTATTAAAAGCATGGCAATATTCTTTGTGTAGACTTAATAATGCATTGGAATCGCTTTCAACACGCGATTAAGGTGACGACTCTTAAAACGGCTGGGTAGCAGACTACATTTGATGCTTTCACTTTCTTTATTTATCTTCCGGAAGTCTTGAAACTGAAAATCATCAGGAAAAAATAAGAAATAATATCACGGATATCGATTATTAATTCAAGTTTTTCTCGGGGCACGGACAACCATTTGGTCATGGAACACAAAGAATAATTCACTTAAATGCACGATTCATGAAAAATAAAAACAGGTAATCGCGTATCACGAAAATACCCCCGTATGACCCTCTTCAAAGACGGAAAAACATGCAAGGAGCTAAAGATTGTATGGGGCTGTAGTTTGGTATAACAGTATTTTCTTTTATTGTATCAGGCGTTGCTGTCGCATAGTGTTACTTAGATTATTGAACTGTGTTATCTACACTTCTCCAATTTTCATAAGTCCTTGGTGACATCTTTGGGCTCCCGAAGGTTTACCGCTTATCTCACTTCGTGACAATAAATCTATAAAATGAACCCTGTTTTCCGCAGACTAGTCTTCTTTATCCTTGTCTGACATTTAAACCCCCCCAAAAGGATCTATTCCATTAAACGGAAAGAAATCAACCTTTAAACGGATACTTCAAAGAGGGTCATACAGGGGTGGGGGGGGGGGGGTTTCTGGCACGGTTCACGGACGAAAATAGTTACAAATCACGAATCACGGATGGCAAACTTTCATTTCAGTTTTCGAGTCACATATTCAGCTCGTAAAGGGCCGTTTTCTATCTTGTTCTTTCGCAAAGACAAAAGTGTTAAAAGAGTGCCTTAAAAACAGCTTGAAAGTGGCGAAAAGAAAAAGCAAGACTACAAATAGCCAATTACAAAAATTCATCATTATTAATGCGTCTCTATTTTAGGCAAAAGTGTAACCTGCTTATTGAGACATTATAATGATCGAAATTACAGCCCTGACATAAGAATTGAATTCTTTCTTGTTGTTTCTATGACGGATTATTACAACATGACTTAGTAATATCCCAAGTATCTGCTTGCAGCACTTCATTTACAATTTGTAACCTCTAGTTTTTGAATCTTACACAGTACAAGCATCCTAAACACAGCTAGCCTGTGCCAGGCTCTCAGATAGTACAGTGGGAACGTATTAAAACGAGCAAAGCGAAAATAAGACGCCAGCCCTCACGCGTTTTTCGCATTTCTTATTACTAAACGACTTTCCACCACCATCTCGGAGCCTGGAACAGGCTAAAACACAGCCGTCTCAGACTGGAAGCCTATCATCATCTATAAATAGAAAACTCTAAATAGCCCATAGGTAGATGTTCTCAAGAAACTATGCTCTGCAATTCGTAAAACACGGCGATCTACTGAGTAGACAAAATTAAGGTAGGCTTTCCCTTAACATTCACCAAATGTTTTAAGAAAGCGGTTAAAACATAAAAGGTTAAATGGTGAAAACTCAACACTGAGCAAGATCATAACAAAGTCTGCGTTTTGACAGTGTAACAACTGGAGAAATGAACTCAAAAAGCCAAAACTCTAGCTATTAAACTTGAGCTTATGTCGTTTATAGGTCGAGAGAAATTAAGAAATCGACAACGAAATAGACTCTGGAGTTGATAGAAAAAAAAATGCAAATCTTCTCAAGATATTTTTTACCTAGCCGAAAAACAAATTGCATACATGGAATGTGTCTAGCAACGCATCAAATAACTCTGGCGCATTGAACTACATAGAACAACTTTCACTCGGCTCCCATGTAAAGAATGCATAAACGAAAGATTACCTGAAACAGATGTGGTCACTTCAAACAGGAAAGTCATAAAAAGAACGACTGCTTTGGAGGTAAACATCTTGTTCCTTTGGGCCTTTCGCCTTCTTACTTGGCCTGGAACAGGCTCCTTCCTACTCCGCCGGTGGTCTGGATCATGTGCTCATCATATACCTCGACCTTTGGACTATTGATGAGTCTCGGTCGGGGAAAGGATTCAATTCTGATAATGAAAGATAATCCTTCGTTCGTGCCAAAACAAACAAAAAAGGTTTTTAAAAGTTCTTTTATAACCAAAGGGACAAACCCCGACCGTCTTTATATTCGCAAGGATCACAAGGAGCTAAAGATTGTATGGGGCTGTATCAGTTTGGTATTTCTGGGACATAAATAACTGTCAAAATTGTTACAAAGCTGACTCTGCGTAATAAAGAGGTGTCAGTCCGCACATCCACGTTCGTGTTATGTTTTCCCCGGTATATAGTGTTCCCAAAAAGGAAGGGATGTAGTTTACTTTCAGTTTAGCTTACACGATAATCTGATTGTTCAAAGATTCCTGGGACTGATTATTAAAAGCATGGCGGTTCAGATCGGCAGTATTCTTTGTCAGGGTCGGCCAGGGTTTTTGGGTATACGGTATACAGGGGCTTTTTCAGTCGGGTATACGGTATGTTGCAGCTTAAATACGGATATTCGGTATATCGCTTTCTTTGAATTTCAGGTATAAAGTATATCTGGGTATAATTTTGGGTATATTTGAATTTTTTTCGGGTATACTGGTTTTCCAGAATCCCCCCTGGCCGACCCTGCTTTGTGTAGACTTTAATAATGCATTCGAATCGGTTTCAAGACACAGGAGCCGTGAAAAATGGACCTCGAAATGTTAAAACGCCGTTGCTGAAGCCATAAATAGACAATCTGTTGTATCCAACAAAAGCAAAGGGCACGAAAAACAAACTTGACAACCGGCTTCTCAGGTAGCCTCCCTCGCAGCCGTCTTTTGGATGTCACGCAACGCTCTGTTCTTTTGGGGGAGCGTTGCGTGACATCCAAAAAACGGCTGCGAAGGAGACAACTTCTCAGGTTAACCAACCTTTTTGTAACAAAAACTTAACGGATTACATTACAACTGTCGAAACAATAGTCAGCTTTCTGTCTCGAGTCTTACTGAGCGCACATCTCCTGCTATGCTACAACGATTAATCCGGAATGTTCAACTTAACTAACTGAGGTGTGGTTGTAATCAATCAATCAATCAATCAATAAATCTTTATTCCTCCTGGTAACATAAAAAGACATAAGTTATATTTTCAGTTGGAAGTCTAAAAATACGTATAACATAACAGTATACAAATAATAGAAAGATTTAAGATTATATCCAAAAAAAAGGCCATTAACAATAAAATACATTCTTAAATCTCTCAGTCTCTATCTCCGGGCGATGAGCAGTTTTGTTTCTAAGTTGATACTTTGTTTCTTTCTTCTTCGGAATAATGTTACTAAGCGGACAATCGGTATCCACTGAACGCACCTTGGAAAGCTTCTTATCTGCCTTTTCTAAAAGTTCTCGAATGTCCATTCTCTTATACAAAACCACCACCACCTGGAGGGATGGCCAGCATCACCGCAAACCCTTACGCCCCCCTCTTTAAAGCATCTACCGTGTAGCATGAAAATCTTGGGGGAGTTTTATTTTGCGGACTGGCGATTTTTTATGGTTTGCCGGAACACTGAATTTTTGCGGTTCGAGATGACTGAAATTTCTGGTGGGAACTAATTTTTACGATTCTCTGTTCAAGTAGCAGAATATCTAAGTGGAAGAAACCTTAATATGGTATTTTTAACTTTTATGTTACAGTGTGTTGAGTCAAAGTTCACTCTACTTGCATATTTAATGGAGAATAATACGGTAATCACTGTAATATCTTACTGCACAAAGGGACTGAACAACAGCAAAACAAAACAAAAGCCTATCCCTACGATACTGTAAGTCCATTAAAAGCAGAGTTTTTAATTTGACTGAAGGGAGTTAATTTTTGCGGCGTTTTATATTGCGGGTTTTTTTTTCTGCGGGAACTAATGTTTGCGGATCGAGGTCAATCCGCAAAATTCGAAAAAATTAGAACCCGCAAAATATCATGCTACACGGTATCCAGAAAGTTTTGTATGACCGTGAGATCTGAGTCTACAGCGCCAAAAACAGTCAGACCATCAGTGAAATTCGGTAAAACTAAGGCGCTAAATAGGCGGTCTACTTCACCTCGACTGAAACCTTCCATCCGTAAAGATCTTAATACAAACAGACACTTATTAGCCTTCAGGGAATAGAATTGCCGAGTCAACTTATTTTAGTATTTAAACGTTAGATATAGGCATATTTTTATCCCCTAAAAATTTTTCATCTGTTCGGATTTCCTAGCTGAAAGTCTAGTGATCCGAAAATTATAGGGATCAAAACTTAACTTTCCGTAAATTTCAGCCAGAAAAAGGCTCCCGATAATTCTAGGTGACCTTTTAAGGGTAAAAATCCGTAAAAAAATAGGCAATTATACCACTTTTTAGATGTTTTAAAATCCTAGGAGAGGCAGGCGAGCAAGAAATTTTACAACAAATGCTCCGAAAATTCTAGATCTCAAATCGTCTTCCGAACAGATATTTTTCCGAAAATTGTCGTTGGGTGCCCCTGAGCCTTAATCAACTTAGCGCGTACATGTTCGCTATATTCACAGTTCTGATCTCCTGAAACGTTTTTACACCTAAAATGTGCAGCTCCTTGCATTGCGGAATGTTATTTACTTGCGCAATTTCCCTAATAATAATATCATTCATTATCCAAGAAAATATTTCGTTAATGTAATAATTACAATTAAGAAGAAGAAGACAGAAAATTGTCTTTTGGGTCAAGAAATCACTTTGTAGCATCATTCTGTTCACTTAGACCGGAATCGCGTGACGAAATACAAGGCATGCACACGACATTCAGTTGTATATAGAAAAAATGATAAAGCTAACTCCAAAATCCTTCTCAAGGAACAATCCTTTGATTGATCTTGTCTTATTTTATAAACATAGACCTGTCTTCAATTGAATTTAACATGCATGCCCTGCGCATGCGCTGTTTAATTACAAGACGTGATCTAACGAGAACCCATCAATACAAAGAAAACACCGTGGAAACATTATGGCAGCTTTGAGCAACAGCCAGAAAAATCATCAGAATTGAATTAACGAGAAAGGATTAACCCTTCTTTTATTTTAGGAAAGTATGATCCACGTACGTATGAATTTTTTCGTATAATTTTAACACTGCGGTTTTTCCTTATCAGAGTGGAATGATACAGATAATTTCAGTGTCAAACAGAAACGGTGAGGGTAAAAGGAGGAATGGCGTGTGGCATGGCTTGCGGAATGACATAATTCTGCGGAATTTGATTCATGGAAAATGGCGCAAAGAAATAAATTTAACAGGAAAGCATGAGTGCGTCATTGCCGGTCCTTTTTTGGCGCCAATTTGAGGGAGCAATCGCTTTGCCGGTCCATTTATTACTGCTTCCGCGTCTCTTCGCACCTTTGTTTGACTTGCATTGTTTGTGTAAGTGTGTGCATTTGATCGAGAACTAGCCAATCATTAAGATGTATTTTTTTTAACAGCTGGAGTGATGCCGAATCGGCTTTACTAACTTAATTAATGAAGGTAAAGGTAAGGGAGAAAAAAATTCTAAAAGTAGGAAGGTAAAGAAAAACAAAAGACAGAAAAAAAAAGCACACAAACTCGATTGCCAGGATTCAAGCTCGCGCTTCTTCCCCAGCTGTTAGCTTCGCGTGCCTGAAACTTTACCACGCAGCCAAGGAATAAAAATGCAAGATATGTTCGATCTCTCAATATTATGTCACGATCAATCAAGCGACCCACCGTCTTAAAAGAAACACTGCTCGCGTGGTTTCAAATGGAAATAAGGGTAAACAAAAGTGACGTTAATCGTGCAAATATCTTTTGCAGAAAAAACTTTAAGGCAGAAGAGAGCGTGACCTTCCAAAACATCTTTTCTTCAATGGCCGACTTTCGTGATGTAGCATCGGTGCTGCCAGCAGCCCGACTAATAAAGGCAAGTAGAATCTTTGAGGCTCTGCAAAAGCTAATTCGACCGTGAAAAGTCAAGGAGTCGTTCCTGGCGTTTTGATTGTTATCGTAGTCGAGCCCGCAACATTAAAAAAGGGGCCGCTTGTGAATTAATTTGCTCCAAAAAGGGCGCGATTTTCAGTTTAATTTATTTCTTTAAGTCATTCTGATATATTAGAGTCAGCATAATTATTCCATTCCGCCAGCCATGCCACATGCCATTCCGCAAACTCATTCCTGCATTTATGAAATACTGAGTGCTATCTTGATCTTTTTTATGTACCTTACCCATTGAGGATATATCGTATGACGTGTCAAATAAACCAAACTTGTGTTTTTAAAATCAATACCTACGTTTCATGTATTAATATTTGACCGAAAAACTCCAACTCATCCTGGGATAAGGTAATATTTTTTAAAAGAAAGCATTCATTTAGCGATTAAAAAAAATGGCCGCCGCTCTCTTTTTATAGACATCCGGACGAGAAATATTTTTTTCAACTCGGTCTTGGCTTATGCGATTACTCATTGGTAGGACGCGATTTCGTAAGCTAAAATTTGAGACATGCTCCCTGAAGCAGTCTTAGCGCTGGCACTTAAAGTATTTTTTCCTTCCTGTTTGTTCAGTATAATTTCTTATTATTTGAATACATTTGATCATGGACATCTGCATTGCAGCAATGAACACCAAGTAGGAATGTTAACAGAAATTAGTATCATCCATGAAAGCCACCTAGGTATAAGTAACATTTTGGTTAATTATGGAAATCAGTTCACTGGTTAGTAATAAGCCTTTCTTCAGAACTATCATAATGTCCAACTTCTTAACATCACTAATGAGCAGGTATAAGAGAAGAGAGAACGTCGGTCAATGGTTATTTTACCAGAAAAACAGAATTAAAGTAAAGTGGTCTCAAACCCTAATTTTCACAATAAAAATGCAAATCGTAAAATGATCATGACACCAATCAAAACCAATTGAATCGATAGATTGAACTTTTGGCAAGTTGATCCGCATATGCAGACACCATCCTACATTCATGACGAATGTAAACATAAATTCTCCAAGTCTAAGTCTAATTCTCTAAGTTATGACAAACAGCAAGTAGCGATTTACCAAAATTAACACTTGTATACGTTATGGCTATTTTACTCAGCCTTTCCTACTGGCGCGTAGTTTGGCACTTTTGTGGCTCCAGTAAAGCTAAAAAATAGAAAAGACTTTCAAGAGACTGAGCTCTTAGAGCCATTTAGTGTGACACAACAATGATTTGCGCACAGTTATTTCATGAAGCTAAGTTACTGTCACTTTATAATCGTAGATTGACTTCATTAATGTCCAAGATTAAACAGGGTACCCCCCCCCCCCCCCCCCACCAAATCATTTGTGTCAAGTGTTTACACCGTACAATTCTAAGTATAGTCTACGAGAGATTTCGTTTTACTCAGGTTTAGTACTCAGCCTTTCTATGGGTACCTGCCGACGTTGAAATCAATCGCAAACTCACTGGTTGTTAGGAATCTTCAAACTGCCATAACAGGTAGGAGAAACGTTTGTTCAAGAATAGAGGTCTCGTAAGACATTCCACAACAGATCGATATGAACGTACTACATAGATCGCCTTTACATTCCACTGGTATGATTTAAGTACAAAAGAGAGAACGGACTTCTCGCGCTAGTCTGTTCTATACATCCCCCCTTTTTAACAAGAATTCCCTTTTCATGTTAAATCTTTTGCCTGCTCTTCTACGGCCTCCATCATTGTCGTTTTCCTACGTTTCTGTAATATTTTTCTAGAATTTAATAATCTAGTTAATTATACTTGAACAACTCGCCTCGAATAGCCTGTGCTACTTTCGGGTTGTGTACGTATTAAATTAAATCAGTTGTAACAACAAAAAAAATGGAAATAAATAAATTTTTCCTTGTCCTTTACAATTTGTTGATCTGCTAAATTACACGGAAGTGAAATACCGTGTGGCATTGCAAATTAATTATGTGGGAATTTTAGTTACGATATGGTCAGGGGATAACCTGTTTTGTAGTTTTCTTGCGAGAACTAATATGAACCACTCGTAAAGATAATTTTTTTTCTTGATGGAATTTGATAATTTTTGCTTCAACAAGTTGCATGTTAAATTAGATTTTGTGTTTATTATAGCGTATACAATCAAAAGGAGAAACCAACATTCAACTCAGGTTAAATAAGTGATATTTCTTACTTTGCAATTAAATTAAGAAGGTTCTACTGAGTTAACTTAAAAGTTGATTGATTTGATTCACTCCAATACTCCGGCCCAATTCGCCTATAAATTCGAAGTTTCTGTCCCATAATGACCATAATCAATATTGCAGTATGTGTTTCCAAAGGAATCAAGTTTCGTGGTACTTCTGTGGATCGTGCAAAAAAGCCTGCGAAATGATCCACAGAAATTGGAATCTATCCATACCAGTACCTCGTATAGTCGGTAATTGTTTTCATCGTGGTTATGTCCCCACGCGCGTCTTCTTTGTTTGAAGAGTAACTGGTGGTGACATAAACCACTGTGCAGTATTGCAAAGTGTAGCCTGTTCGGAGACGTTGACGCTGTGATTAGGTCTATGATTCGACATTATTTTTCTCTACCTTTTATATGGAGTATCTCTACTCAGTTCTCTAGGCGTTTCGAGACAGCAATTTGATGCGAAGGGAAGGAGGCAAAAGCAGATACCCTTACCGACCTTTTTTGGGTATTCAATGTAGCGTATTTTATTCTTCGGATTTTCACTGAGAATTTTTTTTTTTTTTTTCAATTCGGTCACCCAAGCAAGCCTTTTTATTTTCAGGATAGAGTCACTACGTTAGATTGTGTACAGTCTGCAGGCACAACGCCGATCCCAAAACTTGTTAATACGTTAAGTTGACGTAAAATAATCAGGATGACCGAGGAAGCAGACAATCAGTTGTGTTCATAACAATATAATTCATCTTTGTCTCATGAACGTAGATAACTGGCTAAAATGTTCTCCGGCCCACATAAGATATTACTTAGCAAAATATATAATTTACAGATACTGGATGCTGATCAAGTAACTCAAGTGAGGAGCCGGGATAAAGTTGCAAAATGATGTTAAGAGGTAACATAGCTCTGTTATCCTGCCTTCCCTGCATGAGACACATTCACAATTTTGAAAAAATTTTAGCAAATACGTTTCACCTTCTTACTTCTTGCTTTAGAAATGTGCTTCCATGTTAATTTAGAAATTGATTAATGGATCACCGACACGAACCAGCTGACGCACAGAGCAGAAAATATCATGTTGAAAACTTCCGTGATTCATACTCTTATCGCTTCACAGGAGCTATTGAGCAGTTTTCGTCAGTTCCCTTAATACTAGCCGGAGACTTTTAAACTTCATTTGTATCGTAAACCTTCGCTACTCTATACCATTTTATCTTTATATTCTGCTTAACAGAATATGAACCTATACAGGAAATGCATTCAGTCTTTGCTCATCCAAAGTTGCGGAAGCAGTTGGGTGGGAACTTTATAGATTAAGATTTGTACGTGGGACAATTTTTGTTGTCGTTGTTACATCACATCCTAACATCGTTCAGTTTAGGTTTCCTATAATTTTGCCTGCATCTAATTACGCCTGACTCAGTTGGGCTTGTACAGTCATTATTGCGACAGGGCAAAGCGTAGCAGGCGCGGATCTAGGACAAATACTGGCCATGCTTAAAATTGATTGGATTTTAACTGCCTAAAGTCCCTTTTCCTGAGTTCCTGAGTTATTTAGGAAGGATATTGACCAGTTAAGCCTAGCAAATCAGCAGATTATTTAATCTCTAGATTTCAACTTGGAAATTTTTTTTATTATTATCAATAATATATTATTTATCAGTATAAAAAAAAATGATCGATTTCCGTAAAATGGTGGGGAAACCGGAGTGGATCCGCGCGCCTGCGTAGTTTGTGAGTGTTAATGACGATTTACAAACGTGTTCTCTCGAAAACTTTATTATACAAAAAAAGAAAATGTAATGGTGGTTATGACACTTCAACGACGCGTGAAGAATTACAGAAAGAGGTAAAAGCGCGCAGCTTTGTTTTTGATATATATCGTTACAATTTTCAAGCCTCTTCTCAATGGAGTTTTATCCATTCCTCCAACACCAACGTAAGTATTGAGTAATATTTTTCTTGATAATGCATACCGTGTGACACGAAATTTTTGCCGAATTTTATTTTTGCTGATTGGAGATTTTTTTGTATTTTGCGGGAACTACTATTTGCGATTAGGACGGATTGGGATTTTTTGCCGCTGGGAATTAATTTTTGCGATTTTCAGAAAGTCCAAGACAAATAATTGATAATATTTGATTTTTGTTTTTATTGAGAACGTGCAACAAAAATGCATGTTTTTTAAAGGATACTGCGGTGTTCGTACCGTACCGTGTAAAACCAGCGACAGTTTTGCTCGTCATTTTAAGCGTTTTGTTTCTGAACGAAAGAGGCAAGTTGTAATTGAAAAGATACAATTTCTTAGCATTTTTGTGTGTAGCAAGTCTAAGTTTGAAAATATTTACACTCTGGAGTAAAAAAAAAAACTCGCAGAAGGAAGAGGGTAATATGCTACGCATATAACAATGAATGAAAGGGTTAGTATGGCCTCTTCTTAGTATTGTATTTTAGACGTTTCCGTCCTTCACCGTTGTTGTTTCGTAAGGTCCTAAGGTGGACTGGGGCTGCTTATCCGAACAGCGTTGATGAAGTCAATAAGGTGGAAAATTGACCGTCTCATAAACTAGTTCAAAGAGCCGAAGGAACGAAGGAATTCGAAATCACAGAAATATCAAACAAGCCGCTTTCTCAGGTAAGTAAAGTTCAGTTAACGAGTTTAAAGTGAAGGAATCAGTAAGTGGTAAGACTATGAGCCCGTCACCGGACGTTAAGTCTCGTTGTTAAATTGTTGCTTACATGTCTCGAAATCTCTACTCTGGCTCCAGAGGTCCGTTGTCTAAAAACCCTGTGTTAACTCAGAAATTCAGGAGTTTTTAAGCTTTTTGGAAGCTTAAAACATTCCCTTTTTTGGGGCGAAAACTGGTTAGCTACACCCGTTCAAATTTTAGTTTTAGGATTACTTTAAGGTATATCTCTTAGATATCATGCTTAGAAATACTAAGAAAAACTGGAGAGAAAAATAACCAGTCCTTTAGAATGGTATTAAGAGTCTCCTTTTGCCGCCTAAAGTTTCAGAGTCAATTTTAGGAACATGAAGAAATCTTAGTTCCACTTGTACATTGCGTCTGTGTACTGACAAGCTATGGTGTGACCTCGTTGATATGGGGTTATTATTCATTTTCAGTGCAAAAAAGCAGCGTTCAGAAAAGTAAAAAAGCAAAGAGAGTGAGTAATAGGAGCCACTAAAATGGCATGGAAACTCTTCCAAATGCCATACATACGAGGTTTACCTCAGTGAACAGCTGACAATTCATTGGTCAACTGAGACACGTTCTAACCAATCATCAGGAAGCTCAACTTGTTATTGCATCATGTCATTTATTAGCCTCGAACAAGCCATTTCTTGATACTGCACAAAAACAAATGTCTTTTTGTAAGCAACCATGTTATTGGTCGATGTAACAATCCTTGACATCCGTGTTTACTGCACACGTAACCTCTTTTCAAACGTGTTTGTAACATGAAAGTGTAATGTTGATTCAATACGGATAAATAGTTCTTTGGTGGAGCAGAAATATTCATTTTATTCTCAGCAGCTCCTAGAATCAGACTGCAGCAACACTAAAACTGAAAAGTTCGTACTAAATCCGTTTTGTTTCTGATTTTTTCCCAAAGCATGATTTCTCCATCGGTTTTGATTAAACTTGGAAAAAGACTGAAAAACTCATTTATTTCTTTTTTAATTATTAAAATATTTGTTTCATTTATTTTTGATATTTGAATTAATAAAACTTATAATATATTTCTGTGTATAAAAAACAACACGTTGCGTTATGATATTGTGTCACTCAGTGACTAACACTTTAACATGCTATCCTTTTTTCCAGGTCCCAAGATAATACGAAAGAGAACAATATGAAAGTACCACTGTACATCGCGATTTATGCACTGATTACTTTGTGTTCCACAAAAAGCAACAGCAGCAGTAACAAAACACCTGGAAAAAAGGTATATTATAAATTAATTCAAAATAATTTAGGAATTTCTATTTCTGATCGAACTTCTGGTCCATTGCTTTGACAGAACCATCAAATCTCCACATTTCCTGATTACCGTAAACTGCCGCTTATAAGCTCTGTGCTTATACATCTTCCTCAGGGTTTAAGGAGGGTTTATCACTGGAGGCCGACTTTTATCTGAGGGGGATTATAACCGGTCGGACTAGTAAAAGCGCCTCGACACAAGCTATAGCAATGCTAATAAAAGTACTTGTGTACTGGTTTTATCTAAGCCTCAAAACTTCATAATAAATGGAATCAACAGAGAATGAGCTAGATCATTCTCTCTTGATCGAATCCATTACAATGCAAGCTAGAGGAGCGACTTACATAAGGGGGCTTATAATCGGATTTTGTTGTTGTTGTTGTTGTTGTTGTTGTTTACACGTAGATGGACCTATAATTAACTGAGGGGGCTTATATCTAGCAGTTTAAGGTTTTCTTCTTTTAGGGGATGTAATATGGTCAGTAGCGGAACCAATAACTGGCCACACAAATGAGTTCTTCCATCGGGAGCTCTGGGAACCACGACATCATACCCGCCAGTCAGAGAATCGATTAACCATAACAACAAAATGCGGAATTTAACGGACGTGAAGGCCATGAAGTTTTGTAAATCAAGCTGTACAATTCAAGAAACTTTTGCGTATTATAAATGTGAATTTTCCGACCCCTCAGTTTCAGTTTCAGCCGTTGAATGTCCGTCGTTGAACGTAGGCCTTCCCCATTGACCTCCACTGGACCACGCTTTGCGCGACGCGGTGCCAGTGTTTTAGGAAACTATCAAAGTCGTCCCTCCATCTCGTCCTTGGTCTTCCTCGGTTCCTTGTGTGTCCCCTCGCCTGAGGACATATAAAACATCCTTTCCCAGAAGGCAACAACCTCATTCTTATTCTGATCTTATTTCCAATCTCCAATTACGTCGTATTACGATGTAAGTAACAGCGACAACAGCAAATATAAAAAAAAAAGCAAATATTATCAGGCCTTTTCTTTTCTCCGTTGCACAAAGCAGTTAGTCTGCTGATTTATTGATCAACTTATGCGTTTATGCTTAATAATAATAGTGTACCCAACAGACGTCACTCGGGTCATGTGGTCAGTGTGCTTGCTGCTCTGCACCAGGAACTCCAGGGATCCCAGGAATCCCTGGACCCGCGGGATCACCCGGCAATCGTGGACCTGAAGGACCCATGGGCCCAAGAGGAAACACAGGTGATAAAGGATCTCGTGGGAAGCAAGGACCTAAGGGACATACAGGACCCTCGGGTTCGACGGGTCTACCAGGAAGCAAAGGTGAACCGGGCATCCCAGGACGCCCTGGACCATCAGGACCATCAGGTAAACAAGGACCTAAAGGAACAAAGGGTCTTACAGGAAACAAAGGGGACAAAGGATCTCGTGGAACGCAAGGATCTAAAGGAGACACAGGACCCTCGGGACCATCCGGACCGGGGGGTCCAACAGGAAACAAAGGTGAACCAGGTGCTCGTGGTATCCAAGGTCCCCCGGGAACTCCTGGATCTGCAGCTGCCTTGCGAAGTAATTGGAAACAGTGTGTATTTAAGAGTATAAATGACCACAGAGACTCTGGTTTGATCAAGGTAAACACTTAACTCTTAATAGATTTATGCCACTGAATGTTGCGCTTTTTATCTTCAGATATGGATGTGAATCATCGTGACAGGATTTCGTATAATTCTCAAATAAACACCGATTATTATGATTGAACTGAGGAAAGTAAAGTCTTGACACCAAGACTGTACTGTCGCAATTTGTAATAATCATCGCACTTTGTAATACCTGTCGCAATTTGTAATAAACCGTGTCGCACTTTGTAATAAAAAAGCTGTCGCAATTTGTAACAACTGTCCATCGCACTTTGTAATAAACTAAGCTGTCGCAATTTGTAATAATTCCATCGCACTTTGTAATAACTTTTTGAGAGTAATTAAACTTACTTCGTCAACATTAATATAACGCCAAAATATGCATGGTACTTCATAAACAAAGATGATGACGTCTGCTAGCATGTAACATCTCCGCTCATTCAAACATTTAACTTTATTCACAGTCCTAAACATCTTTTTTAGATTAATGTTGACTAGTTATTTGACTTACGAAATGCTGTATTCTTGAACCTTGCTATTGTACTAGGTGGCTTGCATTCAATGGTTACCCGGCGGGTGTACTTCCTTATATGGCCAATACGGGGATGTGCCTCTGGACAGAGCATTGCCAGAGTACAGGATCTAGACAGAGGTAGATACACTAGACACAAACGAGCCATTTTTACATCATTGGAATAAGGACACCAGGAGAGTTCAAGCTTTCCTTGCAGATCTTATAACAGGTCGACACAACACGTGGTGCACCGTCCTTATCTTTCGCACAATCTTAAAGAAGTAATAGTGGCTTCCATATTTTGGCCAACTTCATCAAACGAGGCCTGGAAAGATTCAAAATGTTTACTGCAAATAAAAAAAAAACGTCACCAGTGGCAAACCGTCGAACCACAACAGAAACCTGAACACAAAATCCAATTAGTCGCTGGCCAATACCATCGTATGTACCTGTTTTTATAACACTCACTTGGGGTCTTACACTGAGCCGGCTGGGCATTTGGTCCATTATTCTCACTTGATTTGGTCCCATATAGGAACAAAAGGAGTACTCATTCCATCTTAAAACAATTGTTTTCTATAAGGAAGTCCTCTAAAGCAAACATAAGTTCCATGGGGATAGTAAAAAATTATCCTTCCCTGCGTATATACAACTCGTAAGACCTTGCAATTCTTCCGAGCGTGTTCTGGATTACTGTTTTTCCACAAAATGAAAAGGATAGAATAAACCATCCATTACTACTTGAGTTACCCTATCTAAGGATCAAAACAAAGACACAAGGCCAACAACGTAAAAAATGATACCCTATTAAAGGCTCGATATCCTCAAAAACCATACCCTATCAGGCGTTAAATGTTGTTAAATGTTGCTTTTGTTATTTAAATATTTTTGAATTTAAACATGATTCATATCTTTTTTATGATATGTCACAGGAAGTTTCATGTCTTTCATTAAGCGTTTCTAGTTGGTCACGTGATTAATCAAGGCAGAGAAATTTATAGCGGAAGACATGCCTTTTTAACCAAAGAAAATGTTACGGAGATATTACGTGCTAGCAGACGTCATCATCTTTGTTTATGAAGTACCATGCATATTTTGGCATTATATTAATGTTGACGAAGTAAGTCGAATCACTCTCAAAACATTATTACAAAGTGCGATGGAATTATTACAAATTGCGACAGCTTAGTTTATTACAAAGTGCGATGTGCTGTTATTACAAATTGCGACAGCTTTTTTATTACAAAGTGCGACACGGTTTATTACAAATTGCGACAGGTATTACAAAGTGCGATGGATTTATTACAAATTGCGACAGGTATTACAAAGTGCGATGATTATTACAAATTGCGACAGTACAAGACTGCTCTAGCACGTACCCATTCAATAACTTACGATTCAAATCATCACTTTTTTTTAAGCCATCCCTACTGTCAATCTTACGTTTTCTTAAATGTCTTATTACTCAGATTTAAAATTTCTTTTAATACTCTTTTAGGTAGTAAATTGTAAAGAATATTGATATTTACTATTTATTTCAAAAGTTGTGAGGACCGTCCTTTAACCCTAGATTTAAAAGCTATACCCTGTTTAAAGCATTGAAGAAAAGAAAAGAGGAAGAAGATAAAGGCTACAAAGCTTCACGAAGCCGTTAGGACATTATAAAAATTTTCATTTTAGGTGTTATTTTAATTATTCCATAGGAATGTATTTTCAAGAAAACATCTGACAATACAGCCTTGCGCGTCTTCTGGAATGGCGATTTCCGTGTCGGTAACTGCCACAACCGCTGCAATCGGTGGTACTTTACCTTCAATGGTGCAGAATGCTCGGCTCCGGCAGCCATTGATGGTGTATTTTTAGTGTATCAGGGCACAAGCTGGAGAAAAAATCCACATCGCCCACGTCACGTCGAAGGAATCTGCGAGAAGCTCAGTAAGGGCACGGTTCGCGTGGGATTCTGGGTCGGTAAGTGCGCTGGTGTAAAAACTGGCGACGCGATGACAGGCTGGAACTCAGTCTCCAAGATCTACATAGAAGAGGTGGCTCCCCCACAGTCGTAACTAAAGCAGCACCTCAATGACTCTTATTGTTTTTCTTGTTTTTAGATTCACTAAAGCTGTTACGGAAAGGTTAAATGAAAAGTTTAAGAAACTTAGAAGAAATAGACAAACAAAATAAAGTAAATGCAACTAGATGATATGGGGTGTAGTTAAGATAGTACTTCATTTTGATTTCTGGTTGTCATGCCAGCAAGAAGTTAGTCTGCTACACAGCCGTTTTTAGTGTCGTCAGCGTTGCGTGACGACACTAAAAACGGCTGTGTAGCAGACTAGCAAGAAGTGGGTGTGCAAATAAAAGAGAATTCGCTGAACAAATGCTGTGTCTTGTGAATTTTTCGTTGTACGTATAGTTTTTCTCCGTCGAGTCCTCAGTTTATTTCGTTTTGTAAAATTGGGATCGGGGAGCGCCTTCTACTTCAAAGTTTCGTTAGATGTCTAAGTTAATTTTTTTCGCTTATTTCAAAATTTCAAAAAGAGCCATTTTCTTAACATTTTACTATAACTAACTGCAATAAAATATTGGTTAAAATCATTTTCAGAAATGTCTACAACGTTCAACTTTTTAAATGACGACTTTTCGACGTTCTAGGATGAAATTATCATGGAAAAAACCTATACGTGTTCTATAAATGATTCAAGAAAAACAATTAGATCAATAAAAAGAAAAGTAACATACCGTGTAGCCTGCAGACGTATTTCCGGTCGTCGCTTTGGCTCCGAAAGAGAGAAGCGACGACCGGAAATACGTCTGCGGCTCGCAGGCTGCATAACGTGTGGCACGAAATTTTTGCGGGAGTTTAGTTTTGCCGATTGGTGATTTTTTGCATGAGTTTCGCGGGAACTAATTTTTGCGATTAGGACAGATTGGTTTTTCTTGCTGGGAATTAATTTTTTCGATTTTCAGAAAGTACCCAGTACCCAGCATTTATAACATTTTCGTTTTTATTGAGTACGTACGATATTTTGAATGAAAGAGACATGCTGTGATAGAACAGACACGATTTCTTAGTACTGTATTTTCGTGTAGCGAATTCAAGTTCGGATATTTACTCTGGAGTAAATTTTTGCAGGAAAAATGTTTGCGGTATTTTTATTTACGGGAACTTATTTTTGCGGATCGCTGGAAAAAACGCAAAAATTAGAACCCGCAAAAATTTTGTGCCACTCGGTATAAGAATATGTTACAAGTTAGACAAAGAGTTAAGCACTGGTTCAGTTTTATCCTATTGGTTTAAATTTTATTTTCCTTAGCTTTTTTTTAAACTCATCATACATTACCATACCCCGAAACAAAGAGAAATAAAATTTGTCAGATCTGTCTTGAGGTCTTTTTTCTATATCGCGTCTAAAGAAGGCAATCAAATTTTTCGTGGCCATTCTTAACAAGCGAAATTGGCTCTCTTTCAGAAGAGTTTTTTACTGTAACTTATAAAAAGTGTTTACCTATTGCCGAATGTTTGTGCACAGCAATGCGTTGATGCAGATGTCGAGCTGTGAAGCCAGTACGATCTGCATTACACAGCTGAGGTCAGCTGGTCACTTGAGAATAAATAAACAACGCAACTTTAGATTAACATTCTCTCGGTTTTAGGTCTTGCTCCAATTTTTTCACATCTCTCAAAAATAATTTGGGGGTACAATCGTATTGCTGAGATAATAGGAAATTGTTCTGTAATCGTCAAGAATGTAACAATTCTTGAATATAACAACTCTGTTTGCTTACATGAAGTCGAACCCTTATGTGCGACCACCTCTCGTAAGCGACAACCTCCCTTAAGCGACCAGTGGCAAAACACCAAAATTTTCCCAGTCAAAGCCTTTTAGATGGTAGCTCTAGTAAAAGACCACCATCGCTCGTAAGCGACCGCGACCACTTTTTAGGATGACGGTTTTAGAATTTTCATTCTTTTTAAACAAGTCTTCTAAGCGACCACCTGATTTAATGGTGTGACCTTTGTGTTCGCTGTATATACTACGCTACCTAGAGTATGAGAAGAACTTTTAGATTGGATTTACATGTATTGTGACCTACAAACTGCATGCAATGCAATAAATTCTCTGCAAAAAGTAGATGCGTCCAGACTTCTCCTCTAAAAAGACCTTCTGCAGTTGGACTCTCGTATACTAAACGACCACCTCCCATGAGCGACCAAATTCTTAACTGTCCCCCCCCCCCCCCACCCCACACACACACACACACACACACACACACACACACACACACACACACCCCTTAAAAAAATACATACATACATATAAAAAAAATATGGCGAACCCATTACAGACCTTAAGGATCAAATGGACAGATGGTCAGAACACTACTCTGAACTCTATCTACCTGAGACAGTTGTCACCGATGCTACTCTCAATTCTACCAATCCTCTCCCAATCATAGACGAGCTTGACGCTGAGCCCACAAGCTTGACAAGGCCATAGACGCTCTCTGAAACGGGAAGGCTCCTGGCAGAGGTGATCAAGTCCGGCACATCTGGAAGGAAGACGCCGTAGCACATGACATGTGTGACCCCACCATCATCAAGCTCTAGAATAACAAAGGTGACCGCTCAGATTGAAACGACTATAGGCGCATTTCTCTCATCAGTGCGGTTTCTGGGCAGGGAGATGCACGACGGACATGATTTTATTTTTCCAATACAACTTTATTGAACATACACACGTACAGTTAACATTCACAAAAGACAATCTGCAACAAAACGAAAACTACAACTTAAAGCTGACAAAAAAGAAACCTAACACAATAAAAACATTGGTAACTAAATGGGAGCGCAGTCAGTTAAGTAAACAGAATTTCACACCCTATTTAAAAGAGACGAAAAAACAGACCATGTGCTTTTTGGCGACCAGTCGTACAAGAAATATATTTTTCTAGACTAATTTTATCACGAGCTAGGGAAACAAATTCATTTAAGATGTAAAATTTACCGTTGAGAGCTTTTACGTAAAGAAAATACTTTCCTATAATGACTAAATGATTGAGGGCTAAAAAGAATTTAGAATCGTTATTAATAATGCCAAACATAATTTCTTTTATTGAAAGCGATAATTTTGAGTTCACCATGCGCGAGGCCCAATCCAGAAACTTCTTCCAGAACAATGTGTCTTGCGTGCTGTCGGACAAAAAGGGCAGCCAGTCAGGAGAAGTCACGGTTCTACTCACAGACTCTTTCTCTATCAAGAGTGGCGTGAAACAGGACTGTATCCTAGCCCCGACACGCTTTTGATTCTCCTTCTCTCTCCTCTTGTCCCATGCCTTTCACTCTTCCACTGATGGTGTGTATCTTTTTACCCGTACCGACGGTAAACTCTTCAACGTGGCTCGCCTCCGTGCCAAGACCAAAGTCAAAACTATTCTTGTTGACATGCTCTTCGCTGACGATGCTGCCTTGGCAACACAGATCCGAGACAGCAATGCAGAGGCTCATCTACAAATTCTCCTGCGCGATGTGAAAACTTTGGCCTCACAATCAGCCTCAAGAAGACCAATGCGTGTGCCCAGGATGTAAGCCAAGTCCCTGTAATCAAGGTCGGCGACCGCACCCTTGATGTAGTCTACGAATTCACCTACCTCGGTCCCACCTGGCATCTCCAAAAACTTGAGCCTTGACTTAGGTATCTCCCGAAGAATCGGCAAAACTACTGGCACAATGTCCAATTTGACCAAGCGAGCCTGGAATACAAGTACCTGAAAGAGAACACCAAAATGCACATCTATCAAGCATGCGTTGTCCAGCACGTTGCTATACGGCAGTGAAACTTGGACCACCTACATAAGACAGGAACGCCGCTTGAACTCTTTCCATCTGCGATGCCTCAGGCGCATCTACGGCATCAAGTGGCAAGATCACATCATTAACAGTGAGATACTGTCAGGCGCTGGTATTCCCAGCATGTAACCCCTCTTCAGTCAGCGCCGCCTGAGATTGCTCGGGCATGTTCCTGGGCATGTTCATCGCATGAATGATGGACACATCCCCAAAGAAGTTTTATACGGACAATTGACAGCAGGAGTCAGGAAAGTCGGTCACCCCACCTTGCGGTTCATGGACGCTTGCAAACGTGACCTCAAAGAAAGCGAAACTTATTCAGACAACTGGGATGATGCTGCGTGTGATCGTGACCGCTGGAGGCGGACAGTGAAAGAAGGAATAGTGAAAGCAGACGTGAAACGTCGACAGAAAGCTGATGAGAAGCGTGATAGCCGCAAAAACAGCTTTACTTTGCCTTCCCCCAACCTCTTATGCGCCTTGTGCAGCAAGGACTGCCACGTGCACTCACCAAGAAGTTGCAGCATCACTACGAATTGATATAGGGCGCACAAGCTTTGTCTCTCGAGACTTCGCCTATCAATTATACAGTATATGAAATGAGAAAATAAAAACTGTCCAAAATACTTTTTCTGATAGTCTCCCCCGCGCCCCCCAAAGGTCCTGAGGTTGGAGACGGCTGACATTTCATTTCATTTCACTGGAATTTTTATTGTTTTTCGGCTTAAATACAATTAAAAAGCCCATGAGGCAAATGCGACAGCTATACTTGTATGTTGCAAATGAATCCACCCTGAATGGGCATATCTTTAAGTGAAATGTATTTGAAAAGAAACGATGATGATGACGGATACCTTTATTAAAGGGTCAAAACTGTAATAGCAGTGTATAATCACTAAGTGGGGACACTAAAATAAGTTTAAAGAGAATAAATCAATCAATTAATTAATTAAAAATGTACAATATGTACAAATTTATCCATTATCTTATAAAAAAAATAAATAAGAAATAAAAAATTTAGAAATGCAAAGAGAGCAGTTAGAGCAGTTATTGGCATACCAAGATCCACTTTTCTGATGTTAACCGCTTTTAGAAAAATTGGCAAATGTCCTACCCCCCGACAGAGGTTTTTTAACTTCGTGATATATTGTGTCGCATTACTTGAAGTAGTTAGTGTCAAGAAGGATTTCGTCTCACAAACAAAGATGGCGACTGGGTGGACACAATTTCAGCCTTGGCAAAATCAGCCTCTTCCTCCAGGCTGGGAAGCGAGATATGATGCAAACGTCAGAAGATAGTAAGTACCCTCGAACTAACGGCTAATGTATTTTGCAGGACTGCTTTTAAGAAAATAAGGCTGACCTCCTTGAGGTACAATGTAAATTCCGGTTTCCGCTGAATTCGAGCAGTTGTCGCTTCCTACCACCTAAAACACGCATTAAATGTTTATTTGGAAAATATGAAAAGCTCTCTGCCATCAGTTCTCTTAGATATTTCGCTTGAAATGTACTGTAACATAATTTACCACCCTGACTTGCATGATTTTCACGCGTTTTTTGTTGTCATCTCCAACTTTATAAGCTTATTGTTTCCGTCACAGTGAGTAAAAAGAAATTATATCTAAATAAATAAATAAATAGAATAATACTTAAGGTTACTCACGGTGAGCTAGAGATCAAAAGTTTTAAGCTGATGTTTGTTTAAAAAGAATACAAAATGCATGAATTGATTAGAAGATACAACAGCTGATTATGATCCTAAGTCATTGATCATGTGAATTTGATTTTAATTGTTTGGTGTAATTTTGTTGCGACTTTTTAGCTATTTCATCGACCACAATACGCACAAGACAACTTGGGAGGACCCTAGGATAAAAAAACCAGAAGCCATTCCTATGAGCCAATTCAAGGTGAAATGGAGAGGATATTTAACACAATGAGGGATAGCCTCCCATGCAGGCATTTTTAGGGGAGTTGTATTTCCTCCCTTCCCAAAGGAGGAAGGGAGGAAATACGGCCTCTGCGAGGGAGGCTAATTAATAAACCTTGCCTGTGCTCAGAAGAATACAGGCAATACAATTTTGTATCCTAATCAGTGGTTTTGTTACCCCTCAAAAATTAGTTAGATAAATTGGCCTGTGGCATCATGGTTTCAAATTATTTTATTTTTACAACTGTGGAAAAACTGATGAAACCTTCACACTTTGGTACAAGGGTTAATGTTAATGTTGAACTGTGTGTTACAAGCTCTAGAGTGGCTCAATTTGTCATTTCCCTGATTTTTTTGCAGTATTAAAATGCAACATCAAATTTACTCACATATGTTCTAAATCGCATCATTTCTATTCTATATTGCACCATGTTTGCTTTTTTGTTTTGTATACAAAATGAAATGTAAAAACCTTTTTGTTTCCACTTTTCAGCAAACTGGCTGCAGATCAATATAAGTTTGGTACTGAAATAAACTGAATTCTGCTATTTAATCATAGCTGTAATAAAGTGGTAATTGAACGTTGTGTCATGTAATTTTGGTCTGAAATCATACTTGTGAGTTTCATGGTTCATACAATCTTGAAAAGGTCTTAAATTTTACTAGTTGTCTTAAAAAGTCCTTGAATTTGGTTTAGGACTTTAGGTCCTTGAAAAGTACTGGATTTCTTTATTAGGGTCAGTTGAAAAGTCCTTGAAATTCACAACCTTGTCTACACTAGAGACCTTTTCTGTAAAATTAGATTATTTTGGCGAGGAAAATTTGGTTCATCCTCGGTGTAAGAACCTGTAAAACTCACGGGTGACGTAAGAACATTTTTGTGCATGAACAATATTTTATTACTGTTTCTTTATTTCAAATGCTAGTTCTGTACCTAAGTCTTAGTCATACCCAGTCATTTTGCAAAGTCTTCTTGCAAAAAGTAGAAGGCTGATTTAGCAACAGAACGGGAACGTCAGTTGATGATGGTATGCACAAATCAAAGAACTGGTTTGACCAATGGCAGACCAGCAAATTGAGCACCAGAAGTCATGTTTAGTCCTTTCCTTGCGCTTTCCCGTCGTCAACTGACGTTCCCGTCCTGTTGCTAAATCAGCCTAGTATAAAATAATGTGATCAACGATGGCCGAAGAAATAAAACTTGTTAATGACTCTGTGATGTGTTTTAGCCAATACAGACCGTAGGATGCCGATTTATTAAATAAATCTTAGTCCTTGAAAACTGTAATTTGGCCTTGATAATTTCTTGAAAAGTCTGTGAAATTTGTTTGTCTGACTTTGTTAGAAGCATGGATTTCAAATCGAACTCACAGTAAAATCATGCATATGATTTCAGACCTTATACTACTACATGAGAAATTTCTGCAATTTGATTGGCTTAGAGCAGTGGTATTTCAGCTTAATTTGAAATACTTACAATTGAAAATTACAAAACTATTGTGGGTAGTAGTATAAACAAATAATAGTATGATTGGTGCGTGATATTTGGTATAAATACCACTCGTTATATTTCAAAATAATTTGTCTCAAATTTCGTAAAATTACGTATAACAATTCGAAATATCACTTGTGGTATTTATGCCAAATATCACTACAAATCATGCTATTACCTATACAAATTACACTCCACTTAGTTCAATTAGCATGATAAATTAAGATGCCCATATGTTATTATTGAACATTTCCAACGGTAATTGTAGTTGGTTGTTCTTGTACTGCTACATCTACATGTACTATTACTTTTTTTGTCTTAATGTAGACTTCATCAAAAGCTGATTCAAGCTCCAGTCGGCAGGTAAGATACTCAGTAACTGAGATATTTTGTTCTTCTAGCTGACTTTAAGACTTGGAATGTTTCTGTAGTTTCTGAAACTTATAAGTTGTCATTGTTCTCTGTTTGCCGTGTGTATCAAAAGCAATGTCATCAACCTGGTGTGATGATGAGGTAACTTTTTGATGAAAGTTGGAACATTTTTGTTTTGTTAGTGGAAAAGTTATCTTTCGGAGTGGTACTCAGTATTTTAGACTGTCATGGTTAAGTTACTACATTGTATTTATTTATCAATACATGTAAATCAGTAATAAAATTCAATGGAGCTCCATTCCATATCTCGTATCATAATCAAAGGAGTGCACACATACATTGCACCAAAAATTGGCTTAGTAAATAACTTTACTCCTAGCTGTTTCTAAATTGCAACTAGTGAATGTTTGTAAAGACTTTTGGTTGGAAAATTTGCTTTAGTTTGTTTTGTTAAAGGGTATTGTTTATTGTTTGTCTCACGGTTGTTACTTGGATATTGATCGCTATGCTTTGACTGTGTGCCCCAGGTCTTTGTCACGCGATAGTATCGATTTACTGAGCAGGACTATTTGTATCATGGTGGTTGTTAGTGATTAGTGTACATGTGTATTTAACTTAATAACAGCTTAAGGCTTTACTACTTTGCACGTTATACAGTGTATACTTAATAAGAACAACTGAAGTAACAAGATGGAATGCCTAAGATACAATCCATATTATTACTATTGTACTTGTCAATGCAGGAGACCAATTTTGGTGGTTCATCTTCACAGGCAGCCTCCAAGGCAAGTATAAATTTTTTCAAAGGGCTATAGCCTTTCAATTTTTGTTTGCTCTGTCAGTACTGAACTGTCTGCCATTAATTTTTCCCTTCTTCACTGAAACTTTCTATACTGAAATACATTGTACTATAATATAGCTGTGTTGCAGTACAGCATACTGTTTATCCATGTTTGTACAGTTGTACATGCACATAATTATACTCAGGATAAAATTTTCCAGCCTAGGTTGTTTTAGTCTGCTACACAGCCATTTTTAGAGTTGTCATGCAACGCTCCTCCCCACTAACGGCTGCTGAAAACCGAACTACATTCCTTTCCAGTGATTAGCCAATTGTAATTCAGCTCCCATTTTCTGGAAGGTGTTTGCGCCACGTTTGCGGTACTGTGACTCCTCCAATCACAGCTTTGCTTTTATCAGTGCCCCATGTGTGAATGACAGAATAATCAAAACCGTCGCGTGAAAACAAGCAATTAACTACAGTAGTGTTGTCGTAGTCGACTCCTATTCAAAATTTAGGAGATAAGCAGCAGCAGCAAGCAAGTCGAGCAAATTGCGATGCACTACATGGATGTGCTCATAAAGTTGCTAGGTATAGTTTCGGGAAATCGCTCATCGATAATTTATAAGATTGCTTTTTGAATCAGTACCCTTGAGAGTTTAGTCTTCACAGAACACAATGAGCACATCGATCCGGCACATTAAATTCTTCATTACATATCAGCACTAACCGATCCTGGTAAAAGTCTTCTAGGCCTATCAAACTGTTTTTTCATTTGGAACTATCTTGACAGCTTAAAACAAACTTTTTTGCAAATTAACCTTTTCGTTGCTTGAAAACACACAGCCCGTCTAAATTCAGCGACGATTGATTGATTTGTCGAAAACTGAGAAGCGTGCTCGCTTCCCAGCGCCCTGTGGCTCACGTATTGTCAAATCTCTTATACATGATTGGCTTGTTCGTTAGACCACAAACACAAAGGGAAAGGAATGTAGTTTGGTTTTCAGCAGCCGTTTGTGGGGAGGAGCGTTGCGTGACGACACTAAAAATGGCTGTGTAGCAGACTAAGGTTGTTTCCAAGTTAAAAAATTTTAAACAGAATTCAGTTTTGACCTATAACATACACACTGCACATTAAAGATACATTTATGTTTTTCTCTGTGAAAGAAGGCATAAAATTTAAAAATGTTTAGAAGCAATCAGAAGGTATTTTGCTGAGGCATATCTGACTCAACCAAAAAAGCAAAATATTCTGTTAATCTCAGGCTTGCTAGCATTTAGGCCATCTGATTTTCTCATATTTTGAAATTATTTTAGTCTCAATATGAAGTCTCTATTTGTAGCCACTGAAGTTTGTAAATTTATCACAATTTTGTTCTTTTGGAGTGATTTTACTTGAACCGTGAAATAGTTAGTAGAATACTATGCACTATTATGCACTAATTCTATTGTATTCTTAGTCTTGGGTTCTCACTGGACCCCTATCCCATTAAAAAGCTAAAGTGATTACATTAATTTACATGCATAGCGTGAGCCAGCCCGTCCTTCCAGTCTCCAAGATGATGATGACCTACCGTTACCTGAAAGCTTTCTTGCTGAAATGTTTAAGGAGAAGAGCTTTGAAGATAAGGAAAATGGTAAGTTTATAGGTACATGTGTAACCGGAACAATGCCTTGCTGAATACTCCAAACCACAGATCACTGGCTGTTTTGAGGGAGACACAGGGGGGGGGGGGGGGGGGTGGGGACTAATCAGTAAGGCAATACCGTAAGAAAAATTGACAAATTCTAGAATACTGTGTTAAAAATGGATGAAATACTGATACAGCATTTAAGATCAGTCAGGCTTACTGTAAGTTGTATCCATCTGGCATGTTTAATTATCTAAGATCAAGCATGTACCAGCAGAAGAAATCAACCTCAGTCATTGCAAGATAGGGTGAGCTGAGAAGACCTCAAATTGCAAAGCCCAGTCATTGGACACAACAAAAAACAATTTCATTGTAGATTAACTGTCAGAAGTTGTGTAATCAATTACCATTAGGTCAAGAGATGTAAGAAAATTAACTTTTTTGTACCAGTGTAAATGCCGCTTTCTGTGTTATTGTGTTGCATAAATATTGTATTGACCTGTAGTAGCCTGGGGGTATTAGAGGAGAGCAAAAGGGAACCATACCACATGTTTTAACATGTGGATTTGAAAATATGAAATTACCGAAATGCCACTTGATAAAAACTCAAAACTGTGAACTTCAATGTCCCCCTCTTCAGGGTGCCAAAAATAAAAATTCAGAAAGAATGAAATTAATTGCAAAAGGCTGAAAACTACATGTAATTGCAATTTTCTGCTTTCTGCCAAAGAAATTTCATTGGAATGGCACATCTGATAGGATTCTATTGACTGATACAAAATTAATATTAATTTAAAAAGTCTTACTGGTTGTCTAGAGTCTCTTATACTAAAATATAAGCTGCAACTCAACGAGTCATAACTGGCATGTTGCTGACATAGTGACAGATTGGCCTTTGAAAAAAAGCAAATTTAGCAGATACATGTAAGCTGCTTAATAAGCCATTTCTGAGTTTCCCCAATCCATTCTCTCAAAGGGACGCTAAGTGTGAAGCCACTGATATGAAAATGATCTTTTTTATTCTCACGCAAATAAAACTCATCTTCACAAGAAAGGTTAAATTGTACTTACTGTAGCCCACTATGAGAGTGAGAACTTCTGCAACCCAGAAATAGCCTTTTTCTGGGTTTGTGGTGCATGTTCAAGGCTGTGCACCAAGAAAAATTGAAGGGAGTCTTGTATTCTGAACCCCTGTTAAATCCAGGGTGCCCAGCACAAGATGTCTATGAGAAAACGTAAATTTTCTAGTCACCTGCTGGGTCAACTAAAGTTAGGTGCCAGGGGCCATTGGGCACTGCTAGAGCTTAGCCTTGATGTCGCCTGTTATTATTTTATTTTTATTTATTTCATGTTTGTTTTCAGTAAAAAAGAAGCTGATTAGAGAGTTTCCAGGCGTTGATGAAGTTGTTATTGAGGTTGCACTTCGTACTGTAAGTACAACTGTTAATCTGTCAAACAAATAGCAGTTTGACACTGTTGTTATGTACTGTTATATGATAAGCACTCCAGGCACAATTATTTCAGTATTGGTTATTATAGAAAAATTATGCAGACAAGGAAAATTGGCTGATACATGTATTTATCACTTGGGTTGACCACCACCTTTTGAATGTTCCAATGATGCAGTTTTGCCACAAAGTACATGTACCATTTAAACGCTTCTCGCTTTGAACAGTCAAAACACAAGTTGTTGAGAACCTCACAGTACTTGATTTACAAAAAAGCACATCAAATACATGTATACTTTACCTGTATTATGAGATAAAAAATAAACATGCCCTTCATGTAACAGGTCTTATAGTTGTATCCTGTGAATATAGCTATCTCTACGTTCCTAGTAGCAAAGAGTGTTCTCTTTTGTATTCTAATTCTGATTCTTTGGATATTTCAGGCCAAACATGATGAAAGCAAAGCCAGGGAAATAGTGAAGAAGTTGAAAGGTAATTCTTTACCATCAGAGTCCTCTATGGAGGCATCTAGTGTGGGGTTTACTCTTCAACAGAACTTCACATAGTCTCTTCAGTTTCCTAGTTAATAAAATAATAATTCTTTTTCTTTTTTTCACATAAAAATTTTCTTTAATCTGGTTGGTTGGCCTAGAGCAATGCACAATGCAAAATCAAGGAAATAGAAATGATAATATCTTATAGAATGGAGCACTGAGCTTGCCCAATGACCCTTTAAGTCCCAATAGTGACTAACAGCAATTTTCTCCTAACGATATCCATACATTGTCATGAGATGAGGTTATGAGAATTAATAAAATGATCATCTAAGAGAAAATACTTCGATCTTTTATCAAATTCTCTTAACTAATTCTTAAAGGAAATGTATAGAGATCAGTTTGGAGAATTTGTATGTGGATATTGGAGCTTCAAGGGATAAACAATAGATATATGTACATATTAAAGGGGCTGTGTCACGGCAATCCAGTTCATTTTGTTTAATTTTGTCAATTACTCGCCCTCAATCTGTATAGAACTTAAAGTAAGTAGAGAAATTAAAAGTAAATGACAAAATCAGAGATCCGAGACAAACAAATACATGTGTCTCCTGAGCATTATTTTTGAAGTTGCAAGCAGTAAGGATCAAATTTGAAAAACTGTTGGGCTGAACAGTTTTCAAAAACTCTAATTTCAATCCGTTTCAATCTTCTTCAGTTTTACCCATCCGTGGCATCTGTTGTATCTGTTGTGTTATTTCAACCTTCCTTTAAAGTTTTAAGCGCTTATTTTTATGTTTCTCTAATTTAACGGGCATTTTGTAATTTCCTAATTTGGCTGAATTTTGTGACACAGCTCCTTTAAGAACCTATCAGGTGCTGCAATCTTTATTGGCCACTTCGAGGTGAAGCAAGGGGACCAATTTTGATGCAGTAAATTTTTTTCACATTATTTAAGGGTAATCATACGACTTTTCTCATCCAATTTGGATTTTATTTGCGTTTGTGTGATTTTCAAAAAGCTCTAACTGCATTTGCCCTACCGGCTCAGCATTTTTGATACATCTTGAAAAACACAACCGTGAAGAAAATTTTAAATTAAACTGAAAGTTGTATGATTACCCATACAATATTAAGAATGGCCAGTGTTTTTTATCTAGGCTGGGTTTTTGTCCTGTCCTCCTTGTAAAAGGGATGGTGATGCTCATTGTCTCCATTAGGATTTAAAGTAATATAAATTTTGGCACATGTATCACCTATTTGTGGTGATGAGAGTGGTCATGAGAATTACGGACATGATCAGGCAAGATGAATTTGCTTGATATTTTATCAATTTCTCCCCACTACTTCTGTAGGAAATGAATAGAGGCAACAAAGGAGAATTCAAATTTTGATGTTAGGGTTTCAAGGGTTAGAGAATGGTTTCCTTTAGGGGTCAAGTCAAGCCCGAACTCCGCCCAGAAGCTCAATTTCGATTTTCTGATGAACATTTTCGTCCCTTTAATATAGAAGTCCTTCCCCTGTGTTCTTCAAAAACCATAGCCTGCGAATAGGTTCTCTTGTGCGAATTGGGGAAAATTTTGGTGGCCCTGAACCGGCGCGAACTCGCCGGGATGGCCAGCTCACCCTTCCACAACCTCGCACAATCTAACCAGGTCGCAGGTTGCCCAAAGAAAACACCCTGTTTTGAACGATGGTGGTTGTCGATGGTTTTATGTATAAAACTACATTTATAATAGCATTTCTAATAGTTGTTATTCATTCATTCTGTTTATTTTGCTAGGTGATGAAGACAGCAAAAAGGGCCCTGCAAAGTGAGTACAAAACTTTCTACTAATAATTAAGTGATTTTTTTCAAACTAGCATCATCGACTTTAATTTTTTGGAAAATAATTGTTGGTACCACAAATGAAGACTGCTCATATTCAGCCTTCACACTCCAGGTCCAAAACGACACCCAGCTGTTCAAGCCGCTAAATAGCATTTATTGTCCATGAATGTATACCTTGTTTAAAACTCAGAACCCTGAAAACCACATCCTGTTCAGTGTGCCTGAATTAACATAATTCACATGGATTTGTAGACTTTGCAGTCACTTATCGTACCGAAGGGTTTTCTCGTACCAAGCTGAAATCAGGCTCTAATTTCGTTTCCCTTGGTAAATAGATTTCCGGTGGGCAATGCGAATCGAAAAGTCTTACATTTAGTAGAGTGTATATCTGAATTACGAGTGTTTGCGAATCGATCAAATTTTTTTGCATCACTTGCATGTGCATTCACTAGCCTACGAAAAGACCGAAAACAGCCGTCTCTCCCTGCACCTCGCCGTGGCACCAAATGGACCTTCAACTCAACACCAGGTCCTTCGAGACCACATACATTGTACCATGCATATCAGTTGGAAGAACAAAAGCATCCCCAGAGTGTGGACAGACGTTACGAAAAATCCCGCCACAGTCAAGTCCCTTTTAATATAGTGGACGCTCTACGGACCTGGAGTCACGCCGCTCCACTCATGTGCCGAACCTAACTAATGAATTCAGTACGGCAAGAGAGTGGCGATCTGAATCAATTTGGTACGGCAGGTTTAGTTTGGTGCGGCCTTTTGTCGAACTTAACTTAGGCTCGACACACGGTGCGCCGTATGAATCACATTTCGTGCCAGTGTCGCTCCAAAGTCAATCGTATTCAGTTAGATCCGGCAGATGAAAAGTACGACGTCTTTTCGTTTCTCCGTTTCTGATTGGCTCAAATGTCTTTGCTAATTCTTCATAACCAGCTAGCATTGACCAATTAATTTGGAAGGCGTTTGCGATATCCAATAAAAATGACGTCAATAGTACAAGAGTACAAGTCTATAGTACAAGTCTCTGAGTACAAGGTATGGACAGCAAAAGGATCCAGCGGTACATGTACCGTGCAGTCGATTTTCTCTTCGGATTAAATCCGTTTTCGTTTGTTACCATTTTGGCCCCGGTTGTTCAAACGTTGGATAGCGTTGCCCACCGGATAAAAATCTATCCACTGGATAGCGCAATTGGTTTGCCTAATACTTATCCACTGGATAGGGATTTATCCGATGGATACCGCTATCCAACGTTTGAACAACTGGGGCCTGTAGGTTAAGCATGTGACATCGCTTGGTGCATTGTATGGGCCTTGTGATTCGTCTTATTTTCTTCCGCAATTTCCTTGGTATGTTCAGTTTGATTTAACCTTCCCCTCGTTGTCAAAGGAAACAAGCAGGAAGGTGTCGATATTTTAGTTGTCATGTTTATGGTGTGGTGCCCTGTGCCGTTTCCTCTTTGCAACTTACACTGCATTTACCAGAATCAAGTTTCTTCAGCCTCTGTAGAATATATTTCATGGACAGGTGAGATTTAACTTGGAATTAAAATTGCTTTTTACAGGCATACAAAGTAGCAAGTTAACGACACCTCGAGAAATGTAGTTGTCTCTTTAATAGGCCCTGTTTTTTTTTCTGATCAGTTACATTCGGTTAGTTAGGTTGTGTTCTGTTCAGGAAAAATACCTGTACATTTACTTGGTAAATCACCTTCAATCAGCTCCAGCTCAAAACTTGGACTGGAGTAGCCTGCGAACCGCAGACGTATTTCCGGTCGCCGCTTCTCTCCCTCCGGCGGGCGCCGAAAAAACCGGATGCTCTTGCAGGCTAGGACCGGAGTAAAACAGTAGAAAACCAATCTGCTCACTGCTTTTTGCGACACATGCGAACCTTATAGTATTGCTGATGTTTTGAACTCGGAAACATTTCGATTACAGGATCTCTTTCCTTTGTACCAATCTTTAACATTTTCGCAGTCGCGCGATAAATAGGAAACTTGGTCAGGATCACGCAGGAACGTGTGGCCCGGGCGTGATATGATATATCATGTGATACCTGACGTCGCGTGATAGTTGCTGTCATTTGTGTGAGAAGCTTATGCTCTCAATTATTACTGTGCCTTATAGCCCCCTAGTGGCTCATTCAGGTCTCTTAATACTGGTGTGTACACAAAAGGTTTTTCCTTGCGTTCACTCTGATCGAAAAAGAGACAACCAGCTACTGTTTGTATCAAATATTGTGTGATGTCGATGAGCTGTTTTGCCCCGCTCACCCCAGTCCATGAGTTACGCAACATCTCTGGGAATCAAATTTCGACGATCCCTGTTCAAACGTTTTCATGCAAAGGTGAGATTCTATCTTTAGTCGTAATTGATTAAGCAATGGCCGAAAAAATAGCATAGTCCATAAACTATTACACAATTGAATTCTGAGTTAAAGAAATAAGCCTAGTTAAAATTTTAGCAGCGATGTTTTGTGACTCAGAATGACTGCTTAAACTCTTTCCCTGAGAATACAAATGCTTACCCTTTTACTGTTCAGTCCTATTTTTGTTGTATCGTGAACAGGTTATACCGGCCAACGTTTTTGCAATACACTCTTTTTTTTTATAAGAATGTTGTTTTTCCGGCCCAGGCTGAATATTCTTATTTTTCTCCCGATTTTAGGCTGAAAATATTCTTGTATTATTCTTAAATTATAGCTTATGACATTTCCGTTTTAGAATTTATTGGGGTATATGTTCATGTATTACATGTACCGTTCATCGAACTGTCATTAGCGTTGAACATTTTGCTATAGCTAGTGCAGGTTTTCTCGTTTTGTTGGCTAGTTTCGCCGTTCAGAGAAAGGAATAATTTTATATGGTTAAGTTAAAAACATAAAATTGTATTGTATTTACAGATGTTTCAACACACAAAATTATATCTATCCTTTTCAAAATCTCAGCCTCGGCTTTATTCTTAAAATATTCTTAAAATTTTGCAAATTTCAGCCTCGATATTCTTATAAAATATATTCTTATAAAAAAAAAAGAGTGTAGACCTATTCGGCTAACTCAATGTTGTACCCGATTCAAACCCTTTGGGAATAAAACTTTTTGTTTCAGGCATTTCCATACATTTAAAAGAGAATGCAACATTAGAATGCAAATACAATACACAAAGAATCTTAACCCCGGGAGATTTGAATTGGGCACAACATTGAGTTAGCCGAATAGATCTACATGTATTAGGTGTATGCAACATAGGAGAATTGTGCGAGGGGGCTATTTTTTGTAAGGTCTTTTAGAGTAAGAGGGCGTTGCGTGACTTCTTCCTCATTACTGATCGGCAAGCCAACTCATGAGTTTGGTTTCAATAATCGATGATTTTAAAAAGGCAAGGCAAGAATAGGCTTCAAAATACTATTCATTGCATTATCACGCGCGGTTTTTAAGCACTCACGTGTATCTATTGGCCGGATTTGCAACAAGTCTAAAGCCGGTTAAAAAATCACGGTCACTTAAAATAATAGCCTGTAATTGGCCTCCTTGCCTTTATTCCATATCCGTCTTATGTCTTCCATTGTTTGCGTATCAATTTTAACGCCATTGCGTCAAGTGATCAGTACTGGAAGGAAATAAAATCGACCATATGGCGCAAAAATCAGTTGCTTTTACTTGGCTCAGGAACTTGACCGGCTTAATGGTGATGATGATCATAATAATAATGATTGTCTATTCAACCTTTTTGCCGCATAAACTGAATTACAAGGCGAGTCATTAATTACATACAAATACTTCGGAATTATGACACGTAAATATAACTGTTAATATTAAGACATATCACATTTCGGTATTTTAAACGTGATTCTGGTATTTGATGGTTCAAAAATTTCCAAATCTGTTAGTTCTTGAGGAGGCAGGCACAGAAACAGTTTCTCCTGTTCAAAGGGCATACGGTCTTGTCTGTGCAACTCGCCGCACTAAGTTTCCTAGCAGGTCGGAAGAAGAGTAACTTCGCTTGAGAAATGTTATGCACGCATCCTCCCTCCTCTGGAGCAGCAGAATTGAGCCTGATTTCTTGACCGCGTCCTCGTAGCTCGGAGAAGGAAAAATAATTTTTAGCGTCCTCTTTTGTATTGATTCAATTTGATCACTTAAGTATTGCGTGAGGTCAGCCCCGCGCAAGCGGGACTCGCATACTCTAACAATAGACAAGAATAAGCTGCCTATCAGTTAGTATGATGATGATGATAATAATAATAATAATAATAATAATAATAATAATAATAATAATAATAATAATATTAATATTAATAATCGACTTTGTTGAGTTGAAAAACAATAAGAATAGTAAATCATCGACTCGGATGTGGCATGCCCTTTTGATACCCGAATTACAGAAAAAGAACGAGAGAAGATTGACCACTACTAGGACTTAAAAGTGGAAATACAAAAGCTGTGGAACTTCAAAAACGTATCTGTTGTTCTAGTTGTAATTGGGGCGCTTGGGGCGCTGACCGAAAACTTGATGATGTGGGTTACGTAGATAGGAACACCTGCGATCCTGAACTTACTCCAGAAAGCCTGCTTGTTGGGAACAGCAAAGATCTTAAGAAGGACTCTAGACACCCAAGGCTATAGGATATAGCTTGACGGAGCTAGGGATACGTGACCACCGATACAATAAGTGGTGTGAGATATGAACATTAATAATAATAATGATAATGATTACGACTCTGATTATCCTTAATTATACGACACGAAGTCCCATTGTCAATTGCGAGAATCTCAGGACTGGAATATTTACTAAAGTACAAAGTTCAAATCACATCAGCTTACAGCTTCTAAAGCAAAAACATGGATTACAACTTATCGGGTTATGGAGCTCAAAGTACATGAACGTTTTAAAATACTTATTTAATTTTAACCAAATTGAAGGTGTCTAGATACCAGATTGTTTTAATTGTTTTTTTAAAGCTTAAGTTCAATACAATATACAGTAACAGAGAGAGAGAAATAGAAAAGAAAGGTAGCGTGGTACAAGAAAAGATACAATTCGTACAGAGGGTATTACAATTCCTGGTTTGCAACCACGTGACAAGGCGGCCATATTGGGGTTCAATACAATAGAATTTTTCTCCAAGAATTTGTATAGGTAATAGCATGATTTGTAGTGATATTTGGGATAAATACCACAAGTGATATTTCGAAATTGTTATACGTAATTTCACGAGCCGTCAGGCGAGTGAAATTTGAGACAATTTTGAAATATCACGAATGGTATTAATTGTTTATACTACTACCCTTACAAGGTTTGTAATTTTAACATGTAGGTATTTCAAATTAAGCTGAAATACCACTGCTCTAAGCCAATCAAATATCAGAAATTTCTCATGTAGTAGTATAAACATGAAAATAGAGTTTAGTTACCAGAGGAGAGAAATGCTTTTCTTCTTGACCACCAACATGGCCGCCCTGACGTCACCTGTAAGCCAGCAATACTAATCTAACTTAAAAACTGATAAAAATCAACTGAACATGCGAGAAGATATCTCTTTTGAAGGTTTAGTAAGCCTTTCACTTGCTTAAAAAGTAAAGCAATATTTCGTAAAGTATACATGTGTTCCTAAATGCCAAACTTGTTTCCAGTACTGTAGAAACCCCACGGTTAATGCGCGCGTATCGCACTTATACCTTGACACCCTTTGCACCAGTTCTGACTGGCAGCATGACTGTGTTCAGTATATTTCCCAAAAAATTAAAGAATTTATACACGACCCCTCAAGGTACCAAGCTTTAAATGCCCACGTGTAGAAATAAAGATTGGTTGATTGATTGACTCAGTGATAAGTCGAGATTTTCTTTTGTGCACATAGGAAAAAACAAGAGCAACCGGCCAAAGCCAAAACCCAAGCTGCGCAACCCTCGAAGCCCAGGGCGTCTACTGAAGATCTTAGTAAAGCTAAAGGCAAGTCTACTGCTAAAGCGAAATCCGCCAGTCAAGAATCTTTAGATAAGGCCAAGGCCACTAATGTGCCAAAGGCTGCCAAGTCCACCAGTCCAGCAGTTACTGTTGTTGCTACACCGCAGCCACCACCACCCCCGGCTACTCCATCCATGTCCTTAGCAGGCCTGATCAGTGATTCCAGCACAGGTGGTGGTTCAAAGTCCATTTCGGAGATGACTGGTCGCTCTGGAAAGAAGCCATTTGACACGCAGTCGAAGCAATCACCGCAGTAAGTGTGTTTTTAAACCTATATCAAGCTGACACCTTGAAACGCACAACTACCCACATTATAACCAAAAACAGGCTTTTGTGAAGGAAAGAAATAAAACTTAGTGACCATTGTCTCCGACTTATAGGAAGAGTACGTTTAATCCAGGTTTTACTGCAATTTTTTTCATGTTGCTCGTGTACTCTTCGGTAAATCACACAGATTCGACCCTGGTTAGCATGACTCGATAATTATTTTCCGAACTAGAATTGTCTGTGCATTTTATGATTGTTTCATATTTTTTAACTAAACATGACCGCGCGTCTCCGCAGATTAAAAACAGGTTAAATGGAATCAGTTTCAGTATACGTATACATATTAAAACTGGACCAGGTGGAAGAATTCTGGAAAAAATATTTTTGTTAGTCCTCCTTCTCTCTGGTGCCTTCATGCTGTGGATTCCCTGTTTTCTGGAAACACCTTTTTTGTCTCTGTTTAATTTTTTTCATCTCTTAGGAAGAAGATGTACGTTGGAAGTGGCAAAGCCTACAAGTCTGCTTTGCTGAGTGCCACCAATGGACCAAACCCAGCTAATGCAAACGGGCCAAATCCACTGTTACTTTTGTAAGTGACTACATACTAAGGACGCGTTTCTTTGAGGGATTGTTTACATGTAATCCAAACACGGCTTTTGCGTTTCTTTACTTAAAAACAAAAATGGATTTTTAATCGAAAGAATCATGATTCATTGTTTTTATTGTTCGCCGTTTCAATAATAGGGAGTAGGGAAAACAGTGGATGTTTAATCGAAAGAATCCACACTGCAAATTAATCTGAATCCGGACCTTTGGGATTTCTGATTTCCAGCCGGGCGTCAGCACTTTTTGGTTGGCGGATATTCGAAAAAGGGTCTTCCGGCAAGCTGGTTTCCCATGATGATATTAGCTTGAAAATATGCTATTAAAAAGCATATGGATAATGATAATGTTGATATCATGATGATGATGATGACGATGATGATTTTTCCATTCCAAGATTGGTCCCCACCTTGTGTACCCTGGGTTCCACAGGCTTTTCATGCGCGGTTTCCGGTTTTGGTTAAGTCTTAAAAAGTGACCCACGCGAAAATTTTCTTTCGAAAAGCTTTTTCTCGCGACTTCGCCGCTCGTGTCTTCGGCCGAAGACTTGTCGGCCTGCGGCCGACGAAGCTCCTCGTCACACGCGAGAAAAAACCTTCCCATAAGTGACCACTTTCCCACAGCTCTCCCTTCTTTGGCCGTTGTGTAGACTTAGCTACAAGTCGAGCTCAAATGTTTTCTCGAGCGCTAAGCGCGAGCGGTAGATTTTTTGTTTTGTGCGGCAAAAGCGAGCGAGAGAGCGAGAGCGCGAGAGCGCGACTTGTTTCCCCTGCAAGAAATCGCATCAAGTGACGTCATTTTGGCGCGAACTATTTTCGTCCCTGTCGCGTGTGTCGTCGCGAGCTGTCAAAGTATGTCAAAACAAACAAATAACGGAAACAAAATTCAGATAAGAGAAAGAAAATAAAGTAAATAAAAGGGAATGTTCAATACAAAAAAAGGGTAATGAAAAAAAGTGCCGTCTTGCCATATTTTGTGAGTTCAGTCTCCAGACGTTTCGGGCTTCAAGTACGTAAGAATCGTTGCAGGTTTGCATGCGCCATGAAAGAAAGCACAAAAAATAAAAACTTTGTAGTGCGCGCGCTCAAAACAAAACAAGTCGGTAATGTTTTTTCGCTCCATGGCTGCCAGGAAAGTCCGGCCTTGGTAAAGTACTCAAATGGAGGAAGATAAAACGCCCGCTATAAGAGCTTTGTATTTGAATGCAGGCCATAAAACGAAGAGGGGAGGGGGGGGGAATACAGCCCTCAAAGAATACACAGTTCAATCGAATTTGGATCAAAACAGTTCACGTCACGTTTAATGTGGCGTGATCGGGTTTGATTGACGGCGCATCGATAAAATCGTTCATGATTAGATAAAACCTACAGGAGGAAAATTGGTCCTGTAAATTTGGCGTGCTGTAGGGGATAAAAGTCCTTCGCGCTGGGCCGGCTGGGGCCAGCTACCGGCGGAACCGGAAATGAGAAGCGAAGGACTTTGAGACAGTGTAGCGGTTGTGTAACGGTTTGACTGCAATTCTTTTTCTTCTTTTTTTCCTTCAGGCCTGAGTGGGTACAGCCTGAAGGACCTCAGCGCCAAAACCGCATGGGCCCGCTACGAGGTAACAGGCAGGGACGAGCCAAGCGAACTTTGAATTGCGGTACGTAAAAAACGTGTCGTTCAATTGATATGAAATTTAATGTGTTTGTATAGACTTTTTTCTGTCATACTTATGTAGCCTGTATCGATTAAAGAATTTAAGGGGCTGTCCACACAGCTTGGTGCCCGGGAACCAATGCTGCTACCCTCACAAAATGATGTTGTGTTCACACCTGGGGTACCCGCTAAGTAACTGTGTACATAGTCTCTCGAGCACCGGCTAGCGTGGGTTCTTGTAAAAAGGGGGCGTTCACATTAGTGCCCAGTGAGTACCGTACGCGGGAATTGTACCTGGGCATCAAGCGCTTTCCAAAAGTCAGAACTGACCGGCCTGACCGTGGCCGGACCGGTCATTTTGAAAATGAAATAGGCTTTTCCCAAGAGTTTTTGATAAAAAGCCATCTCCTTCGTTCATGCTTTTTAGGATTTGATCTGGTTGGATAGTTTTGATTAAAAGTGAAATTCTCATTACGACGGGAAGGGCCTGGCCGGTCAGTTCTGGCAAATGGAAAGCGCTTCCAAGTCTAAAATGCATTTGAACGTTGTGTTTTACAGGTCCCCAAGCAAGTAACCGTAATGGGCCCATTCCTAATTTGGCCAACGGATCAATTTACGCCAGGACAGCTTTGATGTCTTACGTGTAGATACCAGACAGGGATTCGTGTCAACAGTGTAATAATGTTAACAATCATATAGAGTAGTTTTTGCAGCGTGACAAATTACATCTGTAGTTGTAGTCCTTCCCTGGTTAGAGTCGGCGACAAAATTGTTCGAGACACGTTGTTCTAAAGTTTTGCCAAGAACGTAAAAAAGGAAAAATAGAGCCTTCCCTCCCCTACCTCCTCCATGCTATGTTGTGACGGTGTTCGAGCTATCTGTAGAAAACAACAAACTTTGAGTGGAGGGGACGGGGGGGGTTTGTATTGTTTTGTTCTCCGAAGTTACCCCATTTGGGAAGAATACCTCAACAATTTTGTCGCCGATTGTAGTTTCGAAATGACGTAGTTGAGACTTTGAGTGGGCTCTCTGTGGCGCACGTAAAACCCGTTATATTGGGGCTACCAGCACAGGTTTTCTGTTTATTTTGTAACAGTTTTAACTGGCACTCTTACTTAGCAAACTTCCTGAAAAGAATCGGTTGTTTGGTCTGCAGTACAATGTAATATGAAGTATGTACCTAATGAAACATTTGGTTACGATACTGGGTAACGTGAGCGAGTACTGAGGTATAATCACAAATTAATTTTCAAAAACACAGGCTAACAGGGTCAACTATTAACGGACTCATTTGTATGATGGACACCTCCCTAAAACAGACACTTACGGCCAGTTATTTAAGAGGAATTTAGCCCGTGCTTAACAAAACCGCGTTCTAAGTCATTTTCAGTTTGCACAACGTTTTTATCTAAACTCCATTTATGGTGAACAATATCAATAAAGCAACCCACTAAGCCACTAAAGAAGAGAACTGGAGGTGCAATGATTTCTTAAACAACTGCCTAAGCTAGGGCCTGTTTACATGAAGGTGGGGGACCCCAGTAGGTGAGGTAACCCGCGGCGGTTCACGCCACCTCTCATGTAAACGTGATCAAATTAGAATGAGAGATTATATGGACAGGCGGGTTACCCCACCTAATCGAGTTACCTCACCTATCTGGGGTCCGCCGCCTCCGTGTAAACAGGCCCTTAGACTTCGTTTCAATAACCCACCCTTAGAGTTGGTCCTGCCGTTCTTCAGTTATTCTTGTTCACCCTCTATAGGACGAACATCTAAGACGGGCGCTGAGTGTCGATCTTTGTTCCCAACAAATTCAAACTAAAACTCTTGCGTTTGCTTATTCAGGTCTTGGGAATAACGTCTTAAGCAATTTTAAAGAAATTGTCAAATAACAGATATGTATGTTTCATTGTTAAAACCACCTATTACTTAAATTCAGTTTATATTAACTTAATACTTCGATTCCATCAGGCCCCGTTTATATGGAGATAAGTTGTCCCTAGTAGAAGGATCACTGGCCTACCTGAGCTGCCCTGGACAAGCCAACATTTCATACATTTCCTTGCAAAACGTGACGATCCGTTAACACGAGAAAAAAAAAGGTGGCTTGGCCAGAAGAGTGACCAACCTAGCCGGGTTCCCTTTTTCGATGGTAGGGCACTCTCCTAGCTGGGCCAACTTTTCCTCGTACAACACTTTGGTTCGCCCAGCCGAGTCCAATCGATCAAGGCGAGAAAATCAGAGCATGTGCGAGCGCTGTTTTAGACAATCAGAGCATGCGCGAGCGCCGTGTTTGCTCGGGCAAAAGGGTCAACGTTTTTCTCAGATAGACGCAGCTTGCTGAAGTTGAGGCGGCTGGAACAACTTTTGTTCACTTAAACGGGGCCTCAGGGAATAATTGAAACGCCTTGTGTGGCCGATAAAAGTACAATTTTACAGTAACTCTGGTTTCTTTGACAACGGAAAAGGTGTTTTACAGAGATAGAAAATAATTTAAAATAGCAGCTGAAATTCACAGTTTTAGTGAAGACATTTCTCGGTTTAATTTTTACTCTCTTCAAAATATAACCATACAATTTGTATTTAACCTCCGTACTTGATATATAAAATAAAATTGGAAGACGGTGTTTTGTGTGTTTTCAATTATTTATCGCGGGAGGATTCGCATTAACATTTTGAAGTGTCGTGCCCTGTCACTTTTGCCACCCGATTTTCCTTTTGAAGCCACCTGGAAATTTAAACATAATTCCACAAACTCTTGTGGTAAAGTAGCAATAGGCAACTTTTTTAGCATTATTAGTATAGGTAATAGCATGATTTGTAGTGATATTTGGCAGAAATACCACGTGTGAAATTTCGAATTGAAATTGTTGTACGTAATTTTGAAATATCACGAGTGGTATTTATGCCAAATATCACTACAAATCATGCTATTATTTGTTTATACTACTACCCGCAAAAGGTTTGTAATTTTCACATGTAGGTATTTTAAATTAAGCTGAAATACCACTGCTCTAAGGTAACCAAATCGCAGAAATTTTTCATGTAGTGGGAAATACCAATTTCAGGTTTTCGGGCGCTTGAATGTGTAGCTATGTATGAACCCTTACTCACTTGCGGGTTTTATACACCTATCTTACCCACTCAAGTCAAGACTAAGAAGCTAGGGCCAAATTGCATAAAGTAATATCAGACTGAAAGTAAATTCTTTGCAACTTATATATCGTTTTGTTTTTTCTTTCTCGATGGACTTTTATGTACGCTATTGCGTAGGGATTAACTCGTAAAGAAAACACAAAGTTAAGAGAGCACAGGAAATTCCTTCGGAAACCATTGGAGAAATAAACGCACTTTCGTTCTGTGAGCTACTTATGCAACAAGACCCAGGTCTTGTAAGGCGTCTTCGCAGGCCTTTAGGACTGGGTGGAGTCCAATTCAGTCCGTAATCATTAACAAAATCGCACGACAGCGTAACGTGAGTCCGATTTGTTTCATGACAAGTATGCATGATTACAGACCGAATTGGACTTCACTTAGCCCGCTGTTACCAATCAATCATAATTTAAACAAAATTTGTGTTATTTAAAGCATTAAAACTAAAACGTTGGATATTCCAAAAGTATATATATATATATTTTTTTTGCTGGAAGTGAAAAAAAAGCATTTAAATGCACCCGCACGATGTCGCGTACTGTCCTATTGTGTAAGGGCGTATTAAAATGCCGAATTCAGGACAGCTGATAGTCAATCAAATTATGATATGATGATGATGATGCTTATTATTATTATTATTATTATTTATGATGATAATGATGATGATGATGATGATGATGATGATGATGATGATTATTATTATTATTATTTTGCTACATGTTAGCAGCCAATGAACATTATGGCGCGAGTAAACGATTTTTTTTTGTTTTATAAATTTTCTGGACGGGAAGAGAAGTATTGAAAAACAAATCCGTTTCCCAGGCAGTTTAGCGATCCGTATAATTTATGTAATAGATTGTCCAACGCAATTGTTTATTCAGGTCAGCTTTTTATAGTTATTTGTTTTGAGTGGACATAATCTTTCTGATTGTTATGTTTTTTCGCCTAAATGCAAATGAGACGAGAACATTTAGGTGAGCTAGAAGAATAGTTAAGCTCGCTTTCGAGACCATTTCACAGTAACTTCAAGCGTCAAACATATGATACTAAATATGAACTGGTTTTGTTTTAAGAGTTGAGAGTTACTGTGTCGCAGTTTGGCGAAAACAGCTGAAAAGGAATTCCACGCCGGTAAGTGCGAACTCAGCAGTGTTACATTAATTTGCGGCACATTTTTCTCTGAAAGTCAGTATCTTGTTTGTTCCAGGTTTGAGCGAATTGAGAAATCATCTCACATGGTGATAGCTTTGCTCATTAATCTTTCTTGTATACTGACTTCATAGACTTGCGCTAGACTTATCCATTCCTGACTGACATAATCATGTCTGACTACTTATTATTCTGGATTATTCTTACTACTCGACTCGCTTGGAACAAGCATGTACGAACTGGTTTATCTTAAAGCCAAATAAACTTAACTCCCTTACAACCAAATTTGTTGAAAATAATTTCCGTAGTTGTGCTTGATGAAGTGTCTCATATTCTGTAAATCGCATCTCAGAGAATTTTAGAGTCGTATAAATCAACCGACTTTAAGTCAAGGAATTTATCCTAAGCACGGTTTGCTAACAATGTGTGATAGGTAAAAAGCCCACATGATGCACAAATTTAAATTTGCCCTCATGTCGGTCGATAAAGTGGACTGAAAAATCGAAATAATTTTTTATATATAATTTATATTTCACAAAGTGTACTAAGAGGAAAATATTTGTTTGGTTGGTTATGCAGATAAGCCGGTTGGACTAATGTAATATTTATAAGAATTGTTTTAACGGGAACTTTAGTTACGCCAACTGCTTGATTTCTTAAAGCTTTATCTAATAGATATATCTACTTCATAGTCAAAAATGGACTTATTTTGGTAAAGAAAGTACAAAATACACCGACAGGTAGCAGAATGAAGAGAGAGCGGTGAACTAAGGAATATCACTGAACTCATTATCCAGTCTCTGAAATCGAAATTTGTAGACTGAATGAACGGGAGGCTGACTTGACTGAATGGATACTCTACAGCTTGACAAGCTGGCTGACTAACCACCAATGATCGAGCAGAATACTACGGACGTCTACCACACTTGAAGAAATGATTCGGTTGAAACAAACCCGCGCAGTCTGCCTATTGTGTTAGAACTGTAAACTGCATTGAAGTGGCCTACGACAAATCTATTGCAAAAGCAAGCAAGATGGGGTTGAGTAAACGGACGGAGTGACAGAGTTTTCTCGCTTGAATCATTTATTAGGCTATTCATTATTAATAATATCATTTATTGACAGATTGATTGATTGATTGACTGACTAACCCTTCCACGGTTTTTTATTTTCACAAGGATCAGTCACCGAAAATCCATCGACAACGTTACGTTGGCTCGAAAGAGCGCCTTTCAAAAAACCAGTAAGGGTGATAAGTTTGAGGGTGATTTGATAAAACTAACGAAGAAATGGCTCCGCAACGTCACGACATTTTACAGACGTTTGTTTTCGCGTATATAGAGCATGTGATGGGCGGGTCGAATAAATGCACCCATTACAATTTTGCGACTTTGCTCGTTTCGTATCGCTATGACCGATCGGTCGTTATGTTATGAACTCAGACAGGTCAAATGTTTTTTTTTTTTTTGTCTTCTCACCTATATCTATAGGACCTATAGAGGAAAACGCAAGGCGACTTAGATCTAAGGAAGCAAGAATACTGATGTCATGGCCTTCTTTTCTAAGGTGCGACAGTGACTGAATCCCAACATTTAACAAACTGTACGGTTTTCTTAATTGCAAAGACAATAAGTAACTCATAAAACGGTTCGATTTTTAGGGCGACCATGTGTGGCTTTCTGTGAAAAATACCAGAGGCTTTCATATTCCTATTGGCGCAGTGGTTAAATCAGTCGATGGACTTGGAATGCTGCTGACCGATGATGAAGGACAGGTATAACTTACCCGTCTAGAGTTAGCTAGTGTTCACACGATATACCAATCACGGACACACGATCTCAAGAGCGTTGTACTCACACCGGAGCATATTAATGTATCTCAAAATAGAACGGTCAGTCCCTGAAAACTAAATGATTTAGGCCCCGTCAATGGGAATTGTTTGCACGTTTGGGTTATAGGCTCCTGAAACACTTTGTGTTACTCTAGCGTGGGAAAGATTGAAAATGATTGGAAACTGCGTCAAGTGGGTCCCTGATTTTTGTGAGCAAATTTTAAAATTATACGGGCGAAGTTGACGGAGTATCACTTAAGCGAACTTTCCAGCAGTTGACCTTCAGCTCAAACAGTTGCGACTAAGACAAGTGATAAAATGTGCATGAGAAAAATTGGTATTGAAATAAATTTTTCAAAAGATGCTTTTCGACAGAGACCCGGAAAGAATAATCTACCCTTACACTTTTCTTTGATATAGCGTGAAAATAAAGTTAGCGTTCTAACAAAGAAGAGCTTGTGAGTAATTAATAATGTGAGCCATGTCCATGGATCTTTCAGGAACACTTTCTCAGCGGATCATCGCTCAGTGATGATGTTCATTCGATGCATCCCAGCTGTATTTCAGGGGTTGACGATATGATTCAGCTCGGTGAACTCACAGAAGCCGGGATACTCAGAAATCTGTTCATCCGATATTATCGCCACAAAATTTACGTAAGTTTGACACTCCACCGAATTCGAGGAAGACAGCTAAGATAATCAACTGAATGATCTAACATTAACAGCAGCAAACATACAAAGAAAATTTGAAGTTTAAATACCAACCATTTCTTAACGGCAAGTTATCTAAGACGCTCGGACAACTACTCCCTACAGTGTAAATGGCCCCTGACGTTGTTCAGTTACTACTCGACACTCTATGAGGCGGACACAGCACCTCACTAAGATGGACACGCTTCCCAAAAGTCAAAACTTGCCTGCATGCCATACCGAGTTTTAGTCCGTGATTAAAACGGGATTTTACGAAAGAATTTTTTGCTGAAAATTCTTTCGTCGCCGTGCATGGTTAAGAAAACTTAAGACTGGCGTAGAAGGACGTCAGTGCCGATTAACAAAAAGTAGGCCAGAGTTAACAAAGACAACGCAGCGTCAAAAGGGAAAGCGAATAGGCCCCCTCTATACAAGAACCTGTTTAGCCTAGGATTTGAAACAAGTTCTTAGTTTCTAAAACCTAAGAAAAAAAATATGTACACCGGGCAAATAAGATAAGAAAATAAGTCAATATTCAGGATCGACATAAAATTATGTGCCTAATCAAACCAACTGCAATGTAATGTTATACAGATTTTATATAAGGAATAAGTTGAATACCACTTAATACTCTTAGCTACAATGTATTTTTCTTCAGAAAATAAATAAGAACCTATAATTTGTCATTTATGTAAGAACCTCAGTTTAGGCTAACTTGGGGAAATGCGAGTACTTACTCGCGGGTTTTTACCGTACATGTACTTCTTGACATGACTGTATTTGCTTCCTACTCTTCTCTAGACTCATATCGGGAAGGTGTTGGTAGCCGTTAATCCTTACCATCTTTATCCGATCTATGGAGCAGAACACATAAACCTTTATAATCAAGAAACCGATGTTACCAACGTACCACCCCACATATTCTCTACCGCACATCATGCCTTCATTTCCATGAAAAGACGACTCCAAAACCAGAGTATTATAATCAGGTACGATATAATGAATATACACATATCATCATTAGTAATCTGGCCACAATTTCACAGACGACCGATACTAGAAGTACTAAACGGACTTATTGAGGCCGAGTGATGTTGAAAACATTTTGGAGATTTTTCCACAAGACCAGAGCTGCCAGTCTGTGGAACATTTTTGAGCTTGATTTTTTTTTGTCGCTTCCATAGCGGTGAAAGCGGTGCAGGCAAAACAGAATCCACCAAGTTAATTTTACGTTACTTAACAGTGGTCAGCGGACAACACACCACACTTGATCAACAAATTCTTGACGCAAATCCTATTTTGGAAGGTATGCAAGTCACGAGGTTTAAATTTTCACTCATAACATTATTTAATTAATCTTTTACGAGTTAACCAGACTGGAAATTAACCATTTCATATTCCTATAGAAGTTCTATATATCTATTTGTCAGCTTTTGGGAATGCAAAAACTGTACGAAATGACAATTCAAGCCGGTTTGGAAAGTACATCAACATCTACTTTAACAGACATGCAGTCATTGAAGGAGCTAGAATTGAGCAGTATCTCTTGGAGAAGTCCAGAATCGTATATCAGGTAGGTTTGTTATCAAAGCAAGAAAATAAACCTCTGCTGAGGTGAATGAATGATGGATGGGATTTATCTTTTCAGTAAAGATGGTAGAACTATTTTTCTTGTTTCCGTAGACGAGATAATGGCATTAAAACTAGTTTGTCAGTTGTTCATTGTAGGACTAAGAGATACCCAATCTAAGAACCATGAAGTCTAAGTGTGTACTTCCTTGCCTCTAATGCAGCCCTTAACAATGGCAATACCTCGCATCTGTGCACTTTTCCTCAGTACATATTGACACTGACTTCGCAGGTGAAAAGAGTTTCCAAAACTCCCGGAGAAAAATTTGTCTCAGTCTCGGGTGACCGTCTTTTTCTCCAATTAATACATATTTCGATTTCTAAAAATAATATAAGCTCTAAGCCTATAGCCACCTAGATATATTTGTTTTAAAGCACGAGAAACATTCATGAGTAGACATCGCAAGCTTTCGCTTAGTTTAGTTGACTTTTCAAGATATGAGTTGTTTCAAGGGAAATTTCCCTAGAACTTTGAATTGATGGTGCGTGAAAAACAACGGGGGGGGGGGGATTTGCTCTCTGGAGTAGACAAACCAATTTTAAGAGGTGTGTGATTTCCTTCCTCCCGTTAGATGCCAGATGAGCGCAATTATCACATCTTTTACCGTCTGCTTGCCGGTTTGGACAAGGAGGAAAAGAACAGCCTCCACCTGACGGTGGCAGAAGATTATCACTACCTCTCCCAGGGAAACTGTTTTGCATGTGACGGGATGGATGATGAAAAAGAATTTGCAAATATTCGAAGAGCAATGAAGGTAATCACGTCTGAATATTATTGACATCATAAAAGAGAGTTAAATACAAACGACCCACGTGTCGGCGAAAGGGAAGAGAGATGGACGGGCGTGGTCGCGTTGGTGCTGTTTTGTTATGGGAGATGTGGTGTCCCAAAACCTTCAGCATTAAGCGCACAGGTTAATACGCAGTATGGGTTACTATTTTAGGGATGAAGGTAAAGAGGAAATCATTAAAAACCATATAGATGGTAGGGAAAGTAGAGGAAACTTAATATGTTGTTTGAGCATTTGGGTGATAACTCGGTGTGGCTAGGCCAAGTCATTCAAAGTAGAGACTAGGGGGAAGGATTTCTACTGTCGCGTACTTTTTGCGTGCTAAAATAATGAGGCAATGTATGGAAGGTCGCGCGTAAACGTAAAAGTCGAACCTCGCTCAACTTTTACGTTTACGCGCGGCCTTTCATACATCGGCGCTAATTTATTTGTAAACATAAATTTTACGCGCGTACGCTACACGTAAAAATTACACGACAGTGGAAATCCGCCCTTAGTCTCTACTTTGATGACTTGGCCTAGCCTCAGTATTTAAGCGCCTAAAATGTACGTACGTACGCAGTTAAAAATTACGCGACAGTGGAAATCCACCCTGTGGGAGGAGTCAGTTATTTCGTTATTGAATGCATTCAGTGATGATTAATATGTGCGTGTTTTTATATTCTCAGGTGTTAATGTTTTCCGAAAAAGACACTTGGATATTATTCACCCTGTTAGCAGCGGTTCTTCATCTTGGAAATTTGCGCTTTGAAGGTAAAACGCAAGAGAAAAACGAGTAACAAAACATTATTCATATAGGTGAACGGCTCTGACCAATCGTTGCTTCTCAAACAGTTCAGATCAGCTTCTGCACCGCATGTGGCTGCAGTTAGTTTATCTTACCATAAAGAAGAGCTCAATACAATGCAAAGAAAAATTATGGTCAACCTTCGTGGGATTTTATTTCCAGTAGGTCTCAAACAATAAGCCAAGATGTTACAACACCTCTTGGTGAAATTTTCTCTAGCCTCCTCGTAATTATCCATCATAGGCACCACTCACTTTAAATTAAAGTAAGGCCAAAAGCAAGAACTGTTTTTTTATGGCCTTTTCTCAGTTGACGCTGTCACTTTCGTCTGAAATTTTTGAAAAAAAGTGATATTAAACTTAAAGTGTTTTCAGGTTAAATATGTCTTTGAATTATTTTTCATGATGCACAGCTCTGATTCAAGACAACATGGAGGCTTGTGCAATTTTAAATGAGGACAGCGTTGACTCGGTGGCTCATCTCTTACAGGTAGGTATTAGTGGATGTTCTATGTGGTCTTAAGATGGTGAAGGGAGCTATATTGCACATGCATGCTACATACCCGGTTACAGCACCTTGTCTTTTTTCCTACCTTTAATACGTAAAAACGTATTAGCTACATGACTCCAGGGTAATCATGCGCTCGGGCAGTGTACCATGTAGGGAGAACTATCCGATACCTTGTAGATCATGCATCGATTAATAGCATACGTTTTTAGCTAGATACAGCGCCTTCACAGTCAAATTGCTTCTACGCCTGTGTTCTTTATTCCTTGCTGCAAATTCAGGATATATATAAGGGAGTTTTGGTAGCTGAATACTGTTGACGAACTGAGAACTTGCTACCCTTATTAATTATTCAACTGATTTCTAAAAAGCCGGCAATTTTATCGATTATAGATTCCCACAGAGGAATTCCACAAGGCGTTTACAAGTAAATCAACATATGCTTCTGGAGAACTTATTTACTCTCCTATTGGCGTGGAAAGCGCCAGGCACATTAGAGATGCGTTTGTAAAGGGAATTTATGGACGACTGTTCATCTGGATTGTAAGCAAGATCAACTCGTCTATAAGCGTAAAACATACAGTGAGTATTTTTTGTATCTTCTTGTCCAAGTCGCTACATGAGCACACAAACAAACTGATCGAGGAGGCCCACAGTGTCTCAAAACCCATGCCACCAATCAAAAAGCAATATATGCCACACCCCTGGTCACTCATACTAACAACAGATTTACAATCACCTTGAAAACATTATTAAGTTATCGTGATCGGCGGGATTTGACTTATTTGAGAGCCGACATTCGGGATTTCATAGGAAAATGGGGGCGAGATTGGGGATTGTAACTATGCACGGGATGGTGGATGCCAAAAATAACCATCAGGATTACTTGTTTGAGCACTGAACTGGGATTGAAGAACCGATCGTGCATGCATTGGGGACCCTCTGTCATATCTCTCTTAGTGAGAATCATGACTGGTGCTGAGAGTTCCTCTCAACCGAGATGTCTAACTAAAAAGAGTGGGAACAAAAATGTATGAAAAAGGCGAGGATCAACTCCAGTAGGGAGATGTCCGTATTATAGAGGTTATTGGCAGTGTATCAGGCGGTAATCCTGGAATCTGCTTCCATTTCATTCTTCACTTTAAGGCTGATTCAGAGCTCGAAGGTCGAGTATGTCTTGGTGTCCTCGATATTTTCGGTTTTGAAAACTTTGAAGTTAACAGGTGAGAAATTAATTTATTGTTTTATTGATTTATCAGTTATCATTGGTTATGTAGATTGAACAGCTATTTTCCCAGTTTTGAACCAGTAGTGATGTGCTTATTTCTCGCCAGAAGCTTTATTTTCGTTGTCTTGTGTCTGTATGCAGTCTGATTTCACACAAACACCCAAATTAACCTAGTTTATAAATCTATCTGTGACTATTAGACGTCGAGCTTTGTAACGGCTTTTAATCCACTTCCACCCAAACCCGCCCGCTCTAATTCTGGAATTGAACCCCATCCAATTCACCACTTTTTAACCGTCATAGACAACTTTGACGCTATTATCTTGAGCAGGGAAATAGTTCATCTAAATCATACCTAAATTAAAAGATGATCAGAAACTAGAGTGACAAGCAAACCACTTGGGAATAAAAGGCTCAAACTATTAAGTTCTGTGGTAATTATAAGTTACAGTTACTTGATTGAAGACTTACACAAACAGATACATGCCTCCACACCTTCAGTACGACTGGTTGTAGCCCAATCCATGTAACCAAAGGTGGATTTCCACTGTCGCTTAATTTTTACCTGAGTGCGCAGGAAAATTTTATGCACGTAAATAAAATAGGGGCGATGTATGGAGTAGAAATCCACCCTAACGCATATTTCCTCTTCCAGTTTTGAACAGCTGTGCATCAATTATGCTAATGAAAAGCTTCACAGTTTCTTCGTTGACCACGTTTTCAAGATGGAGCAGGTGAGTGAGAAGTCAGGAATCTAGAGACTGGTATGGTATTAAAATGGAGGGTCAGAACGTACAGCTTTTTCGAGAAAGGTTGTCGAAAAACGTGCACGTCACAATCCCGAAAGGTATTGTGAGTGTTTTGCGTTCACTCAAGTTCTTCAAGGAAATTTGAAAGAATGGCATCAGAGGCCATGGACGTATGGCTGCTGGTGCCAAAAGAAAGCCGCAAAAGTAGGTTCGACAGCTACAGTGTATTGATCATATCCCATATTACCTTTCGGGCTTTCTCGAAGTAGCTGGATGCAATACTTCTTTTACGGCGTTTCCTGGTATATATGTTGTAGTTAATTTTTATTTCAGTTAATTTTTATTTTTCTATTGTTTCTGAGTATGGTTATGCATGCTAATGAATTTAAAAACAAAGGAAAACCAAAAATTAACTGAAATAAAAAATTAACTGCAACATATATGACACAGCTGTATTGAACTTATAAGACTACCACTAAGCAAACGAGAAAATTCAATCCTAGATCAGATCAACGATCGTTGTAAAATGCATTGGAGTATGTTGATAACTTTTGCTACTGACAATTTTTAGCATGTGGGGCATTTGCAGTGCTTGATTCCTAATGGAATAACCCTCTGTGTTTTCTGTTCGGTGTAGGCTGAGTATAGTCGCGAAGGACTCAATTGGAGTCCTGTGGACTTTGTTGACAATCAAGAAGTTGTGGAAACTTTGGCAAATAAACCTCTAAACTGCTTTGCTCTTATGGACGAAGAGAGCAGATTCCCTCAGGTATAGATGCTGTTGGCGCTTATTTAATAAGTCAATAATCTGTCTCCTCCAGAAAATGAATGTAAGGCACACTCTATCCCTTGAATAAGAATCCCATACTAGCATGCGAACGCTTCACGAACGGAAATACGTCTGCGTTCGGAGGCTAATCCCAAACCGACCAAGGCTCACGATAGCTCGTTGGTATCACTCATGTGAGGTTTTCTATATTTTGTAATCAGAAAGCGTTTTAAACATGAATTTTCACATCTTTTGAACGCAATCAAGCTACACTAACTGAACGTTGCACAATTCTAGAGCGACATTCACTGGTGATATTACTGACTAGTCGGATTACAATTATCGTAATTACGTAAGACCTCATACACTTCACTTTCATAGTAATGTTATTCCTATTCAGAAAAAATAGAGTACAGTTCACTTGGAACACGAATTTCTTTGACTCTCTCTCTCTCTGCTTTAATTTAATTTGTTTTTGTCTTTCGCCAAAAAATATATTTAGTTCAAGTTAATACTAAGCTTGTCTCGGCTGTGAAGGACTTGTTTATTTAAATTCACTATTTCTGCTTCCTTTGTTTTTACAGGGAAACGATGAATCGTTTTTGCATAAATTGACTGCTCATCATGTTAAAAGTAGCTGCCTTTTTAAATCCAAGTCTCGCTCCAGAGCTTCGTTTGGCGTGGTTCACTTCGCTGGAATAATTGAGTACGACGTTACAGGTGAAGCAATTGAGAAATCCTTTATTTCACTCGCGAACTCCGAAATGTTTGCAGCCAGCGCACTGGCCTAGGAGGTTAAACAATGAATTGAATCTCCTTCAATTTTTCCAGTGGTGTGAGTGCATGCATAGTAAACCTTAGTTTTTGAGGTCTTTTTTTAGCACTGAACAAATTCAATGACAGTTTAAAAAGGTCTGACGTTTTTGTAAGAGTTATCTTTGCCTGCTGACCTTTCTGGCTGTGTTTTTCTGAGCGGAAGAGAATAAGAACTTGTTTATTCTAATATAAGATTTATGCGGATTTCCGCAACCTTTTATATCTGCATATCTGCATCTTTCATAGGCATCCTGGACAAAAATAGAGATACCTTCAGTGCTGATCTTGTTGGGCTCGTTTGTGAAAGTAAAATGGAGTTCCTTTTTGACCTGTTCGCCAAAGAAATGTCCATGGTAATTATTAGTCATGATTTTATGTTCTTTCGAGGAGAAAAAGGCCGCGTCTCTCTGTTCTATCAAAATATAAAGGCTAAAATAATAATGTTCCCTGGCCGGGCACTCTTATTGGTACAAATTAAGGCGCTAGTTTTCCCCCGTGGCTCTTCACGGTCTCTGGCCCGTGTACAGCACAGACCCCTTCTCTCTCTCCCTGATATCTTTTTGTAATTATACTTAAGTTGGTTTAATATTTGAACGAAGTCTAAGTTATCCTGGTGGGGATTTGTAACAGTTATTGGACCTTCGCGCATGCGGTTCACAAGTGGATTGATTACATTTAGATACGTTTTTTGTAGTCTTAAGCGATATGCAAGTGACTTTGACCAGCTCGAAACAGTGGCTCACTCCAGCTTTATACCTGGTCCATTTAATTTAGTCAGGACTGAGTTCTAATGAGACCTTAAAATGGATAACTTTAGGACACGGGTCATATCGATATTTTTTTTCTAGGGCGAAGAAACTAGAAAACGATCACCAACATTGAGTGCACAGTTCAGAAGATCTCTAGATGTCTTGATGAAGATGCTATTAAACTGTGAACCGTCTTTTGTTCGCTGCATTAAACCCAATGAACTAAAGAGAGCCATGGTATGTCACCAATTGTCCTGAAAATAGTGACTTTTACATCGTCAACTTAGCGTATGATCCCCTTTTGTGGTTGCATTTCATCTTAATTCCGTTTTTGCCACCTTATATCCTATTGAAAGCGCTAATAGATAGGTACATACAATCTAACCAAACTGAATCAACCTAAAGCTGCTTTAACCAGGTGCAAATGTGCGTGGGAGCACTTCTCTCAGCATTTCTCGCTTTCACTCCCTAAAGGGGAGTCCAGCTAGCAGAGGGTGTTCGACCCCCTCCACAAGAGATTAAAAGGGGATTTTCTTTTTATGGATTCAAATTGATTGTATATAAGAATCTATTGATGTAAGAATAAAACATACAGAGTACTCGGGAGAAAAGGCCCCCTGGCCTTGGCATACTTATGAATTAATTGAAACCTGTTTCCCTTCCAAATCCAGATATTTGATCGTCATTTGTGCTGGCAGCAACTGAAATACTCAGGAATGTTAGAAACTGTCAAGTAAGAAAATAAACTCGTTGAATGATTGACAAAAAATCATTTTTTCTACCCTGTGCGGGACCTCATTTGTTATTAGAAAAATTATTATTATTAATATTATCATTATTTTAAATAAATTACCCTCCTGCACTGAGACTACTGCTAGTATGGGTTAAAATTAAACGGGAAAATACGTCAAGTTATCCTTAAGATTATTTAGAGTCAGGAAACTATTACAGGAATCTCCAGCTAAAAATACATTCATTTCCAAAAATTACCGGGTTAATCCGGGAGAATGGGAGCCAGTCATGATACTATTCCCAGTCCTTTAAGCGACGTCGTACGTCGTGAGCTGTTTTTCACTTTTCAAGATGGCGGCTTCACCATCGCCTTCATTGAAACTCTTACTCTCAACACCGACATTATCGTCAAGACCAAGCTCCAGGTTTGAATTTACCAAGTCCCACTTCAAAGCAGCGTTTGGTCTAAAAGAATAATACATAAGTTTAACGGTTAGCTTTAAACAAAGAAAAAAGTAACTGGAATTATGTTTTTAACTTACAGGATTCGCAAAGCTGGTTTTGCTATTCGTTATACTTTTGAGGAATTCATAAACAGATATTATGTTATTATGAAGGATTTAAAGATACCTCGAACTGATCCACGGGAGATGTCAGAGACATTAGCGAAAAGACTTCTTCCTGATGTTGAATGGACAATAGGAAATCGAATGATATTCTTAAAGGTGGGTTAATCACTACACTTTGATTAAATATCCTCCCTTAACCCAACATTTTAGTCAAAGAAGTTCGTGTTAGCGTTGAGTTAGGGGAGAGGTAGTTAAGAAGTTTCCCAGAATCTTATACTGATCGAAACAATTTGGCGCCTATCTTATAACTGGTGCAATTTCACTCCGTTAAATGAAAGCGTGTTCAACGGAAAATTGTATAAGTGTAAATGAGTCTTGAGTCTAGTAAAAAAGTTTGAATCTCTCGGATTTACTCCCAGTAACTGCTCTGATAATACGTACGGTACATATAGTGACAAACCTAAAACTGAATAAATGCTAACCATTTTGAGTCAGTGCGTTGTTAACCCTTCATACTACTGTAGTCAGTTCTAAGCCCTAATCACCACAGACGTGCTTAAGCCCTAATCTCTACTGTCTGTGTTCAACTTTAACTGCCATTTTCAGTGCTTAAACCTGATCACTATTTTCAGTGCTTAACACAGGCCTGTTTCATAAGCTTGACTTATGACTCATTAACTCATAAATAAACAAGCTTTCTTGGTTTAGCAGGGACTTTGGCTAGATAAAATTTGTCTTTCTCTTCAGGGATCCATTTCTTTTATCAACTGAACCATCCTGTTTATTCCAATTAGCAGTTACTGAAGCGTTTCCTCTACTCTTATAGGGTATTTAAGGCCAAACATGTCATATTTGTTTACAGGATCACCACGGTGACATCCTAGAACAAGCGCGTGATGCTTTATTGACCAATGCAGTAATTGTACTTCAAAGATCAATAAAGAGGTTTTTGCATGGAAGAAAACATCGCAAACAGTCACGTGCGGCTGTGATGATTCAGAGGACTTGGAGAAGACATCGTGATGAGAAAACTTATCAAAAGGTCTGTCTGTAACTTTACTGTTATGTGATTGGCAGATCTCAATCAATTACCAACGAGTAACTAAGAAGCCTACCCCTTTCAGGGATTTCAAGATACCATGACGCGACAGCAGCAAACACATTCTCCTATCAGCCTATAAAGTGGATTCCCCTTCTTTCAGATTTTAAACATGAACCACGCGAATGATTTTAGGCCAAATTGCACTCCACCCAGTCCCGCACTTACCATTATCAAGCAATCTTTAGGAAGGTCATACATACATTTGTGGATTGATCAAAATTTACTTCTCGATCAGTTCTAATCAACCTTTCACGAACTGAGCCCTGTATGGTTTCATAACCAGCATGCTAGCATGCAATTATGCCGTATACGCTGTAGTGTTAATACGAATTTCATGATTATCCCCGAGAAGAGGGTTTTGTATAAACCTACCAAAAAATCAATGATATAATCGTTCTGTTCCTTAAAGGTTGTGAAGGGAATAACTAGACTCCAGGCTACTGTGAAAGCAAGAGCTTTATATGCTAAGTTCCGGCGCATGCGTGAAGATAAGCAGAGAGCAGAGCAAGAAAGACAGCAAAGATTAAAGCGAGAAAGACAGCAGAAGGAACACGAAGAAAAATTAAAGAAGGTATAAAAAATTATGATAGTTAAAGCATGATAACTTAAAATGATGATTTTGCAACTTTGTTAGTATTGCCCTTTTTTTGTTTACAGTGTTTTTGTTTATAGTGAACGCCAAGTTTAGTAAACGATGACTGTGTTCTTTAACAGGCACAAGAAGAAGCAGCAGCACAAATTCAGGAGATGTTTAGCTTTATTGCGAAAGAGGAAGAATCATATACCAAGAAAGGTTCCTAAAATGTTCAGTATCAATTTCATATTTAGCTGAAAAAATGAAGAAAAAATATTGAGTGACGAACCACCTCAAGCCTGACTAGCTGTTATGACATGTCAACCTGATACAGCCCGAGTCAAGACACGATTATGAGGGTCTCCAATAAGTTTTTCGGGATGCGGGATTTCCCTTATTTTTATTTGAGGCTCGGGATTCAGGATTTTAAAGCGAAATCGGGGCGAGATTCGGGATTGAAAGTATGTGCGGGAGGTGGGATGCCAAAAGTAACCCTCGGGATTACGAGTTTGCCCGAAATTTGGGGTCGGGATTACGGGATAGAAAAACCCTGTTGGGAACCCTCGATTAGGAACCGTCTCTCGATAAAGGAATCTTCCGAACTTCTTTAATTTATAATTAGTTTGCTTAAATTAAATGTTTCGTTGTGGTTTTGTCATATAACTGTCACTTTGTTTTTAGAAGAGAAGATTGAGAAGAGTAACTCAGCAAATGCCGCCCGTAAGCCTCATGAAACACAACAGAAATCTTCATCTTTAGGAGCAAGTTTAGTCGACGGTGTAAGAATATTTGAGGAACTTAACAGACCAGGTTTGCATAAACCTAAATTTGTTTATATCTTTGCAGGAAGAGAAAAGTTATTCTGAATATATCATTTCCGTCGTTTTTTGTCGTTGTTGTGACAACTGGCAAATGCCATTCTACTGAAGTAATCAGCCCGCTCCCAGGTCTTAGCTTTATTTTTGCATGAGCTGTATAATTCCGGAAATAACAGACCGGTTTTGGGAAGGTGGATAGTTTCACTTTAAAGTAACCTAAATCTATAACGGACTAGGAGAGAGAAATATCGCGAAAATCACTATCTCGTCTACCCTCTCAGGCTTAGAAAACCTCGTCCCCCTACAACAGATGTCTCAGCCTAACTTTTACTTCAGTGTATGTAGTTTCTTTTTTGGGGGGGAGGGGGGAAGGCAAAGCGGGGAAAGGTAATTTCTATATGTATAAGTACTCTTCTGATCAACCGTCCTTTTCCTATTTCCTTCAAATTCCATTTCCCGACTTTTTACTCAATTTTCTCCCTCTATCTCTGCTACTCCTCAATTGATTTCTGCCAGTGGACGTGGCACCACTATGAGCCCATCCTACACAAACCCTTAGCACACAACGTATTTGTTTTACTACTTTTGTTTATACTGGTGACGACTTTAAGATAACGTTAGGGCACATTGATTTTTTTCCCAGCTGTTTCGAGTTACAACCCCAGTTGGTATAGTAGATTGGGGCATGTAACACAGTCAGGCTCGTCCGACCTTGCCATCACATTAACAGCCTTAATCCTTGGATTAGCGTGTCAGGGTTCAACCAATGACGATCAAGAAGTTTCATCTCGTGATGAGCCTGAAAAGAGGTACGTAAAGTTGGTTATCCTACCTTACTCTTATTCCCCGGAAAAAGTGTTATGCCTGATTGAAAAGCTGATCCCTTAATGAACAACCGAAAATTGATTTCTATTTTTCGACAGGGAGCCAGAATTTGTATCTCCCCTGCGAACCAAGCCTAAAGGTCCTCAAGGATCATTCAAGTGGCGTTCTGGCCAATCATAGTTAATTTCTCCGCTACACAAGAGCAAGATGAATGTCTACCAATGGTAACAAACCATAGCCAAGTGTCACATTTACTGAAGGGAATTATGCTCATCATTATGGAGAGAGAGACTTGCCTACCAAACATACAGTGTAATGAAGGCGTGACTCAACGTCACTAGACGTCAGGTCACTAGGTGAGTCACATGGTTGGTCATTGAACAGTTCAAGCCCGCTCGGAAGGATAGGCACATTGGAGTATCGAACTGGTTGACTGGGTGAACAAACTGCATTTTGCCGTACCCGATTCTATAGAACTGGGCCCAGTTGTTCGAAGGCGGATTAGCACTTAACCCAGGGTTAAATTTAACCCAGGATTCTCTCTCTTTTGTTCAAAAGCATTTTCTCGGACAATTTTCTCTGTTATTTCTAAGAGCATCCAATCATCAACTTGTTGACAGAAAGAATTAAACTGAATGTACTTTTTAAGCATTCAAATCTGATTTCAAATTTCGTACTAACCCTGGGTTATTTTAACCCAGCTTTGAACAACCCGGCCCCGTACTATAGCTGCTCCTTATTGAGGACAAATAAAACTTTACTGATAGAAAACATCGATCGTTACGTTACGAGCTCTACTGCTTTTAAATCAGTGCTCTTGTCCTTGTCAACAGATCTGGGACATAAGAGGAGTTACTGGGGATGGATATTAAGCTTCATTTAAATGTTGTCTTGATAATGTTAATAAACTCAAACCGCTTTCCTGCAATAAAACCATAAACGACAGAAAGTACTTTCTGTGGACTTTAAAAAAACGGTTTAACTGAAGTAGAAAAATTACTAAAACATTAATAAAAAAAATATGATCAATAAGAAGTGCCTTCAAATAATACTTATCTTTTTATTGAGCTGCAGTGACAAAGTCACTGATCGATTCAGACCTTTCTTGAGGAATATGTAAGAGAAGAGGAGGCTCTGGGAACGAGTTTGTGAAAGGCACGCAATCGGCCCCACCAAAAAGGCCAAAATGCATTGTAAGCAAGTTGAGCTATCAGGTCTAACACAGCTGTTCTCTAAAACCCTGGTGGCTCTATTTTGTAACGACACGTGGAGTGAAACACGGAATATAACTCATCATAGCCACACACCTGTCGCCTAAGTAACCACTGTAGAGAAATGTTTTTGTTTCTAGAAACTTGTCAATTTAACTGAGGTCCGTACGTGCTTCATTGTTAAGTTAGACCACGAACCTGGTTCAGCTTAGACCACTGTTTAAGACAATGACTAAACCCCACATCTGTCAATAAGTGGATTATTTTCCGAGGATATTTTAACTAGATCAATCACTTTCTCTGTTAGTGTCCGCTTTTTAACGCTTTGTGATGTTCACCATAAACAATGATTTGATACCAAGGTTGCTGACTTTCAAGAGGCTGAGAAAGCAGTGTTTTAACACTTGGGGCGAAACTTTCGCTCGAGATTCTTACGATAAAGTGTCTAGTATAGCGCGTTTCTCAATTTTGAGTCTATGGCAAAATAATTTGTTGAGACCCCTTGACTGATCATGTGAGTTATGGGGCACTACTAATTAATTCTAGTTTTATCAAATAATGTGAATATTTTGCTAGGAAAGAGTTATTTCATATTTGATCGCCAAGTGTTCATTCAGAACATCTGGCGAGCTAAATGTTCGGAAATAGGACGAGAGAATCTTTTGTCGGCCTCTCTTTTTCCACTAAAGTATCTTTGCGGGCCTCAATGCATGGAGAAAAGAAGAACAATGGAGTCCACACGTGTTATCTACGAAAACCCAAATAAATGGTTTATTGTTCAACTGAAATTCCTGTCCTAAAACGTACGAACTTTTACCCCGGTATTACACTCTTTAGAGTAATTTGTAGCTGTTTTCGTTGCGCTTAATCTGCCTTTTCTATCTTCCTATAACCGTCCCCTTCTAGACGAGTTTTGTCAAATGTGGTCACCTGGAAGTAAATTTGAATTAAAATTGAATAAGTTGAAAAAGTTTGTAAGGAATTATTTTATTTCAAAGACGGGAAAAAAAACTAGGCACAATGAAGCCTTGCGGTTAACTATTGCATTCCCGTTTGCAGGTTGCGTTCTCCATGTAAGGTGATATGACGTCACAACCTAGAGCCCCCATGGATATTTGTCATATAGCTAAATAAACCACTCTGGATAATTAAAGTTACTTTTTTATAATTACCACTAATCATAATGACGATTTACGTCAACTGAAAGCCATAAACCGATCCAATTACCTTAACTAACAGCAATCGCACAGTATTCCTGTAGAGTAGAAACAGGTGGAGTCCATATCAACAGTTAATGCAAGTCATGCCACAGGTGTAGACGGGACCGCGAAAAACAGCAAAATTTTATTTTTTATTTATTTTTTTTTAAACACGAAATCTATCGGCTTATATGCTATGGGAGTACGTCTTTACTATGAAGGTTTTCCTTGTACAGTCAAATACAGACAGCTTAATCGTTTAAGAATGAAAGTCACTCCGGTGTGAGCGCAATTTGCGTTTTGTGAAATCGCTGTAAACCTATAATTACTGAAACTGGTCAGCAAAATCTTCTGGCTAGGGTTAAAGTAAAAACTTCTGCAAAACTTGCCGCTTAATTTTGGATATGAAAAAGCTGCTTTTCGATTCTTTTAGAAAAAATAGATTGCACTATAACTCAGTTTTAGGCAGGTTGCTTCATTCATCATTGAAAAGGCTTTGTAATGGAGACTATTAACATTTAAACATCTTACGCATGAAAAAGTTATCACAAGCCCTAGAGTAACCGATATTAAAAAGTGATTGTACCGTAAAATGACGAAAAAAGAAGAAAATCGCTAAGTTAATGGATATTCTGTTCAGAAATAATTGGATTTATTTGTAGACAATTTTTAGTGAGAGCTTGCTGAAAGTCTAGAACGAAAATTCCAATAAAAATCTATTTTTTAACTTCACGCCCACAAACACGCAGATGGTGTCTAATGATAACACTATCTGCTGCTCATTGCGATTTCTCTCTGTGCTGTTGGACACAGCAAATGTAAAGCGACTGACATGGATGCCTTGGGATATGAGTACAAGTCACGTTGACCCAGCTTTTAATAGAAATAAGCCTAAGTCACTCACTGACCGAGCGAGATAAATCTTAGAGTGATCTCAAATTGTGAGACGCACGTTTAGTTATTACTTCTACAAGTAGTTTGAGATGTCGCCTATTTCAAGATATTTTTCACTTTACTTTGCGAGTTCATTAAATTAAGTCAATTAAGTGTGGCTTTTAAGGTCTAAATATATAGATCCCAACAGGCTACTTTTGCCAATTTTATGCCTGTCTAAATTCTTCTCATGCGGTGCTCCGCGTCCGAAGCTCATGAGGACCAGAAACTAAAGAGAAAATATCAATTAATGCGCAGCGTGAATTTTGCCTTTTGCCGTAATCAACAGTGTACGTTGTCTTAAATAGGAAAAAATGGATGCTTAACGCGGGGCGGACCTACCTACCAATATAAGAACCTGTCTTCACTTGCATGCTAAAAGAAGCGAGTGTTTACACCAAGTTCATTGAAACGCTTTCTTTAACTAAAAAGCGTGCTTCTTTGTTCAGCTGATGAAAAAAGAAATATTCTAAAAGGCACGTGGTATAGTTGCTAGGGGTTTTCGTATGCAAAAGATAACGGATAAACCGGGGATCTCCTCCAAACCAAGTAGTTAAATTAACGATACCCTCTTAAAAATTAAGTAGCAATTGGTTAATTATTGATAAACTATTGTGCCAAAGAAATATGAACAATTACCGAACCCTGAAGGCGTACGAGATAATCTTGACTAACAGTTTTACTTTTTAAGTAGAAACTCTTTGTCAGCGGGAGACCTTAATTATCAAGGAATACCTGCCGAGTTTAAAAGACCATTTAAATTCTTGCATCTAAGAAGACGCTTTCAGTGAAAAGAGGCCTTTGCAGTGTTAAGATACTGGGCTGATTGGGATTCTAGGCTTGGGTCAAAACGACATAACACTGAAGAAGGACGTTTTCTTGCCTTTTTGAAACTTGATCATCAAAGCTTTATTTAAGTCTGAATCTGGAAACAGGACATTGTTAACCAAAAAACGGAGATCATAATTGTTGCCACTACAGAGGGACAACTAAGACTTGGGAGGCGTAGTCAGTTTCAAGCCAAGATCGATCTTATTGAACTTTCCTGCTCAAAAAAATGAACTCGACTGGCAATCACACCAACTCCTTGGGCTCGGAAATAGTTGGAAACGGGAACGACTTCCAATTTTACAAAGAGGCACACTCATTGCAAGTTCTTCGTCTGATATTTCAAGTTCTTCTCGCCTCTGTCGGCGTAGCAGGCAATGCGATGGTATGCCTCGTCATCACCTTTCAGCCTCAAATGCATACTACTATCAACTACTTCATCAGAAACCTCGCAATAGCAGATCTAGGGATTCTAATTTTTTCTTTTCCTTTAGCAGTTATCATGGAACAAGTACCTTCTCATTGGCCCCTAGGGGAATTTTTCTGTCGGTATATATTCCCCCTGTCCGATATATTTTTTGGCGTATCCGTTTGGTCGATCGCCCTCATCGCTGTTGATCGCCACAGAGCCATAGTACGGGGAGCCCTTCCCAAGCGCGGTTCTACCGTGTTCAAGTCAGCGCGTCGGATGGTGGCTGGCGTTTGGATGATTTCATTTTTAATTATCTCGCTACCGCTGTATTTTGTCATGAACTTCACCGATCATCGTCCCGTCATCAACATAGTTGAATGTTCTCCCAAATGGCCAAACAAGGAGGAAGAAGACGAAATGAGACAGATTTACATCATTGGTTTGACTATTTTCTGGTATGTTCTACCACTTGCGATTGTTACTGTAACCTTCAGTAGCATTACGCGAAAGCTTCGTACCAGTACGAGGTTTAACAAATCGATAAGGGATGACGGCGGGCGAGATACGGAGAAGCGTGCTCGGAAAAGACTGCGTGAACGACAAAATAGCAAAGCAAAAAAGCTTTTGACCCCAGTAGTTTTAGTCTTCGCTGTCACCATGCTACCCCTAAATGTTTTCCGTCTCGTTTTTTTGTACTGGAAGGAATTTACCTTGCACAAATACTTTTGGGTTTACTACAATGTATGTGTGATTTGCGTCATCACAAACTCGTCAGCAAACTTTTTCATTTATTCTGTGGTAAGTGAAGAGTTTCGTCAAAGTTTCAAAAGCTTTATCTGCAGAAAGATGGGGGTACCTTCTAACAGTATCACGGAGAGAACACTTCGCAGTCCCGCATTGAGCCCCATAAATCTCAGCCCTATCAACAACAGAAATGATGAGGACCAAACTAAAAACAACAACACGGAAAGAGAAACTTTAATGTAAATAAATATTTACCCACTAGCGGGTATGACATGAGTCGAATACCGTAAAATTCCGAAAATAAGCCCCTCCATGTATAAGCCCCTTCCAAATATAAGCCCCCCAAAATCGTAACGCAAAAAACCCTCCGTTAAATCGCCCCTCCGAATATAAGCCCCCCCCCCCCGGCCCGGGGGGCTTGTACTTGGAATTTGCCCTCGAATACAACGTAAAACAAAGCAAAAATGGTAAATTTCCTTCTCACTACAAGCTAGCCCAATCGATTTTGAAACGCAAATTTCCCTCCGTACATAAGCCCCTCCAAAAATAAGCCCCTCAAAAAGGGCCTTGAAAAATATAAGCCCTGGGGCTTATTTTCTAAATTTTACGGTATTAAACGTTTTGGAGTTTTTCAAATTTAGAAGGAAATGACGAAGAGAAGTTGCTTTTCGATAGTTACTCGTGACTAGTCTGGGAGGTGACACTAGACGTGAATTTTGTTTTCTTCTATAAAAACGCATAATTTTTTTTTCTTGGTAGTACTTTTAAATTTAGTAAAGGGAGGGCCGCTAATTTCGGGTGGACACTAATGCAGTTGTTCAGGTAATGGCCATTAAGCGTTTTGTTTCCTAAATAGGAATTCCTTTTTACATCATTTCTTCTGTGAAAACAAGCATAGTTTACCAGGACCTTCATTGATGAACATTGATATTATCTTTACAATTTATCATTATCATGCATTATTAGAATCACACGCATAGGAAACGAGCCGAAAAACACATTTATATCGTCGTTATCATCTCATCTTGTTGTTTTAACATTCCAAGGAGTGAGCCCTTATGCCTTTTTTGCCCGCAACGACCGATCGACGGACTCACTCTACGAAAGAAAGTGCCAGCAGAAACGAAGCAGTTTTAAAGAAAAAACTACGGCCAAAAGCTGTTGAGGTATTTTCATTTTTTACATGTTTTCCACTTCGACTTGCTCACACAGGCATTTTTATGCTAAGCGTGGCTTTAGCTCTAGAGCCGCTTTTTCTTCATGTTTTATTGCTTAAGGCTTTCTTGGAGGTAATCGCTGTTAATATTAACAGAGTAGGGATGCTTTCGTCAACGGTCAAGCGCAGCGTGACTATTGAAATAACCACGCCTTGTTAGTGTTTACGGTCCCTGCCAGCTACCACTGGACTCAGATTTTACGTTGGTTTGAAATTCAGCCCTTTTTTGCCTGATTTCAATTTTTCTTATTCCCGCCAAATTAAAACAATCCTTAGCCTTTCCAACAGAAGGGCAGCATAGAAACCCGGCGAAAACCTTTTTCAACCCCGTTAGGATGTTTATCCCACGCTACCACAATTCTTCTACCGGCAGCTCACTCCGTATACGTACAAATTAAAAAAGAGGTGAATCTTCCCAGGAGCCCAAAAGATCTTTCGCATTACGATGTGACCATCAGAATAATACCAGCCCTAGCTGCAAAATAGTGAGCGAAGACCCTTTAATTTCGGGCAAATTGGTTTGTTTTGATTTTGTCCGGGCCGATCCGGCAACCCTGCTCTGATCAAGTAGACAAAGCTCTCTAATTGCAGTCTACGAAATACTAGAACCAGGCTCTTTTCCCTGCGCTCGATCCCTTTTAAACGTTTACAAAGGATCGACAGCTTGCAAGAGAGTTAATACTTAACTGAAACCTCGCAAGCTGACCAACTGTGATGGCAACGGTGAAGACCGCATTGATTCAAAGCATTATAGTTTCCATCGTCTTGTCAGGTAAGAACATTTTCTTATCAGTTCATTCAGATTATTGTTAGGTCCGTTCAGTCTGATTGATCCTGATTTCAAGACTGGTTGCCTAAACGAGGGCACCTTACCATACAGTTTGATTCTAAGGCTACACTTTCCCGAATCATATCAGTTCAACCTATTTCAGTGACATAACTCCTGGGTATAAACATTTCTAACGTTTCATAAGCTGTTGCTGTTATATACGTTAATAAAACTTGATCGAAATTATAGATCGAAATAAAAAGTTTCTGATAGAACTATCAAAACTTTATAATTGTATTAGCTGAATATTAGACAACAATTATCGCATAGGGCGGGGAATAAACTTTCCTCAATTCTGATTCACCTTTACCGAACCAGATGGTGGATAGTTAACCTCCAGCCGTAATTCAGATTCCTTGCTTTAAAATAAATGTTAATTTCAAACACAGAAATCATGCTAAACTGATCAACTGCCGCAGTCATGATCAGCTGAGCATGACTTCGGAATTTTAATCATTTTCGTATTATCAGGTACAAGACACAGCATAAAATGACTCTAATACACGGACCATGATTAGTGCAATCATTCACGGTCGGTATAAATTATTCAGTCGAATAAGGAAAGGATCTGAAGGAAATACCATGAGATTTCTGTATAAGAATCAGTATATTTCCGAGCATGCTGCGAAGTCTAAGAAAAATCCCAGGACTTCCTTTAACTCTTACCCTCAGATTAAATTAATTTATTTTTCTTTGTTTCAAAGTCTTTGTCATCGCACATAAACATACCTAAAACAGACACAAAGTGGTTAGGTTGGCTTTGTACCCATGCAGTTTATACCGCCAAATATCATAAACATGACCTCAATAAGTAATTTTAACGCTGCTGTAAATAATTATATCTCTGCTTAAGGTCTCGGTAAAGGAAAACGAGGTGCCCACAGAAAAAATTCTAGTCGCGCGAGTATTTTCGCTACAAAGGAAAGTTATATATCAAATTAAAGCTAAAAGACTAAATTACCTTATAAAAGATTTTATTTCATCGAATTTCAAAAGGCGCTTAAGTTTTTTGTTCTCGAACTCAGAGGTATCGAGTTTACTGCTGAAGCTCCAGCCCTTTCGCGTTGTTAAATATTTACTTCCTTTTTATTGCATCTGATTGACAGATAAAAGACCTAAAAAAGGGTGTGAGGAAATTTGCATATGTCTCGTATTAGCGGAATTATTGCATTTCAAACTAAAAAGTCGAATCTCGAGCGCGATTTACGCAAAGAAACTGACATAAAATGAGTTACAAAGGGAAATCGGAAAATTCCTCACACCCTTTTTTAGGTCTTTTATCTGTTACTCAGATGCAATAAAAAGGAAGTGAATATTTAACAACGCGAAAGGGCTGGAGCTTCAGCAGTAAACTCGACACCTCTGAGTTCGAGAGCAAACAACTTAAGCGCCTTTTGAAACTCGATGAAATAACATCTTTTATAGGGTAATTTAGTCTTTTAGCTTTAATTTGATATATAACTTTCCTTTGTAGCGAAAATACTCGCGCGACTAGAATTTTTTTCAGTGGGCATCTCGTTTTCCTTTACCGAGACCTTACGTTTTAGTTTTATCAACTTAATTATTAAGTGATTGTTATTTATTTCATCATTAATATACGACAATTATTTATTACCTTATTTGCGCATATTTATTTATTCATTTTTATTTTTGCACTTTGCACTGGAATTTGCTAGAGGTCCTTATAGGATTTTGCAAATAAACTATGTAGATGTAGATGTAGATGCGTGCTCAGTAAAGAGATCTCTGAATAAACATTTTTCCAAACTTGTCGCCAAGATAATAGAAGTCCTTTGGGCCTTGTTGAAATGCATGTACTCAAGTAGCTCGCGGTTTTCTAGAGAGCTCTTTAAATTTACAACGCAAATCAACTTTGTACGTATACATTAGAGAGAGACTCTCTCACCTGGCCGGCCGTTGGAGGGTTGGAGTAAAGAGACGGCAGACTGGGGCGGGAGCAAAGTTAAATTCCGAAGTGAGGAGACTGTGAGAATGAAATAAAGGGAACCCTCCCTACACCACAGCATAAGACTCTGTTTACATGGAGTGGGGGACCCCGGTCTAGTGGGTAGGTTTCTTTTGTTTTGTGTCCCCCAGAGAGTGAAAACAAAAGAAACCAACCCCACTAGACCGGGGTCCCCCACTCCATGTAAACAGGCCTTAAGATAAGATAAGATAAGATAAGCGACTTTATTTAACGAGGGTTACACGTGACAGTAATGAAAATTACTGATAAACTTGTGGCCCTCTAAAAATAATTTTAAAAATACAATGAAATGAAATAAAAACTAGCGATTGGGTTACTATCACTGCAAATGGTCTTTTCTCGCACACCTCAAACCTTCTCTCCCTCGCCGTATGGTAAGCCGCTGGATGATAGGTCCCACAAGATCATTTTTGTAATAAGAATTTGGATAAGCCATCCATGTAAAACTTTTGGCTCTTATAACATTCGGTGCATCCTCGTGGCATTTACCACCAGCTGCAGTTATTGCCGCATTTCAGTCTGTCCTCAAAACATTCTTTTCCCTACAAACATCAATAAATAAATTAAAGCTAAAATACAATCACCGACTGAAGCTGTTTTTTCAAAACTTAAAGACGACTGAGGCTTTTGCTCTTAAACTTTAAGCGAACGTCTAAAGGAAATTCCAAAACGCCAGAGTAAGTTCTCATCTATGAAGACGAAATCCTAAAACGAGTAAAGCCTGGAAAAATATTAGTTTGCCGGTCTTTGTTTGTTTATTTGTTTATTTATTCACATCCTCCATATGGTGCGGAACACACAACAGATCAGAGCTGCAGTTTTAGTTTCAAAATACTTCATAGCCTCTTGTTCGACTTATGTTTAGATACAGCTGCCACTGGTGACGAAAATGAAAGCGAACATCAGAGCAAATCCCTTATGAACTTTCTCCAGCATTTCAATCAGAATCGCCATCACGTTACCAATCCTGAAGGAAAACAGAAAGCACGCGACTTTATCAAGAAAACGTTTCAAGATCTAGGACTTACCACGTGGTCAGAGGCGTTTACTGAACCAAAGTTTTTTAATCCGCAGGTGAATATTAATTTTCTCATCGCAGATGGTAATAAATACGTAGATATTGCAATGCATCTTTTTGTACTATAAGCCATTACAACGTTTTCTCTTTTCTACTTAACACTCAGGGCCGGGTTGTTCGAAGTTGGGTTAAGATAACCCAGGGTAAGTGCGAAATTTGAACTCGGATATGAGAGCTTAAAAGGCAAATTCAGTTTAATTGACTTTGCCTACAATTTGATGATTGGATACTTTAAAACCGCAGAGAAACGTATCCGAGAGAGTGCTTTTGATAAAAAGAAAAAGTAACCCGGGTTAAAATTTAACCCCGGGTTATCGCTAACTGGCGTTCGAACAACTGGGCCCAGTTCTTTATTCAAATTAAAGGCCCTCGAAACGCCCTTTTGGGCTGTTACCTTCGTTAAGAAATATTTTGAGGAACAAGCCGCTACAACCTATGAATAGAACCAGGAGCTGATTGCTAGCAGAACATTAGAAAATTGACGTTGATACCCCTATTTCATTTGATATTTGCGGCTCCCAATTTTTGCTACAAAACAAACTCGTTGACAAGAGATATCTATTCTGTCTCATTCAATCTTGCATTCATCCATTCACTGATTTATTTGTGATTAAGTAAGGTGGTAATGGCTGTAAAGTTGCTCAGATAACGCGTTTATATGGCGGAAAATGAATATAATCATGTATTGATTAATTATCTTTTTAACCAGTATGCTACAGGAGTCAACATAATCGGGATGCTCCCTGGCACCCTTGCGGGCTCGCCTAATGACAGGCCGTTTCTGATTGGTTCTCATTACGACACGGTGCGTACTACATCACACGGTGCAAACGACAATGGCTCAGGCGTGGCCGCCATGTTACAGGTTGCAAAAAATTTTGCCACAAGTAGGTGAACTATCTTTTGTTTTATTTTTTGAAAATTAGTCAAATAATTCATCCCCTCTTGATTGCTTTATCTCTTCTCTCGTCTGTCTCCTTTTCTTTAGTGTGTTGGCAATTTTCACGCACGCCCTCGTATTTCCATTGACCTAGGCCTATCCCTGAAGAACATAATATCCGCGGTTTCCTGGGCATTACATAAAACCCTAAAGTAGGACTCTTCTATCTATTTTAAAACTTATTGTGTAACTTCTTATTTAACTTTTCACAGATTTCAAACACTGTGCACGTAGTTTTAGCGTTCTGTTTGTGGCGTTTGATTTCGAGGAGTGGGAAGATTGTAACGATATGAGGAGCAACCCTAATTGTGCTTGTGGCAAGATAGACTGTGGAAGCAGAGCTTTTGTCGCAAACCTCACGCGTTTTTACAACGGGTCTTTAAAGTCAAACGGAAGGCTTCAGGGAGCGATTATTATGGATACTGTAATGAACTACAACAACACACCAAACTCGCAGTCCCTGCCACATTTAACACAACGATATTTTCCCGAGGTTTACGGTCAAATTGAGGCTGATGGATTTCGTGGGAATTTCCTTTCTGTTGTTGGGCGTGAAGTTGATGATGCTGTTTTAATGGATACGTTCTGGTACTATTACAGTACAGTAAAATCTGGTAAATAATCAGTATTAATCCGGAATTTTGCTTGCATTTTGCCCAAAGCATGACTGATCCATGTAAATGGCGATTTTAAATTATAACCCTCCGATTAATTTAATTCAGTTTCAACTTGTTCTCATGAGAGCTTGGACCCGTTTGTTCTTCTATCCGTTTTTTCTATGGCTTCCTCAGCGCCCGCCATCCACAGACCAACTCCACAATGACATAGCTACACAAAGTCCACCTGAGTACAACGCAGTTCACTTATGCATATCCTTTAACTGCTCTAGTGTTTCTTTTCAGATTTTGTGTTTCATAGTTTTAATTTCTTTTCTATCCCTCGTAGTGACCGTTAGTGACGTGGTTGGATTCTCTTTTCCGTATCCAGTGGAGACATTTTTTTAGTAGTTTTCAGTGTAGTTTCCTGGTAAAATACAAAGCGCTACTTTTTCGAGTTTTGACTTATGGAGAGTTATTAGAGTTCATTTGAAATGACAGCCTGTCAAGCTCTAGTCCAATCACAGTTTCAATAAAATAACTATCAACAACTGAAATGTGCTTGTTTGCGTTATTCGCACAGGCGCTCACCACTTGTTTTCCTACTTCCAACATATTTAAAACTAATCGGAGGGTTATAAAATATATAAACCTCATCCTGGCGTGCTGGAATATCGTTGGATAGTACCTTTGGCCGAGAGATATAGCAGCCACAGGAAGGGGTATATTTACTGAATGGGCCGGCCCATTATATTATTCCATTCAACAAAATTCCGGTATGAAATTTCGTAAATTTCAGGTGCCCAATGGAACGGTTATCCGGTTGTACAGAGCCAATCCACTGCGCGTTTGGTTATTGCTGTTCTTATAAGCAGGATGTATAAGGGCGTTTCTGGGGAAACAATTTTTTTAAATGGAAAGGGATATTTCTGTCCGAGCAACCAAAATGAGCGGACTGGTCAAAGTGGACCACCTTCAAAATTAAAGGTGGCTCAGAATATTCCGGTCGGACCGAACCGAAATGATCCGTTTCATTTGATTTACTAAAATAACTTGCAATGCTTCATTCATTTACCCTCGTGTAGCTCTGGAAAGTAAAACTAAGATGTATCCAGTAAATCTTCCATTCCATGGCCAGCCTGACAAGCGTCCACCCCTTTGGTATAATGCTTTTAGAGACTTCTTGAGAAGCGACCACGTGTCATTCTGGAACAACCTTCCGTCTATGAGCGCGATCTTCCTGAGTGACACCGCTAACCTCCGAAGCTACATGGTATCTTGTTACCACGAAGACTGTGACAATATCAATAGGGTGACAAGTGAAATGCTCCAGTTCTTACAGAAGACATCTGACTCAATATTGGCCGTGGCCAATGATGTTACCAAGGTTTCATGTCCAGCCGTTGAACAGCAGAAAGGAACAACAAACCCGCAGACCGCAGGTAGATATATCGACGATGAAAGCAAAGAAAAATCGCCTCATGTAAGGGAATCTGGATTGCAAAACCCTGGGAAATTTTTGCTTGTGGATTCCAGAATCCGGGAAATTTCTGTTTATGGATTGCGGAATCCGGGAAAATTTTACTTATAACATAAGGAATCCTGGGTTTTGGAATCTGGAATACAGCTCAAGGAATCCGGAATCCCACTAACGTTTGGAATCTAGAATCTAATTTCTACTAGTAAATACTGGAATCCAGTACCTGGAATCCGGAATCCACAGCTTGGAATCCAGAATCCGACTAGATTCCATTACGTGGGTTGAAAAGAAGTCACACTCATAACTGATGTATCTGATGATAGGAAAGTTCTTCTTCAAATTCTTCTTTCAATCAATTTCCCTATCTGCCTTGCTTTGAAATGACGGTAATTTTACTGTAAACCTTAGAAAACACCGTGAACACCAGAAGAAATCTCTGTCTTGTACCGAAAGAAGGCAATCGGTCGTGAGCGGAAAGCTACATCACAAGCCACAACGGTAATTGTAATGTGATTTTGAAGCTTTATCGCGTTTTTTGCCTTTTATTGTGATTGGCTATTATTTTTGTGTGATTTTGACAATGAAGAGAAAACAGTGGATCTCATCCCTCAGCCCCGTTCCCCAGGCAGTCAACATGACGATCCCGTCGCGGAATGCCCTGGGAACAAAATTGCCCTCTAAAAAATCTAATTAAAAAAAAAAACACGATTAAGGGCAGAGCTCGTGATTACAGAAAACGCCGTTGATAGTTACAAATAAACTAGCCGAGCCGGTTTCTTTATGAGTAAGTAGAGAAAAACCAGAAGAACGTTTACCCAGACGGTCAAATCAAAGTTATGGTAAAAATCCGCTACATCAGATAGAAACAACCGAAGGGCTTCCTATGTGAGTACAGTCGATGGGCCGTTTGCAATGTTTTCGCGCTTGATTGGTTTGAGGCTTTCAGATCAGATGATGGTGACTGATTTAATGGTCACCTTCAGAAGCCACCAACCGGCTGCTATCAAAACATGAACTGTCTGATTAAAGCTGTTGCACTGTTGCTTACAGTTGAAGTCGTATCACATATAAATAACCCGTCGACGCCCCATGTTACGAAAGAGATGTGATCATGCGTTGATGCTATACTATGTTAGATAACAACAATATTTGCTCATCTTCTATGTTCATTTTTTATCTTTCAGATGAGGGTATGAATGCATGGAAAGTTGCCTTTCTCTCTATTGGCATGATTTTGCTCGGCATGTTTATCGCATCAGCAGCCGTGCAGGCTAGCATCTGGCGACGACCGCCTGAAGTCCAGTGTGTTAAAAGCATTTAGCGGTTTTGAAGAATAAAGTTGAGCTCGTCCTGAACGAGCACTGTGTGACGACATAACGTTATAATAATAGTAACAAAAATCTTCATACAGGGAGCTCACTTGTTTGTCTTTTTGTGATCCTTCTCAGCGCCCCCCCCCCCCTTATTTTAGACCAAACTGAGCCCCCCTGAGGGCAATGGGGAGAGGGGGGTGGCAGTACACAGGCAGAAGCCCATAATGATTTGTAGTTGGCTTGCCACAAACATTTTTGGTAGTGTATACCCTAGTCATGTCAGTGAAAAATAAGAATAAACAGGAGCCGAAGTAATCGGCTCTTGGAATAAAAAATGTCGTCAGTCCCGGTATCCCCAAGTAACTGTTTATCACATGTAGATACATTTTGTAAGGCCCTGTCAACACGTATCCCAATATTTTTGAAAACCGAGATTTTTTCTCCGTTTTCAAAGAAATAAGCATCCACACGTAGCACATCTAAAAACGATAAGACGATGAACAATCTCGTACCCAGCGGACGCGATCCTTTTAAACAGCGACGGGGATCAATGACAAAAGTAACGGAGGCTCTGGGACGAGATTGATTCATAGAGGGATAGTATCCCTGACAGAGCATGCGTAATTCTAGTGGTATATGATGTTTTTCATTATCGTATCCAAAACATCCGTTTTCGTCAGTCCACAGGCAAACGAGAAGCCGGCGTTTTCGAAAATCTCCACTATAGAGACCTTTTATTGAAAACTTGGCTTTGTGGTGCCAGAAAACGTTTATACGTGTGGACGAAAGGCTGAAACGAAGAAAATAGTCTCCGGGTTCCAAATTATCCAGATACATGTGATCGGTGTGGACTGGACCTGAATTCGTGATTTGTTCAGTAACAAACCTGATGCAGACTAGTTTGGGCTAGCCAAAAATTTCTAACTCAAGTGTCTTCAAATTGTTTTATCAGTACTTTACGGCTTGTTAACATAGACTTTGCCAATACATTCGAAGCCCGTTTCACTTTCATATGAATACGGACAGAAAGGGTTCGTATCTCTCACAGGGTGTTACTACGCGGATCACGTTATTGGGATAAATTAAATACTAAAGTACTTAAGTACAGTCAACTCTCTCCAAAGGGGACACCTTTGGGACCGGCACTAAGTGTCCGTCTTAGAGAGAGTCAAATAAAGGGAATAAAGAAAGGCAGGGACCCACTCTAGGTGTCCGTTTTCAGAGGTGTCCGTCTTATAGAGGTGTCCGTTAACAGAGAGTCGACTGTAATACTACAATACGAAAACATTGGCATCGTTAAATTCATTAAAATTCTCCAGAATGCCTTATTCCGCCAACGGCCATGTCCTTGAAATCACTCAAAAGTGATCATAAGTAAGTTATTTGTACATATTAACTTAATCATAAACAGTATCAGCAAAATAATGTAAATTAAGGCTTGAAAAACGAATGCAAAAACCGTGAACAATCAATGTACCTCAACGTTGGATCAAACAAGATCGTGATCATTTGCTGCCAAAATAGTCAAAACTTGGCTTGTATACTTTGTCTAACCTGCTTAGCAAGCGTTTCCGTGCGGTTTTGGAACAACGAAGACCCGTTTCTCGTTCCTTGTTCCGAAACCGCATGGCTCAGTACTGTCCGTATTAGCAAGGTTAACTTTCTATGAGAATCTGCTGATTGAACAAGAAAAAAGTGTCCGCTCTTCGCACTAACTGGTATCGCTTTGACTTTACAGAAAATTTAGGGTCTTTTCCCCAGGGACAAGAAAACTGTTCGAAACAACGAATCGAAATGTCTAGGCTTAGCTACATAATTCCGGAACTGGATTGGGAATTTGAGACATCAAAAAGAATTTTAGAAAATCTCGGGAATTTTAGGAAAACAATTGACAAATTCGAGAATTTTAGAGCAATCTGAACTTTCACCTGACATGTTGGCGACATTTCACAGGCAAAAACGTTGACAAAACGTTTTTGCCGGTTTGTATTCCAACCTAACAAGAGAGAGGTCAGTCCGTTCATATCCTACTTTTTGACAAATTATGCGATTATACCGTGCAAGAGGAAAGAAACAGTGTAGTTTTCATACATACACCAGTGCCTAGAGCACTGAGCACAGAGATTTTTCATCAGAGTCATCTGCACTACAACTTATCAGCGGTTATTCACCAAAAGGGGGCGTACAACTCATTGTTTCTTGTTATATATCGCTATAAAAAAACAAAATTTTTAAGAATTTTCGGAAATTTTAGAGAGCTTTTGGAGAATTTTAGACATTTCAAAAAGAATTTAAGAGCTCTTTTTTGGGAAATTCCAGAAAGAATTTTAGACATTTTTTCGGGAATTATGTAGCTAAGCCTAGAAATGTCCGTGTTAAGCAGGTGTCTTTATTAACCCTTTAAGCCCTAAGAGTGATCAGCATCAAATTTCTCCTTGTAATATCACCGCTTTATAAAACAGAGTGGTCATGAGAATTGAGGACATGATCACAGAAGATGAATCTAATTGATACTCCAACAAATTCTCCCCACTACTTCTATTGAAAACGTATAGGGATAACAAATGAGAATTTGAATTTTGATGTTAGGGTTTGAATGGTTAAAGCGGGTTTCGACAGTAGGTCGCGCGACCACGCTAAAGCAACTTCGAGTGGCTTTAGAAGTTAACAGACAGTAAAAGACACTACATAAAAAAGGTAAGTCAACTTCAATTCGAGGACGTGTTTAGTTTATTGAATATTCCTGCACACACTATAGGCATCGCGGAAAATGTTGCACAGGGAAGGTAGACATAAAAAACTTTGGCCAGACCGGTTGGTTTCCTGTGCTGGTAGGGTGATAGGATTCTGTACGGCGTTTTCCCAGTCCCTCTCGGTCAATTCGTTTCGGTGACGTATCACATTTTCGCATGGACCACGTGACCCGAAACGCTTTGCCGCGAGGAAAAATGAGGCCTAGGGACTAGGCAAGTGTTTACCTAGGATTTTCTGAGAAATAAGACGCCATTGTAACACGATTCCCGGAAGACAAACTTTAACAGGTCACGAACCCAGTTTCTCAGAAATGTTATTAAGATTCCTTTTCCGAGAATTAATAACTATTTAAGCTATGGAAGCTTAGTGCAAAACAAACTGTAAAAGTTTTTTTATGGCGTGGACAAAGATTGCGTTGATTTTGAGCCTTACTATTTTTATCGCCTTCTCAGGTAAGAACATTACTATTATTATTGCCGCACTACCGTGAAAATGAGCCGGCCGGTTACTGATATTTTAAACGAGCATTTCCAATCGACACCGTCAGTACAGTATGTTGCCTAGTATCCGGACGGTACTAGTATCCGGATACTTAAAACAAAAACTCAATTTTTGAGGCGCCCTTTTCAATTCTCGGTAAACAAAGTACTTCGAATGAAAGCCGAACATTTCGGCTTTAAGATGAAAGTTTTGGCGAGTTTAAAGCTCGCGAAACAGTTGCAGAAGAAGCCGTTCTGTTCAGGTGAGTAACCTTTTCATGGCTAATATTTGCGCTGTTTATTGCGCAGTAAAATTAGTGCTGCTCAGAAAAGGGTAGGTAATATATGATATTTTCAAAGAAACTGTACTTAAAGAATTCAGGTTCTCAGAACGTTTATAAATTCTTCTTGACATTCGATTTGTTTGGAACAACAGAAGCCAGAAACATTCACTAACTTTTGATCCGGATAAGATTTATTAAATATCTATAGCTATAATTAAAGCTTAGGATATGTGACTTAGTCATAAAATGTAATTCTACTCAACTCCGTATGGAAATTTTCTTCACTCATTCAGAGGCGACTTAATTTCGTGTGCACGGCTTGTTTCGCTTGACATACTACAGGGGCACCCAACGGCAATTTTCGCGAAAATATCTGTTCGGAAGACGATTTGAGATCTAGAATTTTCGGAGCATTTGTTGTAAAATTTCTTGCTTGCCTGCCGCTCCTAGGATTATCGAACATCCACAAAATGGTATAATTGCCCATTTTTAACGGATTTTGACCCTAAAAAAGGCCACCTAGAATTTTCGGGAGCTTTTTCCTGGCTGAAATTTTCGAGAAGGTAAGTTTTGATCCCTATAATTTTCGGATCACTAGGCTTTCAGCTAGGAAATCCGAACAGATGAAAAGTTTTTAGGGGATAAAAATATGCCTATATCTACCGTTTGAATACTAAAATACGTTGAACAATGCTATGTTAAGTGGTTTTGAACTATATCCTCGTTGGGTGCCCCTGATACTAGTAATAGCTGACACTACAGCTGCCCCCGCTCTGTATGTTGTTGGTCGTTGTGTAGCTCTTTGAAATATACCGATTCATAATGAAGATTTTCACAATTATTCCATACAATAGGTGGGATAAAAACAGGAAACGCAAGGTTCCATGCTCAGTTTCAGTTCGATTTACACAGCCTTGATCAAAACATTCTCAGTTTCGAGAATAGTTTGAACCATACAGTTCATTTTATTTGCCGGGAAGTAAGCCTTAGAAATTAAAAGGACGTTTCACGTTCGCGCATTCTAGTCTTATTTTAAACTTCATAGCGGAAGGATATCTGTGAGCAGGGAATAAGTCAGCACAGAATTTGATTGTCGGCGAATTTCTGCAACGTCGCATTTCACATTTGCCGAACTTAATGCTTGAATTTTAGTAGATTATATATTATTACATTACTGGGAATATTGATAGCGAGCAGAGTTAAATTCGACGGAGTTAAATTGGACGTTTGAATCAAATGCCGTATTTAACTATTCGCGCAAGTCCCTTGCAACGCGAGTATAAATAAGAGCGTGGCATCTCATTTCTGTCAGTCCAGTTTGCCTAAGAATCCATTCGCTCTGCTAACGGATTCTTGTTTTATCAAGATGGCTGACGAACCGATCCCGCCCCGGCCAATGTTACACAAGCTCCAGCTCTGCTTCAAACAGCCCAATCGTCAGTACAGCGCGGATGACTGACTTTCCCTCGTCTGTGTTTCGCTGGCGCTATACTCCCAGTTTGTTTACTGCAGCTTCCGGCTCCCGTAAGGTTTTTACACGTTAATGTTTTGCTTTTGTTTTATCCAGTAGCGTGTTCTTCGTAGTTTGCCTCGCTATCTGTTCTTCGGCCCCCCGTAAAGTTTTAGTGCTTAATTCCCTTCGGCTCCCGTAGTTTGTTGCACGCTTTCGTTGTTAGTAATTTATGTTTTGCGTGTTTTGCCTCACAAACACCGGGTTTGTGCAGTGCTATTCCCTCGGCTCCCTTAAAGTTTGTTGCACGCTTGTGTTGTATTTTGCTTTATTCAGTAATTTTTGTTTTGCGTGCTTTGCCTCACAAACATTGGGTTTGTGCAGTGCTTTTCCTTCGGCTCCTGTAAAGTCAGTTACACGCTTTTGTTACGCTTTAGTCAGAACTTTTTTTTGCGTGTTTTGCGTCACAAACACCGGGTTTGTGCAGTGCTATTTCCTCGGCTCCCGTAAAGTTTGTTCTATGCTTGTGTTTATTTTGGTTTATTCAGTAATTTTTTGCTTTGCGCGTTTTGCCTCACAAACACCGGGTTTGTACAATGCTACTCCCTCGGCTCCAGTCAAGTTTGTTGCATGCTTGTGTTTATTTTGGTTTATTTAGTAATTTTTTGCTTTGCGCGTTTTGCCTGCAGTGTTTCATTTTTCCCTTCGGCTCCCCTCAAGTTTACACCCTTTTGGTTTTCTTTGTTTTATTGAGTTTGCTTTTGTTATGCTTGCTTTGCCCAACCAGCTCCGGTTTGTGCGGTGATTTTTCCCCGGCTCCCCTCGAATTTGCGCGCTTAATTTTTTGCTTTGTATTTGGGAAGAGATTCCTACTAAGATAAAAACACTTAGCTACCACAAGTTCAAAAAATATAAGCGAATTCTAGTTAACTGTCAAAGGTAACAATTGTAATATGACTGCCTCACATAACCTGACTGCAGGCATAATCGTCCATAGTTGCCATGGCACTAAGCGCACGTTAGTATTCCCAATCATAATATAGCGTGGTTACCTCGAAAGTTAAGCTCCCCTGACCACCGTACACTTCTACCCAAGCCATGAATTTTCTTTTTTTTCCCTTCTCTTCTACTTTATTAGTGTATTCTTATCTTACTATATATAATGTTAATATTTTATTAAGTGTGAATAATAAAATTGAATTGAATTGTTCAGTTTTAATTTGTGTTCTGCGTTCTTTCCCTCACTAATTTAATCTAAACCTTCCATTCCAGTAAAGTTGGTTCATCCCTTTTGCTGCATTTGTGCTTTATTTGGTCAATCTGTTCGGCGTTATTAGACTTCACTTACCGTATTTATTCGATTAACCGCCCTGGGCGCTTATTAAATTTTTGGACCTTGAGAGTGGGCGCTTATTCGAGGTGGGCGCTTATTCGAGGTGGGCGCTTATTCGAGGCTGGGCGCTTATTAAATTTCGCCATTCTCAGCGAGTGTAGTCGTATATTTTGCAACAAAACAATAAATGCTAATAACAAAAAGGGAAGGTGTAACAAATTTCTGAGAAGAAAACTCCTTCTTCGGGAGGGTCTCTTATTATATCTTATTGGAGTTTTGACAGGGCGCTTATTCGAGGCTGGGCGCTTGTTAACTTTTTCTGCCTCTAGGATGGGCGCTTATTCGAGGTGGGCGCTAATTCGAGGTTGGGCGCTTATTCGAATAAATACGGTATCAATATATACCACATGCACAACTATTCTAATTGAGATGAGTTCTGGAGGACAGATGCTAGGGGAAAATCTTCCAGTTTACGATCGCTACAAAATATGATAGGTTGTTTATTTACATTTTGCCTTCCACTGATTCTCAGTAAATTTAAATAATTTCCTGGGGCTGAGGTCAGAGGAATAATGGGAAAATATTAACGGAAAATTTAGAGTTGCGATTCGAATAACGCCCTCTCAGTAAACAACGAAAACTCTAGCTGGAACGAGGGCTCTTTTCGGGGCGGAATGATGGAAAAATGAAAATAAATTGTTGAGAAGTAAATGAAACGATGAACCACCTATTGTCCTTCTTTATGCCCCGAATAAAGTTATTTCCTGATACTTAATTTGATTTCTACAGATGACATAGGCCTAATGGATGGGTGAACTTATAGCGACTGGATTCACTCGTCTCTCGGCTATATCTCTATACGGTGTCTTGCTGAGCAGAATTTGCCAGCCGATGATTTGCAGTTGTAAATTATTAATAGAGACAAATATAATATTGTTATGACAAGCTAGCGAAGAATCATGTCTGCATCGCGTAGCCATAATTCATTCAAAAAATAAAACGAGGCTTCATTTCACCAGAGCGACATACCAGAAGACTATGGCTACATTTACACTAGAGGCGATCTTTTCCGGATGAAATGACATGTTGCAATGATCTGCAATGTTTCCAGATTTATTCAGACATTTTTTTACGCTTTTCGGATCCGGAGGCATTTATATTTATACTAAAATTGTATTCGGATTCCTAACCGTTTAGACAAATCGATAAAACCGGGGACGAGCAGTGACGACGGCGACGGGATTCGAACCCGTGACATCCGTGTTACCGGTGCGTTGCTCTACCAACTGAGCTATGAAGCCACACATTGGGAGCGAAGTCAATTTATTGAGTTCATATCTCCCGTGAGGAGTGAAATGATGTGAAGTATATATGAAATAATTCATTTTTGAACTGTGGTTGTAGATGAAAGTGAAGGCTTCTTCTTTCCAATTGCTTAAATTGGAACATTTACTGCGATGGGATCATTCTTCACTTTCACGTAGTATTCGTTATTGCTTCCACACTACACTTAGGTGAAATTCTGCTCAGCAAATGTTCATCAAATTGCAAGTCCCTTCAATTTTTAAGGAAAAAACAATTCCGAAAAGCGTGAGTGGGTATCGAACCCAGAGTGTAGGGTCTGCAGTCCATCACCCTTACCACAAGGCCACTGAGGATTGGCTGGCTAAAGGTGATTTAAACTTAAGCAACAACCGTAACCCTAAATAGAAGCTAACCGTTTCTAGTCGGTGCTTAATCACTATTTTCAGGGCTTAGCCCTAATCACCCTAATCAGTATTGGTTAACCCTAATCACTACAGTCAGTACTCGAAACCGAAGGGATAAGGAGTGCTACGTTGTGTAAACTTAATGAGGTGTCTGAGAGGGTTTAGGCCGATGGGATCTAATGCTAACCCTCGGAAATGGCCTATTGAGATTAAACAAGTAGTAATTTGCCCTGGCTTCCGATCCATGATTTTTTCCAACCTTTGACTGGCACCAGTTAATGAAAATCTGTCAACAGGGCTGGAAAGAACGGATAAAAAAATCAGTGAAGTTGACCAGTTTGAAAGTGATTTGTTGCAGACTAACAAAGATACAGCTCCGCAAAGTCGCGGAATTTTACAGACGTTTGTGTGGTGGGAGACACGTTCGTGCAAACCTCCCCAATACCCCTCCCCCCTCCCCTACCCCCACCCCACCATACAAACGACTGTAAAATTTCGCAACTTGGTAGAGAAATAACTTCGCTCTCTCTGAACCTATCTATCACCTTAAAACTTGTTTAAGTTACTAATTTTAAGGCACTCTTTAGAGAAGTGTCGAACGGATATTCACTTACTGGTCTTTATCAAAAGTTGAAAAAACACGGAAGGGTCCGTTCTTTACTGATTTATATGGTTAACTGTATTTTCATTCTCTTGTTTGACACAGCAAAGAGCAAGGGTGGCGCATTGGTGAGAGCACTCTTCTTCCACCAATGTGGCCCGGGTTCAAATCCCGGCGTCGACGTCATATGTGGGTTGAGTTTGTTGTTGGTTTTGACTACCTTGCTCTGAGAGGTTTTTCTCCGGGTACTCCGGTTTTTCCCTCTCCTTAAAAACCAACACTTTCAAATTCCAATTCGATCTGGAACGCACGGACACTTTTAAACGAGTTCATATGAACTCTTAAGTGCTTCGTGGGTAAAAAAGCAATTTAATATATATATTTTTTTTACAACAGCTGCCATTCAGGATGACAATGAAAGCGACCAGAGCAAATCACTCATGAACTTTCTCAGACATTTTAATCGGAATCGTCATCACGTGACTAACCCTGAAGGAAAACAGAAAGCACGTGACTTTATCAAGAAAACATTCAAAGATCTCGGCCTAATCACGTGGTCAGAGCAATTCAAGCCAGATTTCCCCCAGGTGAGATTTAAACTCAGTTTTTATTGAATACGCATTGATGGTAATGATGACTTTTGTGTATAGGTAAAAAACGTCTTTTTGAAAACACGGCGGCAACACATTCGAGATACATATTCATTCAGCGAATAATCAACTAAATGATGACGCGATCAGAACCCTGGATTAAATGTCGCTTTGTGCAGGTTGATTCACAATAAACCTTTAGTTAGACTTTCTCCAAAACATCTACTTTTTCCACTGTAGTTTATTTTTAGAATGAATTCTTGTTCTTGCAGATATTCTTCAAAAAGGAGTTGAGATCCCTCTGGTGATATATTTTGCGTATTCTTGCTATCCTTTTTAGTCATTAGTGAACTCGTTCTCATTTTCTTAAGTTCCTGCGCACTACCAAAACAGTTTTAAAAGTTGCCAAGCCGATGATTTGCGTTACGTCCAATTATACTATTATTGCCTTTAGTGACTGAAGTGAGCGATGGAAAATCTAATGCATTTTTCAAATTTGGTCAACTCCAGGTGGAAAAGGCTATTCACAAATGGAAAAATATTTTGAATAAGAGAGAGTCGGACTGTAAACTATAAAAACTATACAGTCGACTCTCTCGTAACAGACACCTAGTATAAGACGGACACCTCGAAACGTAAAACGGATACCTAGAGTTCAGGGTCCCTGCAAGTTACCCCTTTTATTTGACTCTCTATAAGACGGATATCAGGGGTCTAAGACGGTCACTTACTTCCGGTTCCAAAGGTGTTCATCTTACAGAGAGCTGGCTGTATTATACGCAACATAGTCAAGAACCTTTTCTTTTCGTAGTATGCTGCTGGATTCAACATAATCGGAATGCTCTCTGGTACCCTTGCTGGGTCTTCTAATGACAGGCCGTTTCTGATTGGTGCACATTACGATACAATGCGCACTACGGCACATGGTGCTAACGATAATGGCTCAGGCGTGGCTGCCATGTTACAAGTTGCAAAACAAATGGCTACAAGTAAGTTAACAATTTATTTCGGGTTTGCGAGATCCGTATTTCTAATTGAATTATTGCGGGATTAACACTACCCCTGAAAATCCTGGAATTCTTGTGGATATTAAAACTATTTTCTTCTTGCGCTGGAAAACGCAATTAAAAATTCTCTCTATTCTACCTTCTGGGACATTTCTGAAAGTTAAAAAAATGCCGTCGAAGTGCACCTGGTCAGTGTCTCTTAACCAAAATTAATTTTTTTCTCCTTCAATATACGGCATCTAGAATTTGAGTTCTGGTCCCCAACAAATTTCAAATCGAAATAAAAAGAACGGCTCCTAAAATACTTTTTCTTAACATTTTTATCTTGGTCCTTCTGTGTTTAATGCAAACAGAGACAGCTTACCGGGAAATCGGAGACCCCTGAAAATAACATACTACGGCTTTTTTATCTTAACATTTCGGTCCTTCTATGTTGCGTCCGTCCTGCATGCTGCTAAGATCACCAATGTCAGACGAAAATGCACTTTACGGTGATGAATAAAATAATAAACGCTAATAAAGATGGTCAACTTTAGCTTAAACGTTTTAGTTAACGAGATAGGGCCGTCAAGTCACGGACACGTTGTTTTTTAAAAAAAAACCGGTAGTCTACATCTGTGGCCGTTCTTGTGAGACCTTTTTGGGATTGTTATGTGAAGCTTTCCCTCACTTGCAATTCCTGTAATTTGATTAATTTTCTCTTTTTAAAACAGATTTCCAAAACCGTGCACGCAGTTTTAGTGTCCTGTTTGTGGCGTTTGATTTCGAGGAGTGGGAAGATTGTAGCGATACAACGAACTACCCTAAATGCGCTTGCGGCGAGATAGACTGTGGAAGCAGAGCGTTTGTTGCAAACTTCACGCGCTTTTACAACGGCTCTTTAAAATCAAACGGAAAGCTTCAGGGAGCGATAATTATGGACACTGTGATGAACTATAACAACACTCCAAACTCGCAGATTTTGCCACCATCAACGGAAAAGCTGTTGCCAGAGGTTTATGGTCAAATCAAGGCCGATGGATTCCGAGGAGATTTTCTTGCTGTTGCTGGCCGGTTGGTGGATGATGCGGCCTTGATGAATGCGTTCTGGTATCATTACGGCCGTGTCAAATCTGGTAAGAAACAGATCGCGCATGGAATTTTTACGAAGTCGCTGACTAGGTACCTGTATGATTAGTTTATACACAGATATGTTGATTCAGCTATGTAGCAGCTGAAAAGTCCTGGAGCGCATTACTCAAGCATTACCGACTCCGGTACCATCGAGTTCTGACTTGCAGCAAAGAGTAATAGATTTAAAAAGTATTGTCTCTAAAAGGACGAAGTACTAGTGCAAGCCGCCCTTTTGCTATTGATTGAGAAAAATGTCAAGGATTTTGTCCCCAACATTCAGTTAATTACATTGATTCGAATTTAATTGATTGCACAGAAACGTTTCTGATACTTGACGTCTCAAAATGAAATAAGCGGCACAAACAGTTTTGTTCTAGTTATTCATACTTGAGTGAATGAAGCTCTATTTGAAAATCTCGGCTTTCTCAGTTCAGTCTCTTCAGACAATCCATATATATTACTGATTTCTGAATCCTTTTTAAAACTGAGTTTTTAAAAATCAGCATGTTGATGTGCCTCAAAACTCCGTAAAAAAACAAACAACAAAGCTCTCCCCTTTAAAGTGTTTCGATACAGTTTTTCAGAGGCCATACCGATATTTTTCAATCGCCTTAAAAGTGTTTTTTTCCTTGTCCGATCGCTCTTAAATTTTCACCAGTAATTGGCTATGGATTGAAAGTTGTGAAAATGTAGTTTGAAGTAAAATCGATCTTACTATGACAACAATAAACAAAAAACTTTGAAAGTGATAAAAGCCGAATTTTGTGCGATCTAGACCTGTCCAGTTACTGAAAATCCAGCACTAGGAACTTAAAGTTTGGTGTTTGAGCAAACAATCTTCGTGAGCTAGAAGCAAAAAATTCTGTATGTTTGAATTCGACTAAAACGAAAATATATTTCAAGCCTTAAATTTTCAATAGCCGTGATAGATTATTAAAAAAAACGTCATCATTGACTCAAATTATTCTTAAGTAGCGTCAGAATGCTGCTTAATATCATACTTGGTGCTAGGAAATTTTGGTATATTTTCGTTCTTGCGATCTTGAAAACCAACCAGTTTTCTCACCACCTGTAGAAATGCAACTTCATTCAAAATTTGGAGTTTTAGCGCTTTTTTGTATATCTCTGAAAGGACTCGAACGAATTTTTTAAAAATCTCTTCACATAATCTTCATAATGTATATATATAATAAGGTCTGACACTTTCTATTAAGATTGATTCACTGCAACATCTTAAAATTTCAAGACTAACCTATCCTACAAACATGTCAAAACTCTGCGTTACAACATTCACTGTTTTGACGTTATGCTAATTTTTCCAAAATAATGCCCACTATACATACCTCCATGACTAGTACATTTATAGTTTGAATTTATCGCATCTTTTGAATGTAAAACATTGACAATACTCACACTGAAATGTACCAATTTTTCACCTCTTATGGAGGTTATTTGCTTAACACCAAACTTTAAGTTCCTAGTGCTGGATTTTCAGTAGCTGGTCTAGATTGTGCAAAATTGTTGTCATAGTAATATCGATTTTACTAAAACCTACATTTTGACAAATTTCAATCAGTAGTAAACCATTGGTGAAAATTTTATAGCGATCTGTCTTTAGATTTTTCCGTGTTTGCAAAATTGTTGTCATAGTAATATCGATTTTACTAAAACCTACATTTTGACAAATTTCAATCAGTAGTAAACCATTGGTGAAAATTTTATAGCGATCAGACAAGGATACAATCACTTTTAAAGCCATTGAAAAATATCGGTATGGCCTCTGAAAAACTGTATCGAAACACCTTAAGAATGATTCTATTTTTTCAGGAGCCCAGTTTTTGTGTGAGTTAAGATTAAAGCTGTTTTACTATTTATTTGTCGCTGTTGTTATCAGCTCAATTTAGGTGGTCATTACTTTTCTTCTTCCTTCGCGCATATAGCACTAGGGGATAAAACTTCAATGTATCCAGTAAATCTCCCATTCCATGACCAACCAGACAAGCTTCCAGCCTATTTGTATAATGCTTTTGGAGACTTTTTGAGAAGCGACCACGTGCCATTCTGGAACAACGATCCGTCTATGAGCGCCATCTTCCTGAGTGACACCGCTGACCACCGAAGCTACATGGTCTCTTGTTACCACCAAGACTGTGACAATATCAATAGGGTGACAAGTAAAATGCTCCAGTTCTTACAGAAGACATCTGACTCCATAGTAGCAGTGGCCAATGATGTTACCAAGCTGTCATGTCCACAGAGCGGAACAATAATCCATAGCTATAGCGACACCTCAGGTATTTTATACACCGAGTAGAAAGGGTCCCCAACGGGTTTTTCGGGATGCGGGATTTCCCTTATTTTAACCTCGGGATTCGGGATTTTAAGACAAAATCGGGCAAGATTCAGGATTAAAAGAACGTGTGGGAGGTGGGATAGTAAATATAGCCCCTGGGACTACCGGATTGCTCGAAATTTTGGATCGGGATTACAGGATTGAAGAACGCCATCGGGGACCCTCAGTGCACTGAGTAAAGTTGCTTTTTCTATTCCTCTTTTCTAAACATTCTCTTTTCCTAGATGAGGAAAATTGTTCGCCACTGTAGCAGCTGCTCGTAAAATGTCTCCTCATTGGTCACAGAAAACAATAACACAACATTGTTTATCATTATTTCTATTGTTATATGGTTGGGGTAGCAATAGCCTGCGCCACATACGAAACTAAACTCAAGTCCGCTGCGTAACGTACAACGCCGAAATCTTTGTCCTAAGCCACCACCTGTGTACCAGGATGTGATTACGCGCAGTGATTGGCCTGTTAAAAAGTCATTGTTGATTTGCTAGTCAGAATAATTCGTCGAGTCCGCTGTTGGCGCAGAAGTTCTTCGCAGTCGTTACTTTCCGGGTTAAATTACATCTGCGACACAGGCTAGGTAGCATATGAATTAAATTGGAGTGGATATTGTTTTTAAGTATAAACTGTTCACATATACACGCTGGTTGACCTTCACCACCAAGATTCCCGTCCAGAAAGCCACCCTTTTAAAGACTCTTAAATGATATTTTACATACATCTGGTATGGGATACATTGAGCGATCATCTTATATCATTTTAGATGATCAACCGCATACGGATTTCTGATAATTAATATTCCGTGAAGGCAGCGCGGCATATCTATAATAAGTTAAGCAGCTTATTGAACAGACTTTAAACAGTCTAAGGCAGCTTACACACTTGGTACCCGAGTACAACGCGGTGCCCGCACGGCGCTCGTTGGGCAGCAACGTGAACACAACCTTTCAAGTTCCTACGCCGGAAAATCGGACGACGACACGTTGCCCGAGCACCATGTACTTGGCAGGCACTAAAGTGGGCACCGGGTACCTGTGTGCACACAGTTTTTGTTAATTTTGGAGCAATACACTGTTCAGTGCTCCCTGCTAAGCTCAAGTTTCAAAATTGCGTCTGTGACAGGGCGAAAGGAAGAAACAATGTAGTTTAATATCGGGCACTCAAGGTGTGAACACTACACCATTTTGTGACAGTCGGCCCCGACACTACTGGTTCCCGGGCACCAACTGTGGACAGCATCTAATCATGAGTGGATATACAAGCTAACAAATAGTTCTTCCGGGTTCTAGTTTCAGGTGATACCGGTATGAAGGCGTGGAAAGTTGCCTTGCTTTCTGTTGGCATCTTCATACTTGGTATGCTAATCTCAGCTGTAGCTGTGGTTTTCTATCACCGATGGAAGAAGCAACACGGCCCTCTGATAACAGGAGATCGTCCGCAGTCAAGTGCTAACTTATAAGTCAGGTGTTTCGTCCCAGTTCGCTCCTTCACCAGTTCAAAGAGAGGAATACGAACGAAGTTGTTACCAGCAAGAGCAAATGTAAAATGATAGCCATGATGGTATAATGGTAATAACCGCAATAACCATAATGGTAATATAAATAATGATGTTATCATCCTCATCGTCATTGTTATTATTATGGTACTACAAACGTCTAGATGCCCAGGGTTATTATTATTATTATTATTATCTTATAATCTTCATTGTTATTATCATTATTTTGTCTTGAGTCCTCAACTATGTTTTTGCCTTTTTGTGCCACCAAAAGCATAGACTAACAAACGTAGAACAAGGCTTGCATGTTAGTGGATCCTGAAAAGGATCTCAGTCTCAGTGGAGTCAAAAGGTTACAAAGCTGGCTCAAGGATCCGTTCTTAAAATATGTCGGACAAATCAGAACTGCGTCTGGCCACAAACAATCCCAAAACCTCACAACAGAAGGTAGTCTTCCTATTCAGCCGCCTCTCTTGCGGGAACGGTCCGGCTCGAAGCTGCGGAAAGTGATGAGAAGTGGCTGTATTGACAGGTTAGACTAAACGGGGCGGAGGTAAAGTTCAGCTAGCAAGAGTGTCAGATTTTATAACCTTTCAACCCTCGCCTACGTTGGCTGTTTTTTGAGGAGGGAGGTAGGGAGTAGGTATAGCATAAGAAAAGGAACTCATCTATAGCCCCCATCTCGCCATGAAAAAGTCAGTTTGCTTGCTGGTCATTAATCCGTTCCGCGAGACGCGCAGTCCTTGAAGTGCGTTCATGTAAAACCTACAGCAATTTCGAGTTTAAAAAGTAACCGGGCAGGTCGCGGTAGATTATTAGTTTAAAAGTTGAGACTGATATGGATAACTGCACATTTTGTATTTCATTGCATGGCTGAATAAACTGTTTCGAATTGTTAATGTCTTTGTTTTTGTTCCGTTGCTAATATGTTATAATTCTTGGGTTCAGTCACAATGACTTTGTTTTCATGAAGTAAACACCCTTTTAAAACGGTAGAAGCAACAGACTGGGGAAAACCTGTCATTATTTCGAGTTACATGTACTGTTCAACAATTAGCGAGATTTGGAACGTTGAGGTACACCAAATCATGCCATATGAAGAGAGTTGTTCCAACCATTGGAGCACTATTTCCTCTAAATAAGCAAGTTCTCTTATACAGCCCTCTATGGCTGGTGTAGTTATGATTAAGTTTCGACCCTGCTCGCCGTATAGTTTCCAATAGTTTAGCCTCTTTCAGGCTCCAAGATAGTCGGGAAGAAACTTCCGCCACCGCCTCCTTTTCCCTCTTTCCCAGATCATGCGCTTATTTATCCGGCGGCTTGCTGGAGAAGTAGGCGATTTTTGATACAAGCATTAAACGTTGTAAGAATAGTTACATTCTCAGGCTGGTCAGTTCCTTATACAGTGCCAAGTTAAATTTTCTAATTCCAGCTAGTTAGTAGCAAATGAAATTTTCATACCCGAGACCCCCCACGAAGTACTTTTTCTTGCTCTCTTTACATGTAATGCACATCTTATTTCAAAATACAGACATAACAATACGTTATAAAATGCAGGTAGTAATTTGAAATTTATTTGCACACGCGCTTTTTTCATTTTTCTCTTGATTCGGGTGGTCGGTTTGCGGTATATCATTCTAAATGTGCATGCGACTCGGTGCAGCGAGAAAAGAAACTATTCTGAGTCGTATAAGAAGATAAACCGTCGGTTTAAAAAGAGAAAGTAAGAAATGGGTTACATGTAATTTCAAGACTCATGAAACCATTGACTAGTTAAAATGTGCTAGCTATTTGCCAGAATGAAACAATTGAAGAACCTCAGTGCCTCAGTGTCCTGCTAACTGGGAACGGCGCGACTCTGGTGCTAGATACCTTACTTTCCAAAAAGACTTAACGTCATTTTATTAGGCGAGGGAATTAAATTTAGCACTGGAAGTTGACTGGAAATATTTTTACGTGGCAAATAGAATTGCTTCCTCATTAGCAAGTCGTTACTTTGCTATGTGGCATAAATCTTGCCGCAATGCGTTCAACAGGATGATACAGGATGCCGATCGCATGATGAAAAGAAAAATGCCTGTACAAATCCACAGCAGCGAACGGACACGCTCAAGTATGTTTCTGTTCCCACGGAGAGGAAGCGGACAAGAAAATGTTAGCTCATGTAGCTGACGCAGTAGAAAATACTCACTTGGAAGTCATGATTCGAACTTTCGCGCTTTTTTTCGCGCTCCGTTTTCCCATGGCCACTATCTTGAAGCCTGGAAAAGGCTTATTTAGACTTGAAGGAATTTACGGTGTCCTATGGGACAGTGTTTTGCATGGGCCCGGGGGTTGGAGAGTGGAAATAGACTTAATTAAGGGTTTATTGCCACTCTTTGTTCTTTGGGCTTGTGCGCATGCGGGGCATTGTAGTTTTCTATAGTTGTAATTTTAAATTTTCTATTAGTATAGGTAATAGCATGATTTGTAATGATATTTGGCATAAATACCATGAGTGATATTTCGAAATTGTTAGGCGAGTGAAATTTGAGACAATTTTAAAATATCACGAGTGGTATTTATGCGAAATATCACGTACAAATCATGCTATTATTTGTTTATACTACTACCCACAGAAGGTTGTAACTTTCACATGTAGGTATTTCAAATTAAGCTGAAATACCACTGCTCTAAGCCAATCAAATTGCAGAAATTTCTCATGTAGTAGTATAATAGTTGTAATTTTAATATTCTTTTAACCTTACGGCTCACTGGAAGACTACTGCACAATTTGTAAATGTGATTCCGTGATGTAATAAAGAGATGATGAAGATGATAATGATGATGATGATGCAACTTCCGGCGACATCCTAACGCATTCGCTCTTTGTAAAGGCCCTAGGTCTAGTGTCTCCTTGTCTTCATGCCCTAACTTCCTTCTCCGCTAGTCATGAAATTGCCAGTATACTGAACACAGATTTTTGCCAATTTTTTTCTCATTGAAAGGAAGCATTTCTGTTATTGAAATCATGAGATAAAAATGAGGGTAACTGTTCTCGTTTTTGCGGTAGAGCTGCAGAAAGTAAGTGCGCACCACCTGAGTTCCTTGAGATTTTTGAGGGGGCTTTTCAAAACGGCATGTACTTGGAAGGTGGAAGGAAGCATTGAAAAATACGATTTTATCTTATTTTATGGAATTTACAACGAGATAGAGCAATTAGGACAAGGACAAAATGTGATAAAGATGAAGCTTTAATGTCATTTAGGGTGGTTCAGCACAACATATACAATCGAAGGCCTCGGTGAGGATAGCCTGCGAGCAAGCTCTCCTTGGGCGAACGAATCAAGCTGCGCGAGAAGGCAGAGCTTGCTCGCAGGGTACGGTGAGGAAGATGAACTCAGCAACACTCGTGACGCTTACGTTATACACATTTTCAACACTTTGAGACTTATCTCGGTCAGAAAAAAATGCTATGGAAAGTTCCATTTACGTTTCTGTTCGATCAACGTCACTTTGATAATGCTTCTGCAGAAGCTCTTTTTCACGGCGGCCATCTTGTTAAGCGCAATGAGAGGTGAGCATTACAAAACTAGAGAGAATCATCTTCAGCTTATTCCGTAACCAGGCCATGTGCAAAAATATTAGTTTTGTTACATATAGTAGTCAAACCAACTAAGGGCGCATTAATTTTAAACAGTCGCTGTAGTTTTAGCTTTTTATTGCTTCCCGTGCGTGTGATAAACAGGTTGACGTATCACTGACTGAAATGATACTATATTTTGATAAACTAGGACAAATGAATTTTATTGAATTTTCATGAATTTTGATTAATTGTGGCAGGGTCCTGGATGTGGTTTCTATGGAAACTGACTTAATTCTAGCTGTGCACTATATCTGAAAATGCTTGTATAGATGGTTGTCAGTGACGTCATCAAATTGTGAAGTCAAAATAGCGAGGTTTTACGAATTCGTATTTACACTAGGTTGAAGGTAAACAAAAAGTAAATCTTTGTACAAGATTCCATTCCCGTAGAATGTTTCATTTCGAAAATACAGCAATTTCAACTTCCTAGTTTTCACAGTGCGTGACACCAAACTAGGAATACTGTCTCGTTGAAAAAAAGTCTCTCCCCTTGATTTTCAGCAATATAACCATTTCAAATATTAGAAGATATGTTTATGCGCACGTATGCTAGTTCTCAAGTGAAAAGAAAGAGCCTTTATAGAAAAAGTGAACTCCAGATGTTTTTGCTGATTTCTGGCGGCCATATTGGTGCACCAAAGCGGTACACCAGTATGGCGTCTCCATACAAAGCTCTACAAAGGTGCGTGAAACGTTTCGGCAAATAACTGAGAAACTGTGGGCCACAAAGAGAGACTTGGACAAATTGCTTATATATTAGTCTTTTACAACATTTCATTTTCTTGGCTAATCTTCCACTAGACGGTTTCCAATTTACTTTTTTGTTGCGTGACAGTGAAATATCAGTGTGCCGGATTTCACTCACTATCTCTTTTCTGATTGGCCGAAAGCGTACAGTGAATTTTCGAAATCATCGGCTCCAAGATCCGTTTTGAAATATCTCGGACACAAACATCCTGGCTCCCAGAAGCGTTTACAAAACGTAACAAAAAGTTTGATCTGAAATTATTTTCAGATCATGTAAAACCGCTCAAATTACGCTAACCAGGCAAATATTATGGAAGGATCTCGTGACAAGCGACAAACAGCCATATCCGGTCAGCGGACTGCCCCAAAAAACCAAAATGGCGTCGGCAAACTTGGAGGAAGATGACAGGGATGAACTCAACTTCGGAAAGCTTTTCGTGCGAACGTTTAGCTCAAGTTCCCCACCAGACAATAAGCGAGAAGCTCAGTGGAAGATCGAAAGATTGAACCTCTTAAACATAGCTAACCTTTGCATTAAGAATGTCATCGATTCTGCGTTAAAACTTGGACGTGCAATAAGCGATGAATATTTCGAACCCTTTCAACAGTTTTTCGTTGTTTTGGAGAGCATTTTGCGGCACGGGCTGAAAAGTAAGTAACTTCTTCCTATTTCAAGATAACTAGCTCAGTTAGAGTTGTGTTGATGCTTTCGCTTTTGGGCCAGGTCTTTGTTTTACAGGAAGTGGAAATGAAAACAAAGAGATTGATCATTTTGTTACGTTGTCACATGACAAATATAAGCTTAATAAATAAAAATATATATATTTTTTAGAATGAAGCTTCATGTTCCAAGTGGTCAGTCATTGCAATCTCCTTATTCGCTCTTCGAAGTTAAATTTACGTTTTCGTTTCTCTGAGGTTTTTTGAGGAAAAATACAAACAAAAACAAAAAGATTAATTTCAAGAATTTTTCTTGTTTCTATTCTTTCCTCATTTTTTGTTAATTTTTCTAATGCTGTGTTTACACTCAAGCGCTTACCAAGGTAAACATTAACTGACTAAACCCTGGTACATTTGTACAGTGTTTATACGGGCTCAAATAACTAAGGTAAAATTAATCTGTCATCAATCACAGTCTAATCGAATTGGCGGCAAATTCTAAATCCACGCATAAAATGCTCGCATTTAAAAGGGAATCTGTGGCTCTTGTAGTCCTCGCGTTTTATTTTCTTGTTCTTGATCAGCAAACCCAGGAATCGTGATTGCAGCAGCTCTTACTTTTGTAGCACCTAAAGAGGTCAAGGCGAAAGCGATTAATTCTGCTACAAGTTGCCCTTCGCAAGACAAGGCGCGTTAGACGTGTGTGGTCGTGGCTGAGAAACCAATTCTGGTTCGAAACTCTATTAAACGGAAATTTTGTTAAAGATTGGTGGAAGGAGAACTTTGTAGTCCTGGTTGTTTTTGCATAGGAAAATGGCGACAAAGTGGAATATGCATCTTTCCTGGCGAAACAACGCGAGGATCAACAATCACCGCAAGAAAGAAACATTTATTATGCACAAATTACCTATACAATGGTGTTAACTTTACCTTTCGGGTTGGTCGCATTCGTAATGATTTGTGTCTTTTTTTTTTTTTGCCATAACTTCTTCGTAGACCGAAACCAAACGTGGAAACCTGGTCGAAAACCTGGTCTCGAAAACGTGATCGAATGAGACTGATGCAATCCCGACACCACAGGATGTGAAATTCTGTGCGACCGCAAGTGGATGTATCTGTCATCCAAACCTTGGTTACCGACCTTAACCATGCCTGCTCGCAGGGTAAACCGAACTTTTACCTTAGTCAACTTTCTATTGTCTTGAACGGTGTTTACCAGGGTATCAGTTGGCGTTTACACACGCAAAATATTTACCTAGGTAAGTTAACTTCAACACCTCGGTAGCACGGTCAAGTCTAAACACAGCATAACCCTCAAATAACATCAGACAATAATAAGTTAATAAGTCTTACGAAGAAGTTTGGAAATTTGCAAAAAAAAATTGTGGTAAACTATAAGTAAACACGCCTTCCATAAAATAAATAATCTCTCATAAATTTATTTAAATTCCTCTTGTCTTACATGAAGTGAAACGCAACATTCTTGGCCACAGAAAAGATTATTGGGGCCCATTAGAAGCTTTGGAACAGGCAGCTCCTGAGTCATCAGAAATTGTTAAGAGTGTTCAGAACCTTCCAAATATCAGGTTAGTTTGAAAGCTGTAAAGGTACAGTTGAATGGTGTATAGACCTTGTCACGGTTTTGGAAGCCATCTTGATGAGTAGGCAAACGCGTGAGAAATTACAGTGTTTGTATGAGAATCTAATGTCAAATCATTTCCCTAAAATGGCTGTTCTGAAAAAAATATGAATTGTAGGCTAATGCTATAAATTAAAAAAAGCAAAGGATTAATGTACTAAAAGATTTTGGGGGCACACCTGTGCTTAAATTTCTCCAGAGGCTTGCTTTAGATTTTCCAAATATTTGTTTGTAATTTTTCTGAGGACTTTCTTACAGACAAATGTATAGAAAATTTCAAAAATTGGTTCTAGGTCTTCTAGTGCATATAACCCCTCAATTTTTTTTAGTAGAAATCCTCAGGAGTAGCCTCCCCGCAGACGTCCTTTGGGGTTCGTTTGTCACACATTCATTTCTCCCCCACGGACGTTCCGTAGGGGAGAAATGAATGCGTGACAAATGAACCCCAAAGGACGTCTGCAGGGAGGCTACCTTAGGAGTGAAGATTAATTTTAGTTTACAATTCATATCTTTTTCAGAACAGCCATTTTATGGAAATTATTCGACATTAGATTCTCATACGAACACTGTAGCTTCTCACGCGGTTGCCTATGTTTCAGGGTGCCTTTAAAACCGTGACAAGGTTTATTATGCACCAATCAATTCAAAACTTCAACATCCCCCTACGGCAAACCCTGGACCATCACCTGTACTCCTGGGAGTGGGGAATCTGACCTTAGCTTGGGTAGGGTGGGGAATTTGGACTGCTTGTGTCAAGTTTAGCTCCTTTTAACGATCAGGTGTCTGACCAAGGTTTTAGCCAGAAGGGTGTCCAGCCGTCCTATGGACGCCCATTTTTGGAAGAAACACAAGGAAAATTCACCTAATCTCTCATACGTTTACGGGAAAACGTGAATTCTGGACGGCCAGTTTTCAATGTCTGGCTAAAAGCCTGTGTCTGACAACATGGTTTCATAGAGCAATCTTTCTCATGTAGTAGGATGAAGAAGTTTAAAGTTACAGACTCATCTTTTGTGAAGGAATAGCTTGTCCGTCGTGAGGACATCGAAAGCAATGCTTGATGAATGAATTTTTGTTACCATCCATAGGTATGAGCCTCCTAATTCACTCTCATTTTGATACAAAGTTAGGGGTATAGAATAGTTCCTGGAAAAAGGTGGGTCTCAAAAAAGTTTTTCCCAATCTCAGAAGCATTTTTGGTGGGTCTCGAAGTCTTTGTTTTGGGGTTTTTCTTCATCTCGGAGTCTCAGATGTTCTGAGATCTCCATAATTCTCAGATGATATGAAAGCTGAATTCAATAATTGTTTTATTATTCATTTAAAATAATTCCTAGTTTAAAACCAAGCTAAGACACACTTACCTCCATCTATATTAAGTTCATCTTCGATAGTGCATGCTAATTGGCAAGTTTAGGAGAAAAAGGGTTGTTCACCCAGAGGAGGAAGCATCTAAATTAGTACTCTGGCAGCCAATAAGTGGACTCATGAACGTGGGAAGACCAGCTGTTACTTATACAGATACATGTAACCTGAAAAGCGATACCTGCTTAGAAAGTGTGAATTTAGAGCTGAGAACAGCTATGTTGGGAGACCTTGCTGGAAGAGGCGTGCTTAATAGAGGCGTGCTCTTGCTTTGCCATAGTAGCAGTAGTAATAGTAGTAGGGTTGTTCAGCTCCTTAAATATTCTCCAAATAGTAGATGTCGTCTGTCGAGTTGACTTCTTGCTGTTTCTGCCGTGTTTTTCGTGAACACGAGTGAAATTTTCTGTCATTTTTTACTCACTACCAAAACAACTCAACCTCATCCCCAGGTCTTCTCAGTTACAAAATTGTTCCAAATTTGGTGGATAATAGCTGGTTATGATGAATGATGCAAGGCATTTTAGCCACAATCAGAAACGGAGAAATATTTTGAATGACTATTAAGTAATGTGCCTTTTGTTTTCACTCTGTTACATGTACAGTGTGTACTTGTGTCAACTTTCCAGATACGGGGCAAAATTAATCCCCAGCAGGGGAGTATGGCCTATATTGGAAGGCTCTGCCTGAGAGGGGTAGGGTTGGGGTTTCAGTCTGTCTGTTAGATATTTGAAAGGGCCTTGTATGGCTGTGTTATTTTCAATCCAATAAACAGTACATGAAAAATGACAAGGAGACTTCCCGTTTTGGAGTTTTCTAAGGGTTTAGAAAAGGGGTACAGTGTTTTTATGGAGGTAAATTAAAAGGTTACCATTTTTCAGTGGAAGGTGTGTGAAAGGGGTACCTTTGCTAAAAAGTAAGGGGTTGGACCGCAAGGCTGCATAAAACTTTACCAAGTGCCTCTGACCCCCATCTTGAATTAATTAATTTTCTCAGTCTTATGTAACATTGTAATGTTCTTAACAACAACAGCATCAACTATTATTTAAACATGGTAATAGTTTATTAAGCTACCCACTTGTGGGGTTACATGTATATGTATACAAAGCAATTTAAGAAAATGCCTCTTCATAAGAGTAATAATTTCTAATAAATTATTTTACAAATTTTCCCAAAATCCAGACTTTGCATTTTTTCCTTCAGAACCAATCATGGCAAAGGAAGAGCATGGGTTAGATTGGCAATTATGCAAAAGAAGCTTGCTGAGTACATCATGATCTTGGTTGAGAGTAAAGATCTGCTTCGGTAAGTTAATTGACATCAGAGCTATATGCCTTTCTCAAAGGTACAAGACTTCTTTTGAGGGTTTCCTTGCTTTTAGGTACAGTTGACTAACAGCTTTATTGACATTAATGTGTAACCATGCCCAAGAGATAATCAATAAATAATCAGTTTAAATATTCAAAAAAAAGTATTAATTAAAAGTTGTACTTATAATATACAAATTTCTGATAATTATATTGCTCAAGCTGTTGTAAATATTAAATCAGGCAACAGACAGGGAAAAAGTTTTTACTTATCAACCTGTCTGCAACACACCCTTTCTTTTGCTTGCTCCATTTTGGCATAAATTTAATTGAGAGTCTTGGCTCACAAAAATCTCCATCTTTTTTTTCTACAATGTATATCTCCCATAATCCTTTTTGTCTTCATTGGCCTTCCGCAGGGTGTGCAATTAATCCCCCAAGGTGACCCTCTCATTATAAATTAAATTTATCATTAAATTTACTTTTTCATCTGTTATAAGATGACACAGTGTTGCAACAAATTAGTGCTTCCCTTTCTTTTCAGGTTACAGTTAATCATAATCAGCATTACATATGTTTTTAATGTTTAGAGAATGGTATGAACCTCATGCTGTATTAATGCAAGAAGAAGGAACAGTAATCTCTGGTTTGCTTGTTGGAATAAACATAATTGACTGCAATTTTGATCTTAAAGGAGATAGTCTTGATGCTTGGGTAAGAATATCTCATATGAATAAAGATTTCAACCTACTTCAATTGTTAATTTCCTTCATCTTCTCACCCTAATTACCATTTACTAGCAGTAGCCATTGTCTAGGAAGTCGGGGCAAACATGTGGGTTTACCTTGGAGATGTGAGTCAGGGGCATTCCTGGGCATTTTCCTGAGATTTAAGCCCGACCAGAATAATGCTGATATATGCTTATTAATTTACACTGGTACAAGAGCCAGGTTTTACAGGGTGTTAGGTAACTTTAGTTGGACCTTTAAGTTACAATCACTTTACATAAATGTTACATTTCCCTACTTCTATACAATATCATGATGAACACAAAGACAAGGCTGTGTTAGCATGGCATAAATGTAATGCTGAGGCCTGGCACACAACTCCCAGACCGCCTTGTCCGATCTGTGTCGATGCTCTTGTCCCTGTACACAAGTACAGAAGAGCAAGCCCAGAGGACCTCTCTGCTCGTGTATAATGCGTAAGTACATCTTGACCGTTCACATACAACAGTGAAGGATCGTTCTGGAGTTGCTGTCGACACTGGCATCATCAAAATAATTTAAATCAGAAATAATTGAAAATAGTTTTTATGATATGTGCTATACTGTTTTATTTTAAAGATGATGTTATGATTTTTTCTTTTTTTAAGGTATTTATTTTTGCATTGCAGTCATCAGTTCTAGATCTAAGTCTGTATCTCAAGGATGGAAATTATTTGGAAAAACCACCAGAAAATAAAAAGTAAGTGAAAATTCGGTTTTAAAGAGTTGCCTTCTCACTTTATGAGTTTTTCACAGCTGATTTGTGAGTGGTGGTACACGTATTTAACTAATCACCAAAACTGTAGTTGATGTCTGACCATGGTGGATCGTGAACACAACTGTTCACAAACATTTTGAGTGTTGTGAGTACACTACATGTATGTGTATAAACCCAAAAGTCTGACTCTAGATAGTGATTAATGCTACCTGTTTTGGGGCTCAATGTCTTTTTGTTTTTGTTTGTTTGTTCATTTGTTTTTGTCAAACTTAAGCCTGTTAAGCTACATGTATCACTTCTTATTTCAAACTCATTGACCAACCAGAAACGTATTCACAAAAATTGAACAAGAAATTGTCCGTGTTAATTATTTGTAGGTTCATTCATTAAAAGGATTTGTTTTGTTAGTGAGTCTTGACTGTGAAAGTAGAGAGTTATCTGTTACGGCAACTTTGTGAGGAATTTCATCTTTGAGACTGCAAAATTAGCATCAATCTAATAAAAGATAGTGCCGTAAATCGTGCTTTGTCCTTGAACATTATTATTATGATTTTTTTGTACAAAAGGAATGAAGAACAAAGTGATGGAAGTGAACTTAGTGTTCTCATTGATCAGAAAACTTATCTAGAGGAAGTCAACAGGAACCTAAGGTAGGTGATAGAACTTTCATAAATTTATTTATCCTTTCATTCTGTTTACAAGTTCTAGTTGAAGTTAATGTCCAGTCAATGTTCAGTTCCACAGTGAATACCTTGCAAGCAAAGTTGAAGAATATGAAAATGACAAACGATGATTTATCCACTCAGGTAAAAATACGGTTAAGTAGTTAACTTTCAAATTTTTATACGTCATGTACGTTGTTCATACATGCTTTGTAAATAACACAGAAAATAATTATATTAAAAGTATATCAATTTCGTGTGTGTTTGTTAGCTAACATCCTGTACCGAGCAGATTGTGCAGCTGATGCAAGAAAGAGATATTCTGCAGGATGCAAACAACCAAATGAACGAAGTCAGTGCAAGAAAACTTCAAGTGAGTGCCCGTAGCCAGAGAATACTGCTAGATAGCCTGCATAGCTAGCGGGCCTAGCAGCCAAATGCTGTTTGTTTGTTGTTTGTTTTTTTTGTTGTTGTTGTTTTTACCATAAAACTATTCACTTTATCAGTGCTTTTCTCCTTCTTTTCTTAATTTTCATCACACATCTTGGCTGTAAAGTCGGCCCTTTGCGCCACCAAAGACACTACTAAATTAAAATAAAATGCCTTGTTCTTCGCGCCCTGCCACCAAAGTGAGCCTTGATGCACGTATCACACGCGTGTTGTTCCAACTCGTTCCAGATCCCTATGTCGTTCTCGGCCTCTTTTTGAATCGAGTAATGGCGGCAAAACAAACCTGGGCCCAGTTGTTTGAACGCCGGTTAAGGAAAACTTGGAGTTATGTTAATCAGTACAACCTTCACTGAAAAACAAAATAAAATTTGAATGACATTGCAATAATCGGTTTTCTTTTTTTCTTTAACAGTGTTTGATATTTAAATATTTGTGAAAGTCTCTTAAATGTCTAATTCTCTTATTCTGACTTTACAGCTTGCTCAAGCAGATATTGATGTTGAAAGGGAGACATATCAGAAGTCAAGGTTAGGTCTTTAACCCCTCATGTTCCCAGGCTTTTACTTATCCCTACTTCAGATGGCTGAGAGAGCCTGGGACAAGACTAGGTCATCCTAGGTCATTGGTATAGCGTTGAATTTTGTAGTTTTGTGTACTTGCCTCTAAACTTTTCCTCCATCGAACTATTCTTTTTCAAAACGTGTCAGTAGCAAAAGAGGATAGTTATGAATATTTTTAAAAGGTAGCAGTGCATAAAGAGAATATACATTGCAAGTTTTAGTCTTAGCTCAGTTGGTAGAGCTCCCAGATCTGCAGAGCAAAAGGTTTTCGGCTTTGCTCGTTTTGTTTACGCGCAACTACGGAAATAAAATCATTGCAGCGTCAAGCAGTTATCTACAGTGTAACTCTAGCTGTTACAGGTTGTATTAAGTGTTCTATACAACGGATTTTTATCTTTGCAGGGAAGGTTTAAATGATATGTACAATGTTATAAGAAAACAGCTGGATACGGAAATACAGCTTCGGAAGGTAAAGTACAACTATATGTGGCACATGAAAAATAGGAAGCATAGGAATCGGTACGGAATTGACAATGTCAAAAAAAAGCTTTAGTGTGCGAGACAAAAACGCTGCTCTTGAATCACATTTTGGTACATGGCTTTGCGTACTCTGTACAACTACAACGTTTAATAGGACAATTGCACGATGACGTCATTTTACTACAACTACCAGAATCCTTGAGTTTGTTGTTTTCTTGTGCAAATTAAGGCTATTGTTCTTTCATCCTCAGCGGGATTGACAAATTTAAATAACAAAGTAAAACCAAAATGAATTCTGGTAGTTGTAGTCAAATATCGTCATCGTGCAATTGTCCTAATTTTCCTAATGATACGCCTCCCACCCCCTCCAACCCCTCCCCCGACGTCTTAAAGAGAATGTGATACGTGATCATACAAGGACGACAGCGAGCTTACCTTTTGGTTTATATGTACGGAGCTTACGAAGCCTTGAAGACGACCCCAATGAAAAACTCAGTCCACTTCTAAAGTGAAGTTGTCTTTCAAACTTCATTGCTTTAGTTGTTACTAATCTGTCGCTACTGTTTCTTCCGACGTTTAGGAAACAGAAAAAGAGCTGGAATTAGCAAGGAGCATGAAAGAAGAAAGTGAAGTAAGTTTTTGTTACCTCCTAAGCTGAAGTGATCCGTGTATCGATCCCCAGTTAGGCTTGAGGAGCTGTTGTTAGACAAACATTCCTGTAGGGCACTTAGCATGGAAAAGGAGTACGTTTTCCGGTGGTATAGTGGGGCTCTGTAGTATTGTTTATTCACGATTAGCCGAGAAGTAACTATAGTTCATGTATACATGTAATATAGTGGAGGCACTTATTGTAGTTCAGTGAGACACCATTACCCCTTACACAGTACCTCCTCCTGAAGTTTCCACATGAAAACGACTTTGATACGAATTTCCCCGTTAACACGGATTCACTTCCGTTTTCAGTTTTTTTTGGTGAGTGCATGGATATTTATCTTTCTCGTCAGGTCGCCATGCGACTTCTGGAGAAAGATATACACGACAAGCAAGATACTTTGATTTCTCTACGAAGACAATTGGAGGATGTCAAGAAGCTCAATCTTGAACTTCACAACAAGCTACAGGTACTTCAGTCTGCTACATAGTTACTATTGGGGCAACTTTAAAGAGGGCTATGTCATGAAGATTGCTGTTTTAGGTCAATTCTGTGCTAAAGTCATTGTCAGTTGAGGTGACTTTAAAAAATGTTTTGCTAAGGTGTCTGTAAACACTAGAGGTTCATTATCCAGGTTGAGTTTTTTTTAGAGAAATATTAGAGAAATACGTCATTGAGAATGTTGAAAATACCAATTCCGAGCCTCTAGACCGTCCCCCCCTCCTAACAAACTCGCATCTCCGGCGCGGGTTTTCAAGCGCAACCCCTCCCTACTCCCTCCAGGTTGAAATTGCGCTGCGCCGTCCCTGATTCAGTGCTTTCACAAAGTCCTCCTTGAGAGTTATGAAAAAGACGTCCAACAGTTTTCAACAGGGATCACTAATCATAATAATCATGATGGGTGATTTTTGCAGACATAGCATTAAAACGTGAAAAAGCTTGCCCATTGTGTAGCACTGGCCTGAAATTGGCATTGTCACCTTATCTTAAACATGCTCTTTCCATTAAAGAAAATTATTCAGTTCTAGCCTTAATTTTTGTTTTAATCGGTCACGTGAAAAGTCAATGCATATGTCTTTTTGTGTATAATACTCTTAAAATTTGGCATCACGCGAATTAGTTTAAATTAGACTGTTTAGAGTCTCCTACTTTACCGTATGATTGTCGAGATAGAGCGCTTACCGTTACAGGAGGGCATCTTGCTTTCACATGGACTTAGGGAGTGGGCGGAGGGTCTCTTCTATGGAAAAGACGGTGTAGCTCGTTTTTCCTCATCCAAAGTCAAACCAGTACTGTGAGTCAAATTTAATGGTCGTAGTAAACGTTGCTCGTCTTGCAAACGTAACTTTCATGTGAATGGTTTTCCTAGAATTTTACCTGCAGTCCAAACTTAAAACTGCTTGAAATGTCTCCATAAGTGCCTGGAATTGATAGTGTCATTTTGTTATCGTTATGTTAGGTGAGCGAATCTTCAAGCAAAAACCACATGAGCAAATGGACAGAACTTGAAGAGAAATGTGCCAAGATGACCAGTCGTACCAAGGAAGTAGAGAAAAGGTGCGTACGCAGACAATGACAAAAAAAAACCAAGTCCCAAGTTGAAAATTTGCTGTTGGTGGGAACTGCTTAAAAGTGGTAATAACAGAAAGAGGGTGAATATTATAGCTAATAACTGCGTTCCTAAACTGAAAGTGATTACATATAGAGGGCCGAAAGCGCGGGAAAGTAGGTGCTAGCGAGTCACGATTAGTTTGGTGTTTGGTTCTACTTTTGATATTTGAAATGACGCGATATTATTATTTTTTTCGATATTATTATTTTTTTGGAGCCACTCTCACATCATAGTAATGCAATACCAAAGCAATCACAAATATTGTGAAACTCAGAGGTCAATAAAGGTGTAAGTACAACTGAGTACAACTGAGTCAAAGTAAATAACAATTGTCCACCGTAGAATCATTCAAAAGCCTAACAAGATCTGCCATGGTGGACAGTTTATTTAAGTTACTTACTTAACTTAAATCTTTTTGTTTCACTCTCGAAGCTAACCCCTCTATTCAGCTATAACTCCGAAGTAGTTGCACGCATTCTAATAGTACTGATGTGTTAATTTTAGTCTGAGTGAAGCCTTAGCAAAGAAGACCGCGGCAGAAAACATGGTCGATCAGTTGAATAATAAAGTGGTGGACAGTGAGAGTGAAAGGTAAACCAAAGAATCAAAGTAAAATCAGTGAGAGCGGAGTCAATCAATCACCCCTGTAGTCTCCCATACAGCCGTTTTTGTCTCATCACGCAAAGCTCCTCCCCGCCAAATAAGGAGCGTTGGAGGCAATCACCCCTAAGGCATAGCCAACTGACTGCTTGAAAATTGAAGTTTGGAAGATTCAGAGGCTGTTGCTGTGGCGTCACGCGGCCGAGAAAGACTCAGCTGTCTCACGCACGTAGAAAAAAGTGGCCAAGCTTTTGGGTGTTTGCTATCTGAACAGTCCTTCTATTGAAATTAGTTCTAATTTCAGTGTGTCATCTTACAAGCCTCGATGAGACACAGTTCTTTTAGTTTTCCGGTCACCATGTTAATGTCCCTTAGAAGGAAACCATCATGATGTCCCCATACAAAGCTTTCAAAATGAGGGTGAAATTTCTCGGGGACAAACAACTGCAGATTTAGTACGCCTAATGAGGTTTCTCTTAACATGGTTAAAGTTTGATAGGGCAGGAACAATATGTTAATGAAGACTTTTGTTTTCTGTATCTTTGTTCTTACTTTACCAGAACTGCTTTAGACACTAACCTTAAAATAGAACGCGATTGGCGGACGAGTTTACAAGAAGAATCGATAAAAGACAAAGAAAAAGTAGCTGCCATGCAGGTGGAATTAAAGCAACTGGAAACACTCAAAAAGGTGACAGTTTGTGTTATATTGTAACGCACTCCTTTTTATAGTTTGATTTTTCCTTTTAATGATGCTTAGAGGTGTCACTTCAAGGGTTCCTCTGACCGTATGTTGAATTTAATACAGTTTGAAAAGTGCTTTTCCTTTAAAAAGTCGGAAGAAAATATGACCTCACTGTGGCGACACTCTGGTTCTCACGCTATAGGTTCCGAGTTCGATTCCTCAAAATGTTATTTTTTTTTTCCCCTTATTTATTTGTTTATTTATTTCATTTATTTCTGTTTTTTTCTCATTTTTACTGTTATAATGATTATGGCAACTGTTTTGTTAATCAAGACGTAATCGTCCCGCGATTTAGCTTGTGTTTATTCTAAACCACTATTATTGTAGCCTGAGTGACCGCTCTAAGAGCGTCTTCAACTATTGATTCTTCTTTTAATAGGAATACCAGGTTTTGCACGAAAAATATGTGGGATTGAAAAAATCCTATTCGGAGCAAGAAATGGTGGGTATTAAAAATGTGCTGCCGTTGTTTTGTGTCAACAACTGTGTATCACAGGGCCTGGATCTGGTCATTTCAACTGAGCATGCGCCAAACCTCAAACAACTGACATAGCTTATCGCAGACTATTCAGGGATCACGGCAACGTTGTCTATGGCCAAATTCAGATTGAGAATTATAAACTTGTATTTTTTGGTGATTTATTGGTCTATAAAATAAATAGTTTCTACACGTTTTGAGGCTCTCAGTTAGTGGGGACCAGCGAAAATAAAATAGAGAAGCAAACTAAATAGATAAGGAGGAGATGAGTAAGTGGGCCTCTGAAACGAAGTAGAATGCTCAAAGAAATGCATGCGCTCCGATTTGTTAAAGGAATGTCTTGATATTAAGTTGTTTGAAGTTGAAAAGATGGAAACGAGTTGTTTTGGGGTTGTAGGGGTACATGGTAAAACATTTGTTTAACACATTTGAAGAGTACTATTCACTGGACAAAGACAGCTCTCAATAAAAGTGTGGCTGTTTGATAGATTATTTTTTTCTTTTTTTCAGGCCCTTGTAGAGATGGGTTCTCATCTATCCAAGTAAGTTTCAAGTTGTAATCTCAACAACGGTAACAGTCAGAACAGAACAGAACAGAACAGTCAGTATTGCAGTGAAAGGAAATAACTTTCTATTAATCTAAGGGCCAACAAATGCAGACAACATTTTTTATAAGATCGATAGGCGTTATACGCCAGTTATACCAGCAACAACCTAAATTATGATATAAGACAAAGTATTGTTGCCAAGATAAAACAATGAAGGCAAAATTTATCAACTTGTAGCGGACAAATCCAATGAAGTTAGGCCAAGACAAACGGGGCAATAACGCACTTAACAGTGCTTGAAATGACTGGAGTTTAATGTGTCGGGTGCCCATCCTTGAAATTATCAACAACAACGTTCCGTGCAATATTAGAGCAACCTTAACTCAGGCAACATAAGTTTCATCATGTTAACCAACTTTAACACTGCTTGCAATGTAAGGATTCAAAATTTCATTCTTCAGCCAGTCAAAAGTCTAATTCATATGTAACGTTGCCCAACAAATGATGGGCATTAATTTGCAATGTGTAGGCGCTAGGAGCGTAACATGTTGCGAGCAAAATTTTAAGCAATGTTGCACCGTTTCTCCGTGCCGTCTGTTCGTCACGTATAATTTGCCACCTTGCCAGTGCAACAACTTTAATGGTGCTACTTTTCTCTTTGTAAAATGGAGGTTCGTCTAGCGAGTAGATGGTAATAAGGGTATCGAGAAATGAATCTCAAGTAGCATTGTAACATGGTGCTCGATAAAAAGGAGGAAATTGTTGTCCGAATAACTTCAGAGAAGAGTTAGATAGCTGGAAGTGTAGATTTTGTTAATGTTCATTTCTGTTCTTGTCAGTTCACAACAAAAAGTTGAAGAAATGAAAGAAGTCACACAGTCTATGAAGGTACTCTTGCTAGATATGGCATAAATGATCAAACTTTTTTTTTTTCAGTTGTTGTTTATTTCAGTAGTTTGTTTTGGTTGTTGTTGTTTTGAAACATTAAATAGCATTCCAGTTTCAAATTTCTGCTTGGTTCAGTTTTTGACACATTTCCTGCATCCTGCCAATAACGTCAATGTCGAAAGCATTCTCTTCAATTGTCATTGTTATTGTTCATTATTTATTCTTTTATTTGTTTTTGCTTGTATCATCTTTTATAATCTTTCTTAGGATATGAAGTGGGCCGAAGACAGGGATGCTTTGCACTGTCAACAATGTAATCAACCGTTTTCTTTAGCCAGAAGAAAGGTACGTGTCACTGAATTTCAAAATATTCTTAAATCCTTGTCATGAGAATTTGTAACCAGGCTGCGATCGTTTCTTAGTTTCTCGAATTTGTAATGCGCTTTGTCATACCAATTTCTGCATAGTGTACTCGATCTTATAAGAAAGTGTTAACAACCAATCAAAGCGCAAGTAATAAATGTGCTACACGAAGGCAATAAGGTTCACTTTTTTGTAAAGATACAGCTGACGGTGTAAACAAGAGATAGGATATAAGGAATGAGAAAATCTTCCTTTCTTCGTCATGATCTTTCTCATCTCGATTTCTTGTTCCCGCTTCGTAGAATCCACAAGAGATAATTTTGAGGGGGAAAAAACCGACTGCAAACAGCTTATGAGGCTTTAGTTTCTCAAAAATCCCAGCCACCAGTTGTTCAAACGTTGGATAGCGCTATCTACCACTATCCAGTGGAAAAATATCAGCTGTTTATTTGCCCCTGTTCCATAGAAAGAGTATATTGCTGTTGCTGCTTCAGTTTTTTGTCAGTAAAAAAAATGTTTTCGCACGAGGTGAGTGACCTAGCAGGTAGGCTGCGTATCAGGCAAATACGAAATGAAGGGCGATTACAAGAATAGGCCGCGAGGGAGTAGGAAGCGCGCGTGGATAGTGGAAGGTACCTCCCTCTCCTCGCATTCGCGTTCTCTCGCGCATGCTTTGTTTATCTCGCGCCCAGTATTTCTTATGCGCCTGTCACACAGGACACACAGGCTACCCACCAGGCCGAAGCCTATCTCGGTTTCCATAGACCTCAGCGAAGGCTCGAACCATTAGGTCACCGCTCCTCCCACCCTGTTTTTATTATTATTATTATTATTATTATTATTATTATTATTATTATTATTATTATTATTATTATTATTTTATTTTTTTAATAGTACTCATAATATCTTCCTTTTTTTTCTCTCTGTTAAAGCACCACTGTCGCAACTGTGGAGGTATTTTCTGTAACTCCTGTTCGGATTACACAATGCCTTTACCTTCCTCAGCCAAGCCTGTTCGAGTTTGTGACGCATGTTACACTGCTCTACTGCAGAGGTACCAGAGGTAACAGCCCGCGATACGTGTAACCAGCTGATATTCGAGTGAGCTCAGCTCACTCGAAGTATGAGAGCTCGAACGGCATGTAAGACGCGTAATTATCAGGGCGTGGAGTCAGTAACTGAAACAACCCTGGGAAATGATTCTTAAACCTTTGTCCTGCAGGGATCAAAGGAAAGTGGAATAATTTTAACGGTATCAAATGTAACATTCAAATGCAGACGTACATTGTTTTGAATTTGGCATTAAATTTAGTCTTTAAATTTCGAGAGTAATTTGTCAATGCTCATGGCTACAATCCCATTTAGAAGTAACTTTTTGGAATTCGTTCACGTAGTTTGTGTAAGTAGTCAAACAATTTTAAATTTATTAGCTCGCATAAAGCATTTTAGTACTCAGGTATTCAAATAAATTTACCAACAACGCACTTGAACAGTCGTCAGTTCGTCATTCAGACAAACAAACAAACAAACCCTTGTAACTTCATAGAAATATTGAAAAGTAAGTGTCAAATCACCAGAAGCATATCATATCATTCTACGTTCACCCAGAAAGCTAAAAAGAATAAAATCCGGTGGTTCACGCTCGTTTTTCATGCTTTTATACTCGTCTTCTTTTGAAGGACGTCTGCCCTACAACCTAGAACAATTTATTCAAAGAAATTGCAACTCAGTATTCACTGAGTAGAAAAATCAGAACATTAGTTTTATTAGTACATGTAGCTATTACGCGAAAAATTGATGTGATAACTATTAATGAGGTTCGTATCAACAATGATGCATGAAAGGACTAGCGCCGTGAAAATGCCAGCCCTTCGACACTAACTCTTTCCCAGTCTTTTCCCACCTCTCCAGTATTGGCGCGCAACGTTAGCCCCACAAGTCAGCCTTGGAAATGAAATTTCTTATGGGTTTCATTAGATTTCAGAAAGGGCTTCCACTAAACAGAGATATTTATCACATTAATGATACAGTTGAGTAAGAAGATGGCATCATTATAAAAACAAGTCATGCTATTTGTCTTTTCAGTGAAAATGCCTTGTTATTGGTATTGCTTATGATGTTACAATCTTTCTGTGTTATTCGTTGGTGCACACATCACGGTACATTTTACGTTAGGAGCATGTTCATTTATAATTCTTGCAACGTAACGTATTTGCTTTGTAGCCTGCTTTGTGTTAATGACTGTTCGTATAAAAAACGGACAGTAGCTTTACAGATAAATGAATAGTGACACCATTAGAAGAACACCAGTTAGTTGCCACAGCCCTTGACGACAACCTGACAATAGAAGTAAAAGATAGTTAACGGTCTCGACGTCGTCCCAAGGAGCTTTTTTCTTAGGAAAACACAAGAAATCAGTGAATGATTTGCCTCTTCAGCAGTCGCTGCCGATCGCTTTTATAGGGATATTTCGGTCAATTATTGAGAAAAGCCAAGCGAAGGGAGAGGGAGGAAAGAGTAGAAAAGGCCAAGCAAACGTTTTCCCTTTCTCTATTTTTTTTTTCCGTCACCTACCGGTGGGTCCCCAATAGAGTTTTCGATCCCGCAATCCCGACCCAAAATTTCGGGCAATCCCGTAATCCCGAGGGTTATTTTTGGCATCCCGCCTCCCGCGCATACTTTTCAATCCCGAATCTCGCCCGGATTTCGCTTTAAAATCCCGAATCCCGAGCCTCAAGGGAAATCCTGCATCCCGAAAAACGTATTGGAGACCCTCCTACCGCTCGCGCTATGCGCGCGTTCCCACCATTCTACCCCCACACACGCTGTGGGCTCATCCCCAGGGTCAGCGTTCCCAAAGTACGAAGGGATGCAGCTGAGTGTTTGGCTTCATGGGAAAAAAGAAACACAGAAAATATAGGGTTTTTTACTAGTCATGAATCCATTGGCACATTCACACTCGATTTAGCGAGGAGCTCTCTTTCTGGAGATCGCGACTTGCCAGCGAGCCGCAATAAAGAGCTTGGTCGTCGGAGCATCGTGTGTGCCGTGACAACTGTGTAGGTGTCCTTCTACGCCGTGGAATTTGTGATTGCACTCAATGTTTACGAATGCAGACTCTTTGGGAGATAAGGGTTATATTAACATGATTGAACTAACTTACTATATCTTACGATTGTTGGCCTACGAGCAAGCTCTTTGGGGCGCTCTAGTGGCGGGGCGAAATCCCCCAGGAGAGCTTGTTCGTAGACAAAGTATCAACGTACCTTTCACTCCACTAAACTCCGCTTTAAACCCTTCAAATGCACCCAACTCGTCCGAGTGAAACGTGACATACAGAAACTGGCTCAAGGACGTGCCGATTGAGGGTAATGTCTTTCCACAGTAACGCCCTGTAAATTGTGCATAACAAGGTGTGGTTACACAGTAATTTTCAAGGATTATAATAACTCCTCTAGTGGGGCTAATAACTGCTAATTTAACTCCTTGCACTGGAGTTATTTTTGGGGGAGTTACTTTAACTCCAAAAAGGAGTTTAAAGAACTCTTTTTCAGGAGTAAAAATGACCCCAAATTCGGAGTTAAATTAGGACTTAAAGTAACCCCCAAAAAGAGGCTAACTTTTACCTAACATTTTTACTCCATTTTTGGAGTTATAATAACTCCCTAAAAATTACGGTGTACAAATAAAACAAATTTCATGTTAGCATTCATAAAAGGTGCTTTATGCGTAGAACGAGGCAAACGCTTCAAGCGAAATGCCGCGTTCGCCTCGCGCAAGCGCCCGTTATGCAGACTAATTTCATGTTCTGTTCATTTCTCCTATATATTTGATTATCAACATACAGTGGAGGCGACAATAAGCTTTCCACATTCATTTATCCTTGGGGAATAAATCCAGCAATAGTGATTCTCGGCGGCTTTTTTCTATTCTTCTGCACGTTAAATGAACAGAATTACCTATCAATTTTGCTGTTTTGTTCGTTCCATCCCTCAACTCTACGTAGTCCGCGCTGCAGTTTGTACTCTCCTCTAAATCAAACGCGATGAACTTGAAAGTCAGTTCCATCCCGGTGGTATTCAACCTGATGGACCATCCGCAGTCCATATTGTTGGGGTATTGCGTTCCGAAGTATGGAGTTTTGATTTCCTGGATTTCTCCTTTGTAGGCAACGATATCGGCTTCCTGAATACAGTCTATTAAAAATAAAAGAAAGATAGGACTGTAAATAAAGAGAAGAAATATTGGGGTGAAGAATTTAAAGATAGTTCTAAACGTATCTCAGCGCGCTTTTCATTTTCAGAATTCTATTTGGCTGGTCAGTTCTGTTCGTTCGCAAATGGTACACGTTAGTTCTGAGAACCGTAGAACTGGTTGTGACCGAACTGGCCCTACTCAAGGAGTAGTCCATTAGACAAACCCGGTACTAGGTAGCAAATGAGGAGATTTTGGTCTTAAAAAAGTGATTTTGAAGCTTTGGCCACATTTCAGCCCAAAGGGGAGGGGTGGCTCAACGGTGCGCGCTTATTATGTTTTTCCATTGACGAACTTAAACTTACAGGGAAAAAATACAATAAAAGAAAATACAGGAAAAAACTCTACCAGCACATACATTGGCGGTGAGTAGGGGAACGAGTACTGGGACTCACTGGAACTTAATAATGATAATGAATTTGTATAGCGCTAAAACTATAGAAGAATATTCAAAAGCGCTTTACATTAAGTTAAAATTAAAAATAAATAAGTAAACAAATAACAATAATAAATAAAAAATTTAAAAATCCCTGAGAGCTATAATAGTTCAAGTTTATGGTAGCATAAACTGTTGTTAATAAACCTGAGAATTATGCCCTATGAAAGCACACTTAGGTCATACAACAACAAAAAGAGAGGCAACCACGATCTCTATTCACCCATTGGGATGATACCAAGCTGTAAAGAAGTTGAGATTTTGGGCGTCACCTTCCAATGTGACAGCAAATTTTCAGTGCACGTGAAGAACAAACTTATTAAAGCTAACAAATCCCTACATATCCTTAGAACGCTGCGCAAAGAAGGGTACAATCAGTCAGAAATAGACCTTCTCTTTAATACTATAGTTCTACCTAATATTAATTACGCATTATCTGTCTACGCCGCGTCCGAGTCCGATCTTACACCCGTACAATGTTTCTTAGACCGCTGTTTTAAAAGGAAATATACGTCTAAGCCTGTAAGTGTTTATGATTTCTTAGAGAGGCAAGACCGTAAAATTTTCAAAAAAGTTTTTAATGCCAAAGGACATCCACTTTTATCTATTATGCCTCGTGTTAAACCCTCCAGCTACAATCTTAGAAAAGAAACTAGTTTTAAACCTAAGATTAACACTATGCGCTTTAAAAACTCTTTTATTAATCGTTTAGTTTTTAAATGTGAATTAGCTATGTAATATACTAGATATATATACCGGTATATATTTTTTATTTCTTACTTTTTAACTTTTTAAATTTCTTACACTTACTTGTAACAAAAGATATGTATTTTTATCTCTTGATGAATAAAGACTTTATTATTATTATTATTATTATTAATCATGTCTCTATTCTTATGTCACACAACATGCAACATTTGAATAAGTTTTTGTACTAAGTAATGGTAGATACTATTTCAAAGTACAAGAAAGAACAATGAACACTAACTAGTTGTTTGGTTACAATGTATCCTTCTTCTTTGGCAAAGTCTATTGTAACTTAGCATGTTATATTACTAGACTCTACAAAGGTTCCATTCATATTATCACATGCTTATCATGCTCATGTGCTCCTTTTTTTGCGGTACACTGTCCTTTCCCAGTCAGTTCTCTTAGAGCTTCGGTTCATTCACAACAGCGTTTTTTTCCCTCCCACCCACCTTTTGGTCTGACTGGAACCTTTGATTAGGTCTTTGATTATTCCTTATGTTCCCTATATTTCTCTCAAATCAAATCAAAAACTGTATTTCACTTTGAATTCCAAAAGATAACATCAACGAATGCTCATATCTCCGAAGGTATAGCAAAAACAAATAGAATATATACGACACCGGTAATTAGAATAAAGTAATACTATATATTATGTACAAGTTTAAGATAATGTAGAAACAAGAAAATTATTATATACATTTGTGTCTACAGTAACTAGTTATAATTAAAACTAATTACAAAGGAGCAGCATTTATTTATAACGTATTATTAATGCTCTTAATTTTTGGATTTGAAAACATGTAATGATTCAGCAGTTCTAAGTACCTCTGAGAGCATATTCCAATATTTGCTGGCAGAGTAGCAGAGTAGCAGTATTTAGCACGACCAGAACGTATTTTAAGCAGATTATTATTTTATTCCCCTATATCTATACTTATCCTTAAGATTAATCATTTACATTATGGTGTGATACTCGAATAGGTCTCATTCCGTCATTAGGTTCCGGGGATGTGAAACCGCTGACTGCCTTCCAAATAAAAGGAGTGGCAGGGAAGTGCAACCTCTGGCTGCACTTTACCCCACAGTAAGGCTTAGCCCTTGGAGACAGGTCCGGAAAAATATCCACTCCAGGGTGTGGATCCCCGGTCCCACCTGATCTGTACTCCACCCAGGAGGGCCACCCCTCCTGGTTCCCCTTAGTTCCTGTACTGGGGAATATGGGCCTCACCCCCGGAGACCGATCAGGACTCCTGTCCAGGGTGGCTACCCCCGGTACCACTCGATCCTGTCTCCCCCCAGGAGGGCTTCTCTCCTGGTCCCCTTATCCCTAGATTTAAGCGCTTCCCTGCCACCAGAATTTTGCCCATTACCCTTTGTGTGTTTTCTGTGTGGTACCCGACATAGAGCATTTTATGCAAAAAGCACTGCCAATTGGAAGAGTTTATTAAATAACAATAATATGCTATGCCATGGTAAAATCTAAATAAATGAAATTCGAAAATTCCAAACTAAATTTAAATCAAACATTAGAACTACTCCAATAGAGTAAAAGCTTTCTTAATAAGAAAAATGGCGAGGCTGCTACTTGTTCTTATAGTCGATGGCAGCGAGTTCCATAAAATAGGTGCAGCATGAGCAAAGGCCCGATCCCCCTGAGTGTACAGCAGTTGACTTTTGGAAGGAACAGAAGAGATTGTGCAGACGAACGAAGAGCATAATTAGCTGCTGGTTTCAGGGATAAAAGATCTTTAACGTAGGATAGACTTTGGTTGTGTAGTGACTTGTAAACAAAAAGGAGCAATTTGAACTGAACTCTAAACGTTACTGGAAGCCAATGTAAGTCGATAAGAGCGGGTGTGATATGATCAAATTTTCTCAACTTAATTGAGATCACCATGAAAATGTACTATTTATTCATTCCAGAATAATTAATTGTAAAACGCTTGAACACTTTCTGATGAAAAGTGAACAAACTGGGAGTATTTAAAAATTTCAAAAATAAAATAACGTCCAAAGTTCTCTATTGTGAGAGTTGTGACCCCATTAACCATACTGAATAACACTCGCAATAATTTGCCATTTATTCGCAGCAAAAGCCCTTTTTATTTATAAATTAGTTTCAGTCTTGATACGACCCCAATTTAAACGGGGCGGGTTAATTAATGCATGGAGTGGTGGATATAATTTAACCAGAGACGGTCCCCTACTTGTTTCTTATAGTTGGCCAATGCACTTCAGTAGTTATAGAAAAGTGGAACTCATTTGAAGCAGAAGTAATTGCCCCCCTATAGTCATCATTGATACCAATGTTGAAAGTTCTTTTAAAATTAACATACTTATTATAGTGTGGGCTGCGCACGTAACAAAACGGCGTAACCAGGGCGGATAAAGGTTGGGATCCTTAATCCGTCCTGGGTGTTTATTTAGATGCTCGCCCCTTCCTGGATCACTTTCGCGCCATTCGAGAGCGTATTTGCGCACGCAATTTTGCCCCTTTTCCATCACGTTGAACGCAATGTGACGTCACGAAATTTTCATTTATTGCATTTCACCCGCTCGCGCATTGCGTTAGACCTTAGAATTTTTTTAACTTCTGCTGTCACTGGGAATTAAATAATTTCTAATATACCTGCCATTCTACCGCAATTTAGAACGAAAAGTAAAACGCCCTACCAGCTTGTTTCATTTCGCATTTCTGGTTTGTTATGTTAGAGGCAACTGCCACAAGACTCTCCGTTGTTCGCGCTAAGAATGTCATCATGTCAGGAGTCACGTGATTGATGTCGTCACAGCTTTGATGGTAACACTGTTTCATGTATCCGCGAAAGTTAGCGGTATCTGTAAGGAAAACCGTGGGTAGTGAAGGATCAGCGTCCCAGAACCGATAATGATCTGATTCAAAGAAGTCTCGCAAAGAAGATTGAACTTGCTGTGGCCAGTTACTTGGTCTTCCTTCCACGCCGGAAATTTTTACTGCTAATGGTTTGAAAGTACCTGTTAAAACACAGACACAAAATTTTATACCATTTTTTTGTTGTTGTTGTTTTTTTGTACCTTAAACTTTTCATAAGTGCTCCTGCTTGCTAATTAACAACCAACGTGTTCAAGCTCGAAGGACCAAGGCTCCTCAATCCGCCGACGTAGCAGAATCATAGGAACTCGATTAGTGGCAGTCAATAAACAACCAGCATTTGAGGCTGTGTATGATGAGAACATAAATGCACATGAAGGAATTTTTTGTCCAAGTCGAAAGCTGTGGGCAACACTGAGGAAACTCCGAGAACTGCATGTTCTACAAATTCAGACAAATGACGACAAACGTTGAGCAATACAAAGTTATTGGAGGAATGATGATAAACTTGCGAACTTGGTCAGCTCGTTATAAAAGAGTAATAACCGCTGGATTTAGACCAATCGGAATTGGAGAAAAAATTCGACTCAATAATTTTAATAATAATCGCATGTGTGGCGCTCTGGAAACGTGCCGTCACTTTTGAAAGCATCTGTTATTCTATCCATCAGTTCATTATCATTCAGCAATCTACCAATCACAGCTAAGAAGTCTCCTCTGAAAGAATTGTTTGAGATTTGCTGGTATAACAGTGGAAAAACGGACTGGATGTTTGCAGGAAGCTCTTGTGAATTTGACGTGGTGTTATGGTTCAGAATGGTATCCAAGATAAATGCCCCTTGAAAATTTGCTCCGCTGCTGTTCAGATAACTGCTAAAGTTTTGGACAAAATAACCGCTGCCGCAAAGTCCTGCTGCACATGAGCAGTTTACTTGCGCCGGACAAGCGGGTTGAATTTCTTCCGGGTCCAAGGCGACGAACAACAAAGTGTAGTCACGTGTACAATTTAGTTTGTCTAGACAAAAAAAAAAAGAATGAATTTTTCATACAGTGGTGTTCCAAGAGGTTATAGAGACTGTTCTGATTGAAATGCTTTAATTTAAACATTTGTTTAGACTGAAATATCATAGGTCATCGCCCACGGGTTAGGGGCTGGAGACGTATGACATTTCAGACTTACAACATTTATTAACAGTGACCATACAAGCAAAAATGCCCTCTACTCATGGAGAGCATAGATATACTCCTTACATGAAAAAAAAAAAACAATTATTAAATTTCAAGAGCTACGAAAGTTTATTGGCCAAGGAAAGCACAGTCCTTTGTACAATACGAACCTAGACAAGTACTTTAAGGCATGGCATTCGTAACGTGTACATCTCTATTAATTTTTACATTGTGAACAGTTCATTAGAGAATTGTGAATGATTGTTATTATAGTTGTAATAGAGTTAATGGATTGTCCGTGTTAAAATAAGGATTATCTACACCTAACATCTAGCCAGTTAAAACAGGAGCAGGGCCAGTTGTTCTAAAGGTTGATAACCCTATCCATCGAATAAATCTCTATTCAATGGATAGCGCAATTGGTTTTGCTAATACTTATCCACCAGGGCCCAGTTGTTCGAAGGCCGATTAGCGCTTAACCCGGGGTTAAATATAACCCGGGTTTCTTTTTTCTTGTGTTCAAAAGCATTTTCTCGGATAATTTTCTGTGCTATTTTTAGAGCTTCCAATCATCAACTTGTAGACAAAAAGAATTAAAACTGAAATGCTTTCTAAGCTTTCAAATCTGAATTCAAATCTCGCACTAACCTGGGATATCTTAACCCAGCTTTGAACAAGTCGGCCCAGATAGTGATTTATCGGGTTGATAGCGCTACAACCGGGGCAAGATGTTCAAATGAACAAATCAGTTCTTATAGCCGGAACGGCCGCTGAAAACGCGAATCCAAAAACCTGTATGGGCAGGTCGCAATTCTATTTAGTGTTTCTTTTCTGATTGACTGTGAAATTACTGAAGGATTTTTCTCATTTTTCGAAAACCACTGGATCTATTCATATTTACTGATCGAAGACATTGCATATAGCAACTAACCTGAGTTGGTGTAAAGCTTAAGAGCCTGCAGTAAAGCAGTCATCCCTGATCCGTTATCATCCACACCAGGAGTTGTGTCCTCGGAGTCATAATGAGAACCAATCAGAACAATCTTATCATCACGTGATCCAGTGTACCGACCAGGCAATTGACCAACGATATTTACACCTGGATACTTAAAGACAAGAAATAAAACATTACAGAGAGATTAAACTAATTCAATGAACGTAGAAAGCAGCTTAGAAGAGGTCAAAGTATGGGTGCTTACTATCGGAAATATGGTACAAGCGTAATTAACGGACAGCGATGAAGTTACAAATGCGTTATTGACCCGGCAAGGATGAGGTCAAAACGGCTAGTTATTGCCAAGTTCTTCTTTGCGTTTTTATTTCTCACGGTCAATAAAAACGCAAAATAGAAGGAGGCCAATATTCACCCATCTTGACCGAACAAGCTTGGTCAATAAAGGATTTATTACGTGCCCCCAAAAAGAGAACTTTTACTTGCAGGACCAACGCGGGAACCCCGAGCGGGCAAGATGCACTTGGGTAACCAATCAGGAAGCAGGATTCGCTTCATCTTGCCCGCTCGCGGATTGAAGTCGTTTCTATTGAGCCTTTCAGATCAGGCTCAGTGGACCAGGTTTTAACGAATCTAACATTGTCGCAGATGTTGGAAGCCAGTCAGTGTGGTTTATCTATCCTCCAACAGATTCAAGCACTCAATGGTCCATGACATAACAAACTTGGTAGTCGTTTTAAAATTACCCGCGGGTTGTTACTTTGAAATTCTTCAGTCCACGTGTTCAGTCCGTGGTCTTTGAATGTTTTCACGACATAGTCGCGTGCGTTCTGTTTCTCAGCAGGGTTTACCGCGACGTTCCTTGTTTTCGTGAAATGACTCAGTATGGAGCGCAGAGACTGGATCAAAGTCATAGAATCGACGCTGAAGATTACTGAAGAAGAAAGTTGAAGAGTCGAGACACTGGAAAATAACAGCTAGTTGATAAATACACACTGGCAAAGGCTTTCTTATTTTAAACTTCTTTCTTTCTTCCTTACCGTCTTTCCTTCCTTCTTTCCTTCCCTTTTAAATCCGATGCGCTTAACAACTTTGTAGAATGGTGGCCATTTTCATTGTCGTGCAAATTTACTCCGTTTTTGCGCAAGCTTATTGCCTGATTTACACGTTAAAATTATGTGATGTCACACACGATCTCCGCTGAAAACCACGCCATCGCCTGCCACACACACGTTCTTGCTACCTCATGATCATGATATTTATCACATAAGTTCTCTTTCTTTGCCTTAAACCATGTGATATCACACACGACTTTTTTAATCTGTTATCACTGATAACTGTGGGTGCCATTTCCAATACGGGCTTTTATATTAAGCTTGGGTCACCTGTGGTCAACTTCAGTACAATGCTGAGCTGTTCCACTCAAATTAATAATTGACGTTTTGGAATAATCGCAATACCTTGATACTGAAATGGAACAATCAGAAAGCCAAATGTAATGGAAATTGATAATTACAGAACGGTCAGTACCTTGCAGTAATGGCAGTTCATAGAAACAAATTCTCTGCCTAATTTGAATTCAGCTGAGATTGCATGATAACTTTCGTTGTATCTGCATTCTGTTGCTCATATTGGATCGAGAATTTAAGAACTTAAATATACGTATCTGCTAGGCCAGCCTGACTGCACGAAACCTCCTCGCTCTTTAAATGATGACCTTACTAAGTAGCAAATTCTGCATAATCGAGTTTTAATTTTTCATTTACAATTTGCAGTTTGCCAAACTGCAAGGTCTAGTTTCAAAGTCGCCTTTTGCTGAATTTAACTCCCTGTTCAAAGCAACCCTCAACAATGTACGAGATGAAACTGAACTGGGGAATGCAAAACAATAACCACTTTTTAGAGCTCTTAATTTTACATTATTACAAGTAAAATCCTTTTTTCGTACCTGATGCAAGACAAAGGAGCAGCATCAGAGTTCTTAAACCAGCCATGCTGTGGAATATTTGCCACACAGTCTCCGCGTTGTTTGGTAGCGTCCTGTTGTCAAATGTTTGCAACAGCTTTTGCGTTGTTACATTTAAGAGATGAGTGACTCTTAAGAAGTTATGTTGTTTTAACAACTTAAAAGTATTTAAAAACTTAAAAGTATTTGCCACAATTTCAACACATTATTCAACAGATCCCGGAGTGTCTTTTGTGACGTCATGGTACTTATATGACGTCATGTTGTCCAGTGTAGCATGTGTGTCACGTGACTTTTGAAACACCAAAATTATGGGATAAAAAGAAAGAAAGGAGAAGGTAAGGGCATCAACCAGTGGGTCTGCCAATTTGAAGGTTTTAAATTGTTCACAATGAGATTTTGAGACGTCTCCGCTAGCCTCAGTAGCCTGCGTAGCTGAAGGATTTATCAAGCGAGCGTGCAAATGAACTCCTAAATCGAGTGGCGAAGTTGAGAGAAAAATAGAACCGAAGGTTTTTCATTTTTTTTCTGCAGAGCTTTAAGTTAATGATACGTTTTTTACGCTGTAAAATCTGTCAGCGAAATCGATCTAGATACTGATTGATAACTTGGTCCTTTAGTCTTTATTGCTTAGTGCCTGCAAGACCTTGCAAGAGGCACGCCTCTTTGAAACCAACCATTCCTGTAACGCCATTTTGCAGCTGTGAGGCGCCTCCCTTTATCGGCTTGTGATAATTTGACACCTAGTTAATAGCTTATTGCTATTTTTTCTCGCTAGGTTATTTGTGGGTGTAGTAGCACTTTAAACTGCAATTGTGGCTCTTTTAATGCTAAACCATAAATGAATAAAAAGTTTCATTCAATCCCTTCTGATTCAATCCATTATAATATTTCCAGACATTCCAACACCCGTGGAATCTCAATTTCAGTTTTGTGTCAATCATCTCAGATTTGTCACCCCTATTCATTCTCTGTAACGGACGCTCTAAGAGGAGGTTCTATGGTAGCTCAATGACGAGCAGGATCAAAATTTAATTATAGTGATACCAACCATTGAGAACCTGTTATCACAGATATATAACATGTACAGCACTCTTGCTCAGCTACATAACATCCGAGGTCTCGGTATATAACATTTCCGTAAAGGGACTGCATGTCCTCGCCTGGACGGTTCATTTTTAACGTAAAAGTGCTGGTGGGATTTGAGGGGTGAGGCCATCCAAAAGCATATAACCTCAAAAGGGGTACAGACGTAAAGAACGTGGTAGATTTATATTTAGCGATGGCATCTGCCCGGGTAGCGGGGTAGGGGTATCCTTTGCCAACAGGAGAAGTAAGGCGACTCCTTCCTTCCCCTAGCCTACGGGTCACCTGTGGGAAGGATGTAGTACCTGGTCAAAACCCGATCAGGGTTACGTGAAGTCATGGGAGCGGGTGAAGGATGTTGTTGAGGAGGCACCTGATATCATAATCCACGGTGTTGGCTCCCGTAACTGGCACCAGGCATAGGATCCTTCTACCTTGGACACTGGCTGAGGCTACCTATCTTGAAAAGAGGAGAAAGAAAGAAAGACTCGGGACCCTACTTTCCGAGACAACTAGTCCCAACAATCTGAGACTGATATCAACGGAAACAACGTCGTTTCCGCTGTGCGGCCGAAGATGCGACGTCCATCAGGATGGGCAGTAGATGATGTTGACGGTATCTGCAATGATGCAAACATTTTTCCAGAATTCCAAAATATAGCTTTTCTGGGGT